TGGTTTCGTAAGGAAATTCTGCTAATATTTATAACATGAGGGGTTTTTTAGCAATTCAGTACAATATAGGTGTGTTAAATGCAACAATTAAACTCAACTTTTTTTTTTGATAAAAAATTAACAAATTAACAATTAAACTCCAATTTACTCTTAAAGAACTTATAATTAACAAATGGGTAAATTCCACTTCCCCCAACCCTACTTTGGTTAAATATCACTTTACCCCCTTCTACTCTCGATTGCATCGATTTTCCCCATGTACTTGAAAAATTGTCTAAATGTGGTCATTGCCGTTAGTTTTTCAGACCTTAGTCCTTAACATTGTTTGATCTAAGTCTGAAATTACAAAAAAATCACCCCTCCCAGTTTAAATAATTATAATATATATATATATATATATATATATATATATATATATATATATATATATATATATATATATATATATATATATATATATATATATATATATATATATATATATATATATATATATATATATATATATATATATATATATATAAAACAAGAAATATACCTTGGTGAACTTGGAAGGGTCCTTCATGGCAGTGTAAATATTAGGAAAAACAATATGACCAGCAAAGCTAAAGATATAGAGCCCATAAACGGCAGGAATCCTCTGCATCTGCAGCACAGGGATCCCGCGGTCCGCCCTCACCCCGCCGAAAGCCGCGGCGCACGCCACCATCGCGAAGATCAGAACCGACAAGAGTATGCCAGCCGTCGACAGGAACGATATCGACGAGAGATCCCTCAGCCAGAGGGTGGGGACCGCCACCAGGACGGCGATCGCCGCCAGCAGCTGAGGCGGCGACATGCGGGCCCAGCCCGAGCTGATGTGGACGCCCGAGAAGGCGGTGGCGAGGTTGTCGTGGAGGGAGATCGTGTAGGAGACGAGCGCCATGAAGATCTCCATGTAGATGAAAGTGGTGGATATTATCCTTCCCTTCGAACCGAATGCATGGTTGCCGATGTCTTTGTAGTCTCTCGATTTCGGGTTTTTCGCCATGCATTGCCCTAATAAGTGGGTGGTGTACGAACACGCCGCGCCGAGGCCTACCAGTAGGAATGCTGTCGACCACCCTCCGTTTTCTAACGCGTACGGGATCGAGAGCTGCCCTAAACCTGTAGTCATGGAATATAATATCGGTTTATGTAAAATTCGTATAATTTTTTGCAAGATTTATAAGAGCAATTTCGAGAGACTATTTGACATCGAATATAATTCCATGTTGAAAATCGCTACAAAATTGAAATAGAAACGACTTTTTCAGTTATGTTTTCAGTGTAATCACGGACGCTTTATTAGGTACATCGATACGTTTTCACGAAATGAACGATCGTAAATTTGGGAACATGTAAAAAATTAATGTAGGTGGTAAAAACGACTTGATAAAATAACACCACTTTTTTACGAGGTTAGACGATCTAGTTATATCTAAACTTTGTCGTCCGAGTTCAAAAATTACCATGCATACATATCTCTTAGGTTTGGTTACACCAAAATCCGGCCGATTTCGAAAGTTAATAACGAACCTTGATGAAATTTGATTAAACCACAAAACCGAACATAATAATTAAACTCGGTAAAGGACATTTTTACGCGACGGGATGAAATATTATAATTACCAATAAGCATTCCAACCATGTTGATGACTGCATGAAGAAAAGAAGTACTATTGTTTCGATCTTCCGCATGGCCCGCCTTAACATCATCGTTATTACGTTCTAATTCCCCGAAAACATCGTAATTTATCTGCTCGCTAGTTTTAACTTCCTCCCTGCATTTCCAAATCTTCGACCACATTTTTTTCTTTGAAATTAAACGAAAAAAAATTAAAATTTTGTCGGGTTTGATAAGAAATGTTTGAAGCTGTATGTGGATGGGTGTATGGCCATAGAGTGTATAGATAGATACTTATATATAGTTTATATAGATTCGATGTGTATGTATGTATGTATGTATGTATGTATGTATGTATGTATGTATGTATGTATGTATGTATGTATGTATGCATGCATATGATGTCCGAATCCTAGGATATTTGTTACTAATTAGTGGGTATTTAGTTGAGTAAAGGAATATGAGTCACGATTCTGTCAACTCCAAATTCTTGGGTAAAAACTAAAAGCAGATAAAAATTCTTTTATATATATATTAATAAATATAAATGGCATTTAATAATTAAATTAAAGATTTGATATGAAACAAGAATACTAGAATAACAGAAATGAGTTCAACTAACACTCACACAAATATTGAGCACCAGATTCTCTGTCAATATATATACTCACTGTGCCAAATTCACACTCACAACAACACTTGAACTTTACATGATTCCCCATGTTTTTATTCCCCATGATATTTACATGATGCCTTTTCCTCTGCGTATGTACGTAATTGGGTAATTAGATGTTACACCTGATTATTAACACTGGGTAGATTTCAACTGTAGATATACATATGAATTATAATCACACGCACATACACTCATGTGCATGTGTGTGCGCTTAGTGGTTGATTATTTAATCAGATCTACGATTGAAATACGTCCGGTGTAAATAACCAGGTGCATGTAACATCTAACTCATGTAACATATATTAGAGGAATGTATTGTATGAAAATAGATACGAAAAGAATCCATTTGAATCGAACATGTACGTAAGGCGAACATCTTCCCTTCCCTGGCTTATGGAAAAAGTGTGGAACTTATTCCCTCACTTCGAACAATATCTAAGAGTAGCTCGTTTTTATGATACGGGCAAGCTAAGGGAATCCGCAGCCACTCAATCGATAATGCTGAAATCATCTTCCATATATTGAATGAATACAATATGGATCGAATTTATCCTAATTAGGGTTGGGCGTTTTCCCACTAATACAATTCCTCGAATAATTTCCACGTCGAATCCTCACGGAATCTGCAGCCCCCGATTCATATTATTATTCATATACAAAGTTGGCTCATTTTGTCTAATTAAAGCATGATAATAGAAATTTTATTAAAACCTAGCTATTACATAAGTACTTATTATTAATAATTAATGAAAAATAATAAAGCCGTTTGCGTGCGTGGTTCGAGGCACCGGCAACATTCAGATTTTAGGCCAAAATCAAGAAGATGATCATCAAAATTGTGTGGAGCTGATTGATGCTGATTTCATGCTCATTTTGTAGGAGAATTTGTTGGAGCTCATTTCGTTCGTTCTTTTAATTGTTAGAGATAGAGGTCGTTTTTTTTTTCAACTCAATACGGATGGTATATGAAAGAATTAATTACGTCGAATTAAACATGTATAGCAAATAAAAATTTAGAGTCTGCCGAAGTAGAGAAAAAACTCTGAAAATTGTATTGCATTTGAATTTTTTTTTTATTATTATTAAAACTTTTTAGCGATTATAGAGGTGTTTATAATGTTGAAAGATAAAAAAAAAATAGTAATAGAACCGGAAATGTAATTAAATGGGAAAATACGAAACTTGAACAAAAATGCCAAAAACAAATTAAACAATAATTCTAGTAAATCTCGTAGTAATTCTGGGAACAGCCTAATTTACGGAACCCTCGTCTGATTTTTCTATGAATTGATATGCATTTCCTAAAACCTCCCTAAAATGGCAAAAACGTACTTTTAGAAGCCTAAACGATGTTGGGTCGACGAAATCTACCGTGATTAATGAGTTTTGTTCATTGGCAGGCTTTGCCAAAGATAAGAGTTTGTTTTTCCTACTCAAGTACGGGCTATGTATGAAAGAATTAATTACGTCGGATTAATCATGCAGAACAAATTAACATTCAAAATCCACCGAAAAAAATTAAAAAAAAACTTCCAAAATTGAATTTATTCGAAATCAATAGTTAAACCTAGCTGTAATATACGTATTTATAATGCTGCAAAAGAATCACAATTTGAAAATACATGTTACCACACATAACAATTACTTGTATACAAGAATATATATCAAATAAAAGTTACAACAACAATATCCCAATGCGGTTGCTTCAATAGTCTTGTGTAAGATAGTTTGTTAAACTCGTTCATACGACCAGTGATAATGTTCGAGTGCCGTAATATTTATATATGAATACCAGATACTGAAAGCATGGATAGTCCACGAGAAACGTCTTGTAAACGCCTTTGTAGTGCATTTATTCTGCTGCATTAATCAGAGCTATAAAATTAAAATAATATGGCAGCGAACTAATTACCAATGCATCTAAACAGGACAAACAGAAAGAATTCGTACACAAGAATGATATTACATAGAATGCATGTCCGAATTGTTGCTACTAGTGTATCCGGGGTTATTAAAATCCACAACTTTTCGTTAAAAAAAATTATTTCATAATCGAACTGCTGATTTTTTGGAAGTCATTGCATTGAGTATATAAAGGAAAGTATAACACTGGTTTAAGCTGTTCAAATTAACTAAAAATAACTCGAGAAAAAGCCGAAGCTACATACCTCACTGTTGGAGCTCCGGCAATTAGCTCTCATTTTTTCTTTGTGCAATTTGTATCATCCAAAATCTTAATTTAAATGTACACCATACCGAACAACCTAGGTGGAAACAAAAACGGAGTTGAGACTTCATGCACCAGGCAACGAGACAGCTTTTATCGCAGCTTGCACGTCTTCAAGACAAGCTACGAGGCTTCTCAACTCTTCAGTGTCCGAAAAATTCACAGCCTGTTTAATTGAACTCTTCAAATGCATCTCGGCGGCAAACAGCTCTCTACGACTGGTCCCACGCAAGGCAAGTTCTTGATACACCTTACAAAGTTCCAGCGAAGCGTGTGCAAACTTTACAAACTTGTCCTTATCCTTCCACAAATCCGAACCCTGATACGACCTAACTTGCTTCAGAAGCGCCTCTGAGCACATTGTAAGATCCCCTTTCAGTTTATGCCACCTGGCGTACAACCCCCATGTCTCGGCACTCCCCCCACCCTGCACAATCTGCTTCAAGATTTTCCCGATCAATTCAATCAAGTGCTCGGTTTCCCTACTTCCAGCAGAGTCAACTTCCGAAGAAGCCAGGTCAGCATTCGAGTCGACTCGCTTTTCAATCTCTACCATAACTCGTTCCAACAACTCAGGGTCGAATCTCTTCTTTTGACTAATGTCCATCACCTTCTGTACAGCTTCCATCACCTGGCCGAAGTTTCCAATATCCGCAGCAACTTGGCCGTAATTCTCCCACATTTGCCAGCTGTTCCGTTTCAGTTTAAGTGCTTCCTTAAACGCGATAAAAGCCTCTTTATTCCTCTTTTTAACCATATGCAAACAAGCGATATTATTCCAAGCTTCTCCGTTTTCCGGGTCGAGTTGAACCGCCCGTGTGAAAGCATCCAACGCCTTATCAACATCCCTTGATTTTAAAGCAGCTGCACCAAAAGCAAACCATCCATCTGGATGCATGGAGTTCAAACTCATTGCAGATTCCCATAAAAACTTAGACTTTTCATATTCTCCTCGATTGTAGGCTGACCGGGCGAGCGAACGGAATGCTCGGGCCGAACGACGGGCCGATACTTCGAGGGCTTTTTCGTAAGAAGCGTCGTCGTTAGTGACATCACCGAGCGAACACCATAGCCTTGGGTCGGATGGCTTTTCGGAGAGCCGTTTCTTGATGAGTTCAACTGCAGCTGCTTTCTTATCCATTAATTGGTAACAGAAAATTAGATTGTCCCATAGCTCGAGATCCTCGTAAATTTTGATTGCTTCCCCTGTCAGGCCACAACTTACTAAAAGATCGCCAAATTCCCTGGGTATAAGATTTTGATGTCACTAGTAATTAACAAGAAAGAAATGATCGGAAATAATGATAAAAAAAAATGCAGCATACTTGCGCAGAGCAGGAATTGAGGGCATGTTAACAGCGAAACAGTAATATAATCTTTGAGCAACTCCGGGAGAATGGTTGTGTATGCTTTCGACCTGTTATTGGACAAAATTGCAAGATTATGCACAATCAGTAAATGCTCGTGCTAATTGAATGCAATCATAGTCCAAAATCGAGATATCTACCACAAAATCAATACACCTACATGTAATTGCAGGCAATGATAATCCAAAGTGCAGATATTGCAGGCATTTGTTAAGCATTTGAAAATTTCTTCTAATGTTGTTGCTCTTCCAAAACTAAACGAAATCTCAAAAATTTTAGATATGATTTAGCTGCTGCAGTAAAAAATGAATCCGCTAAATTATGAATAAACATTTCTTTATGCTCAATTTTTTTTCCCAAAATACATATTTCCAGGCAACTGTACTACGTGCCGTTTCCTTCACTTAATCAGCATCAAAGAGTCCCAGCTCTTGGTTTAAAAGAACCAAGGAACCACAATTTAGGATCAGTGTAAACTGTACCCCGAATTATTCCACCATGGAAATTTATAGAAGAATTGCCGATGATTAATAGCAAGCCTCATTATATTTGTCAGTATAAAAATCTTAGTTCCATATTTACGGCCAGGAAAAAAATGGGTTCAAAATGGATGGTTTTCCTAATTCAAGTATGAAGAGAAAGAAAATCAAAAGTCGAACAATCAAAATCAAAAACAGGATCACATATGACATCGTGAGAGATAAAGAATGGTTTTCCATTATATAATCTCCAGTAAAGAATGATGACAGGAAAATTGCACTAAAATAATTTCACCAAGAGTTAAAGAATGAAAATAACGTCAATAATGTAAATAATAACATAAGCAAGAATGACAAAAGAACTTACGAGGTTATCCATCATCATTAAGGCATAAATAATAACATAAGCAAGAATGACAAAAGAACTTACGAGGTTATCCATCATCATTAAGGCACGTTGTTTCGTTCTACCACGGCTTGACTCCCACCGGACACGTAATATGTTGCACAAACATTGAAGCTAGAAAAATAAAATAATCAGATTGTGATCAGTAGAGGTCTAAAGATCACTTGATATAGAAAGCTCAGCTCGAATAAAAGTGACAAAAGATACTATCCTCACAATTATTTTTAAAAGGGAAAGAATATGAAAAAGACGAAACTCTCATCATACTCTACCCAGTACTATTGTCCCATACCAGTTATAAATCTGTAATTCAATACATTAATTTCAGTTGATGCGAGTCATCTAACATAAAAATCATGATAAATTCATGTTATTTAAATAGTGATTAGCCAAAACAGTAACCCAAATTCATTATCTTAACGAATGAGCTACTCGGTATTTAGTGCTTCAAGGATTAGATATTGTAAATGACCCAAAATTTACAAGACTGTATCTTGTACATTTTTTAATGCAAAAAATAAAGATTAAAGAAATGGTGTTAGTGATAAGAGATCTTCTTGATAACAGACAATTATATGTAGCAACTGAAAGCATAACTTTTGTTCTTACAATGAATGGAGATGAACTCTGAGAATCAATTGCCTCTATGTATGGAGCCATTTCCCAACCTGAAACAAATTATCGGTATGAGAAAGTATTCCAGCTAAAATAAATGTCATGAATCATATATGCTGAAATGTGTAACACATACGATTCATAGATTGATTCAGAATATTCTATAAATTTTATGGGTTATCTTGCTATGCAAAAAATATGAACTGCAAGAAGCTTATGATCTCAAATAGGTTTAAAGAAGAACGAACAACATACTTTGCAATTCATCTTTACGAGTGTTTTTCTCAATAGAAAGGCACTGAGCCAGAACCAATGCTTGGTGTACTGCCTTCAATTCAGAGGCTTGCTCAACACTTTTAGACTGCCCCCCATTTGCTACGAATCTAGGGGTCATCATTACATCAGATGCTTCATAGGTTTCAGAATTTGTATGAAGTGGAGAATTGTCGGTAATGCTTGGCTCGTCGGTTACTGGAGTAACGGTATCTCCAACATTTGTTCGAGCAACAAGACGAAGTTGTGCTTTCGGTTCCACCTATAGCCAATAATCATCAGTTGATGCTGAGACAAGACAGACAAGGACTTACGACTAACTTAAGTAATGCATGTAAATATATACCTGATGCTGTGTTCGAAATCCGAGAGCCCCACTCACAACAAGATTATAATTGGATATCGATGCAGCTGATTCAAAATGTAGTCTGAAATATAATAATGTACCATGACGACAGTCAATATGCAACCTCATGTAAAACATGTGATATTACAATGATGATTGTTTTACGTTCATTTATTATCACCAATTTTCCTCACTCAAACTTCACACGAGACATTTACCATCATCTTCAGCATCTCACACGTTGACTGCCAATGCATGAATTAGAAAATATTGAATACATAAATGACTCACTTGGAAGTATCTACACGGCCGTAATAGAGTTCCAGCATCCCCACTTCCAAATGAAGCATCCCTAGAATAGTCGAACAATCTTCATTTGCACACCAGTAATCTTTAATCTTCTCCAAGGTTCCCATGTAAAGCAAACTTTCATGTGTAAGGACTTGTAACATATCGTAGATAGTCGATGAACGTTCATTCAACAATTTCTGATGCAAGAAGAAAGCTCTGGCCAACCACCATGTGATGCTTCTTACTCCATCTATTGTAGAAAAATCTCCTTGAAATAGCACATCTTTCATCCTCGTGAGGAGAGTCTTTCCAAAAATTAAGTACTGCAAGTAAAAGAAAGAAAAAAAAAATTAATACCAAGGATGACCATATGCAGAATCTGAGATAAGCAGTTCTATAGTGGATCTCCAAAAAATTAATATAGAACGACGTTCCAAGGCTACAAATATACAGCTTGAAGAAGATAAAACTGAAAATTAGTGCCTATAAAATTACAATCGCTAGTGAGCATGAAAAATTTCCTAGGTAGCAATTACAGTACTCCAGCTTAAATTAAAGATGGAAAACAGAATATGCAAGAAAAAATAACAAATTTTAGCTTAAGTAGCACAAAGCAAGTGTCTTTTGATTAACTGAAGAAGGTAAAATAAGATACAGAATACAAGATTGAAGTACCTGCAAATTAGAGAATTTTGCACTCAACTCCGAACCAACATACATTAGTTCCTTATGTGCCCACGCTTCCCAATCCGTCGAAACATCTCCTCCTATGTCATCCTTGTGGATTGATAATTCCACGAGAGGAATCAGAGGAATGTTAGCCACTGGCCTGTAAGCATGCAGACAATAGAAACGACGTTCACTTTGGCTCAACATATGCACGAAGTCCCCTATAAAATATTTATTTCGAAATTCTTTTTCTACAATTTAGATAACAAACAAATAAAACTCTAAAATGATGTGTCCTTTCTCTCTTCTTAGAAGAAACACGAATAAAGCCTAATGCTAAATGTAACAGGAGAAGCATTAGAGACGATGTTTTGAAAGCATTACACCCAGTGAATTAAAAGCTGCACATGATGTGGTGTTCAAGCGTATTTCTTGGCCCAAACTGGGGTCCCCGTAAACCAAAACATTACGAACCTTTTTCTATATGGCACTACATTGATAGTGAGTCAATTAAACTAACTTCCGCAAAAAAAAAAATCAAAATATATACAGTTTAATTTGTTATTATGGTGAAATTTGCTGTTCAGCTGTTCTCTCTCATGAAAATCCTTGAAAATAAGAAAATAATAGATATGAGGTTCAAAACTATAACCCCAGTTATAGAAAACAATTCATTTCCTAACCCATGTTCGGACATCCGCAATTATTTTAATAAATACGTGCGAATAGTGCGTAACATTAACCCCAGTTCGCTCTCACCCAAATTCTTTTGACGTGCCTGCTTCGCATACACTTAATTGGAAAACTATTCATTCTTGGGCAAAATATGTTACACGTTATCTAGCATTTTCGGAGCTCCAAAACGTTCGACATTTTTAAGGTGCGGGCATATAAATCAAAGATTGGAATCAGAATACATAATTTAACTTCAAAAAATATAGCAAAGAGAAGTATAAATTGGCAAACGAACAAAGCGGAGAATGCACGAGAAACATAACGAGTTTACTGACCCGGTAATGTTGCACTGGGTGAAGGCAAGCAAAGCAGAAACCCCAACAGCCATCACAATCAACGCTTTATAACCCAACTCCACCGAGTCTTCGCTGCCATCAACATTCAGAAACGAGCTGACGCACTCGGGCAGCGTCTCCGAGTAGAAGCGGTGAGCGGACTCGGACGAGTCCAATTGGAGACTCGAGAATAGGGTTTTAGAAGCCGGGGAGGAAGCGAGGGCTTGGAGATAGTTACCTGACTCGATGAGAGATACGGCGTCGTCTAGGAGGGTGTGGAGGCGGGGAAACGCCGGAGAAACCTGCGGCAAGGATTGGCTGGGTGACGGCGGCGGAGAGGGATAATCGGACGGCAGAGAGCAGCGGAGGAGGCGGAGCTCCAAAGACCGGAGAAGAACGGTGTCGTTTGCCGCCATTATGTGTGTGAGAAGGAGGAGGAGGAGGAAAGAGGGTTTTGGTAATGGGCAGAATTCAAGGTTTAATTTCTTGGGTAGATTACAAAAACACCCCTGAACTTAGACTAAATAACGAAGAACGCATCCACCTGTCCGTAATAACCAAAATTCCTCTTTGATGAATTATTGATCGAGTTTTTTAATCGAAAATGTGTACAATCTATTATATCTTCTGTTAAATAGTTGAGAAATAAAAGAAAATATCTGAAATTGAATAAAATGTATTCCCTAAAATAAAAAAATAAAAAATACGTGAAAAGTCACACTGTAAGGGGTTGGTGTAAAACCGAAATAAACGTCGGGGGTTTTTGGTAATTGCGAATCTCAGGGGATGTTTTTCGTTTAGCCTAAGTTCAGGAGTTTTTCGTAATTTATCATAATTTCTTTTTCTTTTCTTTTTTTTTTTTACAAATTTAAGATCTAATCTTATAATTAAAAAATAAAAATCAGATATATTTGAGCCCATTAAATAACTTATAACTTGGGCTTGTTTGGTTAGCTTTTTTTAAGTTGTCGTCTTCTTCTGTAACAATATTCGAATTGCCGAACAATAGTCGAAAGAATGGCGTAACGGCTGACGACAACATGACGTCATCCGTGACGTACGCATTTTCCCCTTATATAAATATCTTCTCACCTGTCGGTTTACACTCATCAGTCATCACTCCCAAATCCAATTTACTCCGATCACTCAAAACCCCCCTCAAACCCTACTGTAAAAATGGGAACGAATGTGCCGAGAATCAAGCTAGGTTCGCAGGGGCTCGAGGTCTCGAAGCAAGGCCTGGGATGCATGGGCATGTCAATGGCCTACGGCCCGCCCAAGCCCGAGCCCGAAATGATCGAACTCATCCACCGCGCCGTCAACTCCGGCGTCACATTTCTCGACACCTCCGACGTGTACGGCCCTCATACCAACGAAATTCTTCTCGGCAAGGTATGATTGTGTTGCTCTTTCTTTTTTCCTTTTTTTTTTAATTTTCCGCGAAATTGGGTTTTTTGTTTTTAGGTCTTTTGGAATTTTTTGTAGTTGGGATTAGAAATACTAAATTGGATATTTGGTGAATGGGTTGAAGCGTTGGGAATTTGATATTGGAAAAATTGGGTTCAAGGAATGATTGATTTTTCGTTAGTTTCAATACATTGAGCTCAATTGTGAAATATTAGTTCATAATATGGATTTTATTAACTAGCTAATAATGTAAAATTAAGCTCGTATTTGCGAATTGTGATGTATCGATGAGCTCAGTTAATTAAGCTCATGTTTGCGAATTGTGATGTATTTTCTGAAATAGTCAAAATTCAGACTTAAAGAACATGTAATGTATGATGAACTGCGTCGTTTTCTTTTTCAATCCCACCGAAATATCAAATCTTACATTTGACCACCGAGAGTTTGTCGTTAGATTAAACGAGTTGTACTATTGTGACTTACACATTGCGGTTATACAAATTTGAAGTTCATAGTGGAAGGCTGGAAGCTCGTTTTGGTTTTAAAGCTCGTTGATTATAGGTGCTCGTCTGGTGAGTTACTAATCTGTTGAAATGTAATGCAGGCATTGAAAGGGGGAATGAGAGAACGAGTGCAAATAGCGACCAAGTTTGGGATAACGCATAAAGATGGGAAGATGGAAATACAGGGGGAGCCTGCGTATGTTAGGTCTGCGTGTGAGGCAAGCTTAAAGCGTCTTGAAGTTGACTGCATCGATCTCTACTATGTTCATCGCATCGACACTCGTGTGCCCATTGAAGTCACGGTGAGTACTCCTCCACATAATATTTCTTTTGGACCCTTTATTATGATTGATGATTGGCTGTATATTTAGTGACCGTAATTGATTTATAGTTTTATTTGTTGCATGCTCTGGTAATGCAAATTATTACTTGTAAAGATAATCTTGTGCTCCCTTTCGACTTTCTCTAAAAGTTATAAGAAGGCGTATAACGATGATTGGTTCTTCAATTATGTATCTCAAGCGGGATTATAAAGTACAATTAACTCCATTTGTTTTGTTTTCACTGGGATTTTTCCTAAAATTGCATCTTATCTCATGATTTCAAAGATGGGAGAACTAAAGAAGCTGGTTGAAGAAGGGAAAATAAAATACGTTGGTCTCTCAGAAGCCTCAGCGTCGACAATCAGAAGAGCTCATGCTGTTCATCCAATAACAGCTGTTCAGAATGAATGGTCACTGTGGGCAAGAGACGTCGAAGAAGAAATAGTTCCGACGTGCCGGTAAGAAGTTTATTTTCAACAATTAATTAACAATTTATGATTCGAGAAAATATATTAGTAGTGTCAGACCATCTTTCTGCACATCTTATGAATTTCAGAGAACTTGGTATTGGAATCGTCCCATACAGTCCACTCGGTCGTGGTTTCCTTTCAGTGGGTCCCACGTTGATAGAGAACTTGTCAGAGGACGACTTCCGTAAGGTTGGTCCATTTAGTTATTTCTCTCTGCATAGTAATTAATCTTTTGATTTGTTCCAACGTTGCTTGTTGTATCTTTTGAAATCATAGACCTTCTCAACAAGCATATGAAAAAGACGATAGAGTGACTGGACTCTTGAATTGTTCAAGAATATGCTAATAACTTGAATGTATTGGAATTCTTGAATTATATGCATGCCCTTTTGGTAAATTTAAGGTTTTACGGACATTGTGACAAGGTTGTTCCCAAATTTGGCAGAAATTTCCAAGATTCCAAGGAGAGAATCTCGAAGCTAACAAGCTCGTATACGAACGGATTAGTGAGATGGCTAAGGAAAAAGGGTGCACCCCATCTCAACTAGCATTGGCTTGGGTCCATCACCAAGGAGATGATGTGAGTCCAATACCCGGTACCACCAAAATCGACAACTTTAACGAGAATATCGGAGCTTTGACTGTGAAGTTGACTTCAGACGAGATGAGTCAACTCTATGCTTTGGCCGACATTGTGAAGGGAGACAGGCATGCTTACATGGCGAGCACATGGATAAACTCGGATACGCCTCCATTGTCTTCTTGGAAAGGTGACCACTGATCATATACGCAGATTTACCGATTGTTCTACTCTTTTTGACTTTACAGCCACTATTATGTAATAGTAAATTTGTGTGTAGTAGTAATTACTCGAATAAGATCGGTGAAATGAAACGAATATTTGAGGAAAAAATATTTCAAATAGCTTATTAGCTGATAATAGATCTAACATCTTATCAGCATAAAACAACATATCAACTGTTTAAAATAATTCTAACCAGACGGACTCTAACTGATTCACATATTTATACCCTAAAATTAAAAATTGCACGTTTTAAAAATTAATTGTAATAATATTTCAAATATTTAAATAATATCATATTCGACGTAACAACTTATTAGCGTTTGAAAATAAGTTTAGCAAACATTCACGCACATCTAAAGATTGTAGCGTTTAACCGTTTCACATGTAAACCACGCCGTCAACTCCGGCGTCACGTTTCTCGGCACCTCCACCTCCGATGTGTACGGTCCCCATGCCAATGAAATTCTACTCAGTCATTTGTTAATTGACTCAAGTTCGAGCATCACGTTCAGGAAAAAAAAAATTAATAATAATAATTACAGAGTTATCCATTAGTCTACAAGGTCAAGATATATATTGACTGTTCGTAACGGCTGACGACAACATGACGGCAGCAATGACGTACGCTTTTCACCCTCTTTTAAATATCCCCTCTCTCTCTCTCCTCTCGTCACACACTCGTCAATTCATCAGTCATCACTCCCAAAATCCAATTCAATCAGATCACTCTAAAACCCCTCATAAACCCTACTATAAAAATGGGAACGAATGTGCCGAGAATCAAGCTGGGTTCGCAGGGGTTCGAGGTTTCGAAGCAAGGCCTGGGCTGCATGGGCATGTCAATGAGCATGTCAATGGGCTACGGCCCGCCCAAACCCGAGCCCGAAATGATCGAGCTCATCCACCACGCCGTCACCTCCGGCGTCACATTTTTCGATACCTCCGACGTGTACGGTCCCCACACCAACGAAATTCTTCTCGGCAAGGTATGATTGTGTTGCTCTTTCTTATTTCTTTTTAATTTTCTGGAAAATCATGTTTTGTTTTGGTCAATTGGGAATTGGGGTTTCGGAATTGGGAATTGGGATTTAATTGGTTTTAGTTGGAACCAGAAATACTAAATTGGATATTTGGTGAAGGATGTGAAGCTTCGGAATTTGATCATGGAAAAATTGGATCCAAGTATGATTGGTTGTTCGTTAGTTTTAATACCTTGAGCTCAATTGTAGATTTAAATACATTTTCGTTCTGCTATTAATGTTTTTTTTAGCTTAGTTATTATTAGGTTCTTGGTATGAAATATTAGTTCATAATATATATTTTCTTAACTAAAAATGTAAAATCAAGATCATATTTTTTATGTATGAATGAGCTCATTTGTGATGTATTTACCCAAATGGTGAAAATTCAAACTGAATGAAATAAACTGCGTTGCGTTGCTGTTTTTCTTTTACGGTACCATCGAAATATCAACTCTTACATTCCACCACTGGAGTAGAACGAGTTTGATGTTGGATTAATAGACTGCGTTGCGACTTACATATCGCTTTTACGCATTTAAAGTTCATAGTGGAAGTACAATTTGGCTCTAAAAGTTCTCATACAAATACTCGCGTCTACAATTTCTATACATCACCATAACATATTATGTAGGTGCTCCTCGTATGGTGAGTTACTGGTAATCTGTTAAATTGAACGCAGGCTTTGAAAGGGGGAATGAGAGAACGAGTGCAAATAGCGACCAAGTTTGGGATAACGCATAAAGATGGGAAAATGGAAATACACGGGGAGCCTGCATATGTTAGGGCTGCATGTGAGGCAAGCTTGAAGCGTCTTGGAATTGACTGCATCGATCTCTATTATGCTCATCGTATTGACACTCGTGTGCCCATTGAAGTCACTGTGAGTGTTTCTTTTCGAACTTTACTATGACTGATGATTGGCTGTATGTTTAGTGACCGTAGTCGAGTTGTAATTTTATATGTTGCACGCTCTCGTGATGCAAAATTATTACTTGCAAAGTTAATCTTATATGTTCCCTTTCTACTTACTCACTCTTCAAAGTTATAATTAGTAGGCTAATTGAAGTTTTGTGCCGCCGAAAGTTTGAAAATCTTGCAATATATATAGTGACTGGAGTTGCTTTGTAGTTTTATTTGTTGCATGCTCCCGTTGTTACTTGTAAAGATAATCTTGTATTGAAGTTTTATTTTGCTGGAAGCTATTAAAGAATTGCAATGTAGTTTCTCTTCAAAGTTATAGTGATGCTTGGTTCTTCGATTATGTATGTCAAGCGGATAGTGATTCTTGGTTCTTTGATTATAAAGTACAATTAACTCTATTTGTTTTGTTTTCACTGGGATTTTTTCCTATAATAATTCATCTTATCTCATGATTTCAAAGATGGGAGAGCTTAAGAAACTCGTCGAAGAAGGGAAAATAAAATATATTGGTCTCTCAGAAGCCTCAGCTTCGACAATCCGAAGAGCTCATGCTGTTCATCCAATAACAGCTGTTCAGAATGAATGGTCACTGTGGGCAAGAGATGTCGAAGAAGAAATAGTTCCTACATGCCGGTAAGAAGTTTCTCCTACTATTATATTTTTTTTTGATAAAACAGTAGCTAATATTCACATTTCTTCATATCTTATATACAAATTTCAGAGAACTTGGTATTGGAATTGTCCCATACAGTCCACTCGGTCGTGGTTTCCTTTCAGTGGGTCCCACGTTGATAGAGAACATGTCAGAGAGCGACTACCGTAAGGTTGGTGCATTTAGTTACTTTTCTCTGCAGAATAATTGATCTTTCAGTTTGTGTTCTTACTCTCACCCAACTCTTCTTCCTACTGATAGCATTTTCAATGTTGCTTGTTATATATTTTGAAATTATAGACCTTCTGATTGTTGTAAGATTGTATTTTTAACTTGAATATTTTGGAAGTCTTGAATTATACGCGTGCTCTTTTCGTTAAATGAAGGTTTTACAGACACTATGATAAGGTTTTTTCCAAATCTGGCAGAAATTTCCAAGATTCCAAGGAGAAAATCTCGAAGCTAACAAGCTGGTATATCAACGGATTAGCGAAATGGCTAAGGTAAAAGGGTGCACCCCGTCTCAACTAGCATTGGCTTGGGTCCAGCACCAAGGAGATGATGTGATTCCAATACCAGGTACCACCAAAATCGACAACTTCAACGAGAATATCGGAGCTTTGACTGTGAAGTTGACTTCAGAAGAGATGGGTCAACTCTATGCTTTGGCCGACATCGTTAAGGGAGACAGGCATGTTTACATGGCGAACACATGGATAAACTCGGATACTCCTCCATTGTCTTCATGGAAAGGCAACTACTGATCTACTCTTTTTTACTTTAGAACGAATAAATGCCCACTATTATGTAATAGTAAATTTGTGTGTTGTAATTACTCGAATATGATCGGTGAAGTCAAACGAATATTTGAGAGAGAAAAAACATTTCAAACGAATATATTTGTTGAATATTGAATCGACTATGATACTTTAAAATGAAGTGAAAATAAGAGTCGATGATTTGAAATTTGGTGCTAGATGAATCCATTCGATTAATGAATTTGTTAATCTTGTAATTGTTTCCGGCGTCCGACTGAAAATGTAACACAATGATAAAATTGATAATCCTAACGGACAAAATTTGAATGAAACGAAAATAGAACGAACCTGATAAGAAATTGATTCTTATACGTGTGAAAATCGAACTAAACAAAATTCAACATTTTGTTTAAAATGATAGGAAACTCAGCTCGAGTTTGATTTTCGATTCGATTGATTAAAGCTAGATTTATATCTTTAATTTCAATTCAAGAACTTAAAATAAATTTCATTTAAGAAAATATACTAAAATAAATTTCTATAGACTGTAGCGTTTAACCGTTCCACATGCAAACCACGTGCGTAAATCAGAATAGTATGCGTTCAGAAGAGTCCAACAATGGCGTTATATTCTCTTTTTACTTGTTCTTAATTATCACTCTCAACTCAATTCCCCAAATCCAATTCAATTTGGATCACCGAAAAAACCCTAATTCAAAAACCCAAAAATTGAAATGGGAACGAATGTGCCGAGAATCAAGCTGGGTTCGCAGGGGCTCGAGGTTTCGAAGCAAGGGCTGGGATGCATGGGCATGTCAATGGCCTACGGCCCGCCCAAGCCCGAGCCCGAGATGATCGAACTCATCCACCACGCCGTCAACTCCGGCGTCACGTTTCTCGATACCTCCGATGTGTACGGTCCTCGTACCAACGAAATTCTACTCGGCAAGGTGCTTCTCTCTCTCTCTCTCTCTCTCTCTCTCTCTCTCTCTCTCTCTCTCTCTCTCTCTCTCTCTCTCTCTCTCTCTCTCTCTCTCTCTCTCTCTCTCTCTCTCTCTTCTCTCTCTCTCTCTCTCTCTCTCTCTCTCTCTCTCTCTCTCTCTCTCTCTCAATACTTTACTAGATATTTGGTAAAGGGTCTGAATTTGATTCCAAACAAACTAGGGTTCAAATATGATCGATTTTGAGTTGCAGTTATGGTTGAGTTGTAAATATGGTTTTTTTTTTTTTGCAAAACTACCCATGTGTAATCCTCTAATTGTTAAAAAGACCCTTTGTTAAAAAAATTAACAAGAACAGCCCTGTGAAAAATAGAAGGCCAAAAAAGAAACCTAACAGCTTATCTTGTAATGCACGCGCGAATTGTGAGGTAGAAGTGTATTTTTTTTTTTTTTTTTGAAATACCCTATGAAATTCTTTTTGGGTTTTTTTTTGTTTTTTTAATGTTTATGTTGTAAGGGTAATTTGGTCATTTCACACAAGTAAACAATAAATTCGAAATAAGGACCGGTGTGCTTTAACTTAAAAAAAAAAAGCACAATATGAGGGGCTTCTTGCTAAAAATTTTAAGGTAGGGGTTTTTTCGACAATTAGAAACAACACAAGGAGGTGTGTGCTATTGGCGTTTCTAATTATGTTTAAAATCAGGAGATTTTTCATGCACAAGATATATATTTATCTCATTTAAGTTTTTGATTTTAGTTTCCATAATGATCGAAATTTCGATTGGTTGTCCCTCTTCTTGATCTGCACTTGGGATTCTCATCCTTATATTCGGTGGTGATGATGCAGGCTTTGAAAGGTGGAATGAGGAAAAGTGTGCAAATAGCTACAAAGTTTGGGGTAACGCGCAGCAAAGATGGGAAGATGGAAATACACGGGGAGCCTGCGTATGTTAGGGCTGCATGCGAGGCAAGCTTAGAACGTCTTCAAGTTGACTGCATCGATCTTTATTATGCTCACCGGATCGACACCCGTATCCCCATTGAAGTCACAGTGAGTACTCCGATCCTCTGGTCGAACGTGATGCAAAATTTTACTCGTGTACATAATATTTTTGCTCTCTTCTTTATTTTCTATTTGAAGTTATAAGCAGGGCAATCTGAGTTTTCGGTGGGGCTTCTCCTAATATAATACTATCTTCTTTCTCGATTTCGAAGATGGGGGAACTAAAGAAACTCGTCGAAGAAGGGAAAATAAAATATATTGGTCTCTCGGAGGCCTCAGCTTCGACAATCAGAAGGGCTCACGCCGTTCATCCAATCACGGCTGTTCAGAGCGAATGGTCGTTGTGGGCAAGAGATGTTGAAGAAGAAATAATACCTACATGCAGGTAAAACATTTTTTTTATTCAATAAAACAGTAGCTATATATATTATTAACCTTTCTTCATATCTTATACACGAATTTCAGAGAACTCGGTATCGGAATCGTTCCGCACAGTCCGCTCGGTCGTGGCTTCTTTTCGACAGGTCCTAAGTTGATGGAGAATTTATCGGACGGTGATTTTCGTAAGGTTGGTAAAATTAAATATCTCCAATGACTATATATTTTTTTAACCTCTTTAAATTAATACAGTAGGGACTAACAAAATTCTATTAATTTAGTGAAAATATTAAATTATCGAACTGACAATTTAATGCGTTTTTACCGAGTCGGGACCGGAAGAAATTATTATTTAAGCGAGATTATTAATTTATCGAGATGCTATTGTATATGTTAAAATTTTGGCAGATGATTCCGAGGCTTCAACCGGGAAATATCGAAGCTAATAAAGTGGTGTACGAACGGATTAGTGAGATGGCTAAGGAAAAAGGGTGCACCCCATCTCGACTAGCGTTGGCTTGGGTTCATTACCAAGGAGATGACGTCAGTCCGATACCAGGTACCACCAAGATCGACAACTTCAACGAGAATATCGGAGCTTTGACTGTGAAGTTGACTTCGGAAGAGATGAGTCGACTCTCTGCTTTGGCCGATTTTGTTAAGGGAGATAGGCACGTTTTCATGTATAGCACGTGGATAAACTCGGATACGCCTCCGTTGTCCTCTTGGAAAGGCGAATACTGATAGAGTACGATAATAAACGAGATCGTTTATGTTACTAAATGTGTGTTGTGGTAAGTACTTCAAATATGATCAAATAAACGCGTGTTGGATGAAAAATGCGAAAAAAAAAAATTAAAAAAAATCACGACTGATTACTAACTTCAAGCACTCCACCGTAACATGTTTATAATTACGATCACTATTATTAACAGCAGCTGGTATAATTACCGAAAGGTGATTTTTGGCACGAACAAATACGATAATACGCTACCCCTTCCTATACGATAATACGAACAAACATTGGCTCGAGACATTTTCTCTGCCTTGAAAAAGTAGGGGACCTTACGTTCTTGAATCGATAACCATCTTTCGACTAACCTAGCCTGCTCGATCCTCGGAACCAACATATTTTTATGATATATTTTTTTTTTAATTTGGAAACACTACTAAAAGATGAAATTATCTTTGTAGCCTTAAAATTTCAATTGAGGAGCAATGTGAATTATTTATTATATTTTGAGACTGCAAAGTGCTATTATTAGTTTTTTTGGGTGCAAAATGTAAATTGTCACATGGTGCAAAGTTGATTTAAGACATTAATTAACAGGCTGGTAATTAATTTATTAATCAATTAATTAAATTAAAAAAAATATCAACCAATTAAATATTTTTTTTAGGAAAATAAATGTTAATTAAGTTATTAGATCTAAAATTAAAAGAAAAAAATGCTCAAAAAATCTCTATTAATTATAATCTATTATGAAAGGATAATTATTAATTAGAGGCAAAATGCCCAAAAATTCTGAAGACTGAAAAGAAGTCAAAATCGAAAAACACCTCTCTATAAATATTTTGCTGCCAAACCAATGATCATCCATCATTAGAAAAAAAAAACCCCAAGAAGAAAAATCCAGAGAAAAAAAAAATGGAGTCACGCTTCTACTCGCTACTTCTCTTACTTTTACTGCTCGATTTCCTCACTCTCAATCGAGCCGATTTGAACGGCGCCGGAGTTATCAAAGTCAATTACAAATTCGCCGGCGCCGACCCCACTCTCAGCGCCCTTAGAGCTCACGACGACGTTCGCCACCTCTCCATCTCCGCCGGCGTCGACCTTCCCCTCGGCGGCACCGGTCGACCTGACGCCGTCGGGTGCGTTTGTCAATTTTCGTTTCGATTTTCTCTTTTCCGTTTTCAATTGCTTAAATTTGTGCTTGGAGCTTTTTTTTTTTTTTTTTTTTTTTGTGTTTTTAATTTAAATTGCCCTTAGAATGGATAGTTGTGAAGTTGTGCATACTTGAATGTAGTGGCGAAATGATTTCTTAGTGAATTGATGCTTGGATTCAATTGTTTGAAAAAAACGAAATTGAAGTAGGATGTGCTTATGTTGTGGTGAATGTTGCTTCTGGTAATCAATTCAATCAAATCAATTCAATGTTGCTTCTGGTAATCAATTCAAATTATAGGAGCTTACGGGGTTGCGTTTAGTTCTCTCTGATAGAATGGAAGAATTAACTGGTCTTAATGGGGATTAGATGAAGTGAAGTACTGTGTACTTAGTTACATATTGGGCATATGCACAGGTGAATTATTAACTACTAAATAGTCATGCGTAACTATGAAAGGTTTCTACATTCTGTCTAAGCATCCTCGTGGATTGCTGTCGGTTTTGCTCAATACACGATGCTGTATGTTTTTTTTGATTGTGCAGGCTCTATTACGCTCGAGTAGGCATTGGAACGCCTGCAAAGGATTACTATGTGCAAGTTGACACAGGGAGTGACATAACATGGGTTAACTGCATTCAGTGCCATCAATGCCCCCGAAGAGGATACCATGACGTATGACCCTTATCTTTATGTCGTTACATATATTGGACCTAGGGCTAAACTTCTATGCATTTAAAATACATGCATCCCTTTGCTCTCATCTCTAATTGAATAGATCATATTCTATGTTTTTGCAGATAGAACTTACCCTTTACAACCCAAAAGAATCTCTTACCGGGAAACTAGTACCTTGTAATCATGGTTTTTGTAAAGAGATTGGTGGAGGCTTATCGGGTTGCAACGCAAATACGTCATGTTTGTACACTGAGGTTTATGGAGATGGGAGCTATAGCATGGGCTACTTTGTTGAGGATATTGTCCAGTACGATCGAGTCTCTGGTGATTTGGAAACCAAATCAGCTAATGGAAGTGTTATTTTTGGGTATGTTTTAATCTTTTGTCTTATCATCTTTGTGGTGGCAAGTACTACTGGTAGTCATTTTTTATGTGCTAGCAGTAACTTTTTGTGATTTATCATTTTGAAATAGGAATTTATGTGTCATTCTTATCCATTGCTTGGGAAGTATATATTAAATGTTTGTAGGAGTTACTATCTGAATGTTAGTGAATTAGAGCATTTTCTATGCCTTGTGGAGCCTCTGACATGTAGCAAATTAGCAAGCCTCAAGATCTTAGTGAATTTAGTAGAAGTTCATCCTAAAAATATCGAGACTAGCGTTATGCCACATAATGGATAGGTATATTTATAACCACAGGAAGATATAAAAAGTCTGTTATGCTATAAAATTTCTGCTTGAGCACTTTAAACTTTAGATAACACACTGCTACAGTTCTACATACCAATAATCATTCTATGAAATTATGTGGTCTCAAGATGCAAACATGCTAATTGCTGAATTTGGTAGGCTCGCTCAGGTCTCATTTTAATTCAGGTTAGATGTAAATACTGGTTAAGGTATGGAATATCAATTGAATTTTTATATTCTTTCGGATAGAAAGGTGAGTTAATAAGTTACATGTGTATGCCTAGGTTCATATTATAATTCTTGCCAAATATTCTCGTATTGTTTTCATATTCAGAGGGAAAAAAGGTAGAATGCACCTGATTCGTCATGTCTCTCCTCATCATGCCATTTTCTCTGATATATTTGAGTGTATTGTACTCCCATTTATTCTGGGCACTCGCATTTTATTCTGTGTATATTGATAGGAATTCATGGCTTTATCATCAGTTTGTCTCAAACTGAATGACGCTTCTGAAAGTATTTCATCTCCTCTCTGTGCATGGAAATATTACTAATATAGAAATATAATTCTTATCTTTGTTGTCTTATTAATGGTTTCTTGAATCTAATATGTATATATGTTTTTTGCTTTATAATTTATTAAATGCAATCTTTTTGAGCAGATGTGGTGTGAGACAGTCGGGAGATCTGGGACCATCAGATGATGCACTTGATGGAATATTAGGTTTTGGAAAATCAAATTCATCAATGCTCTCACAGCTAGCTTCATCGGGGAGAGTGAAAAAGATGTTTGCACATTGCTTAGATGGTGTAAATGGTGGAGGTATTTTTGCTATTGGGCATGTTGTTCAACCCCAAGTCAACACAACACCGCTTGTGCAAGATCAGTATGTCGCATCCTTTCCTTTCATTCTACTTATTTCACTTTGCTTTAAGCCTGTAGTTATGGATTCATTTTCATAAAGTAAATTGACGATTTGCTACCACTCCAAACCTTATATTAGACCAATTTTGGAAGTATTGTTTTAGGGTTTTTTTTTTTTTTTTTTAATTCCAAATACTATGTCCGGCGACTACTCTATGACTGGTTTATTCTTCATGATCCAGGCTCAACAAATTTCTTTGGTCTCGCATCAGTTTTTTTATTTTCTTCTAGGAGTTTCCTGTTTACTGAACCTTACACTACTTCTTGATGAAACTGTAGGCCCCATTACAATGTTAATATGACAGCCGTTCAAGTTGGTCATGATTATCTGAATCTGACAGTAGATTTGTATACAATTGGAGACCAGAAAGGGGCGATAATTGATAGTGGTACCACACTGGCATATCTGCCAGAGGTAATTTATGACCCACTAGTGGAAAAGGTACTTATCTGTCACTGTTTCCAGGAAATTTACTATTATTGCTAGAGTCGAGAATGTAAGCTTATTATTCTCTGTGCTTTATATTTTTTAGATACTCTCTTGGCAGCCGGATTTGAAACTGCAAACACTTCATGATCAATACACTTGCTTTGACTATTCGGGAAGGTATCTGTTGATGCTCTCTTCAGAGATAGATTTCCGTTGATGTTACTTTTTATTATATCTACTGTGATTGTGGGGCATCTCTATACAATAGTATGCAATTTTTCCAAGCTTTACTTGTGTTTCAATATAAATTTGTGTCATTTGCTGCAGTGTCGATGATGGATTTCCTCCCGTGACTCTTCATTTTGAAAATTCACTTACTCTGATGGTTTATCCTCATGAGTATCTGTTCCCATTTGTAAGTATATTCTATTGTTTTAAGTATAATATAGCATGGTTTTGCATGACTACTAACATATGTTTTTAATTTTCAATATTTGCCTATTATTCTGGTTAAGTTGTAGTGTGTATTGTGTAATAATAAGAAGCTTCTATGAAGATGTTAAACATGTGGGACCGTGAAATTGTTTCCTTGGAATACCTTGCTCCAAATGTTTCCTTGATTGCTCGCGCTGCCCCTTAATTGCCTATATAAGGCATGGGTCTTTTTATACCGTAGTCCATTGAGTAGAAAGTAGTGAAGTGTTACTAACTGTCTACATTTTTTGTGTTATTACGGGCAGCTCCCTCTTGATAATAACAGTGTACTGGTCAACAACATTTCTGAATTTTGTCTTGCATCAGATTTTCTGGCATTCTTAGAAGCCCCTTGAGATTATTTTGATAAACTAGAGATTTTGTGAAATCAATTAAGTGCGTACAATCATGAATGCTACCTTAAAAACAGTAATGAAGTTGTTTATCTGCACAACTTTCTTGTGCCAAACAATAGAGGTTGAGAAGTGTGCAATCTAAGTTTAACCATTTGAATGATTATTGACTCCCAGCAGTGCCCATATACATAAACAATATTCCTTTCTTTCAAACATCAAATAATTAATACCTAGGTAGAGATTGGTCAAAATAACTTTTAGATGCTGGTATTCTGGTACACAAACTGCAAACTATGGACTGCAATAACGAGTTTGTGCTGTCAACTTTTACATCTACAGTGACCGAACTGGTTTGCTGAAATTAGAGTAGACATAATGTTTGGTTGCTTTGCTATTTCTCTAGTTGATGATTTTTTTCTCTTGCCGCATATTCGCCGTCATTTTCGTTAATCAAGAAACATTAAATTCATGTCCGGGAAATGAATTTTGTTATTTTTCTTTTTGGACAGGAAGATTTGATGTGTATTGGATGGCAAAACAGTGGCATGGAGTCCCAGGAGAAAAAGAATATTACTCTTTTAGGAGGTATTTTGTCAATTCGTATCTTATATTTAAGTTACTTAAGTCGAACGGGATTTTTTATTTTAACAGTCAATTCTTGATAATCAACCTCTTAAACTATTGAAGTGCTATCAGGAACTATAGTCTGCTGCTCTCTATTTTCAACGAGCATTCTTAATTTTTTTTTTCTTTACCATATCTTCTAGTAGTTGTTGGCAGTTCATCGAGCTAATTATGATGACTCTTAAATTCTCGATGCAAAAGTGTTTTTTAGTTCTGAATTTTGTTTGGTCTAATGCTGGCAGATTTGGTCCTAGCAAATAAGCTAGTCCTGTATGATCTTGAAAATCAAACCATCGGATGGACCGAATATAACTGTAAGTATTGATGTACATGCACTTTCGATTTCCTAATTCTTCATGCCATATTTTTTATCTGGAAAATGCTCGATGCTACTTTGCTTGAGGATTTACTATTTCCGACTATTAAATATTTTTTTTCAGGCTCCTCGAGTATAGAATTGAAGGACGAAATAACAGGGTCGGTACATTTAGTAGGAGCGCACTCACTGTCCAGTGGCTGCAGTTTGAATGTCCGATATATAATCCTCTTAGTGATGATGGCTCTGCTGCATGGTTTGATGTTCCCGCCGATACTATGACTTCCGATCGAACTTGCAAAAGGTTTTAGTAATATAGGAAATATCGAAATCTGGAAGAGAAATCTTTCGAGAAAATGACGACAAAGGGCATAAACTCGAATAGATGTGCATAAATTTCACAATTGGCAAAGCTTACAGTAGTAGTATTATATAGCTCATTTCACCTCCAATCTTAATACACAATTTGCATTTTTGTAGGCATTATACTAAGTCCTGATGTAGATAGTTCCTTGTACATATATATGTATACTCTCTTTTATATATATATATATATATATATATATATATATATATATATATATATATGGCTGAGAATGCTTTGTTCCATTAGTTCTATTTTTATAATTCAAAGTGTCGACACTTCATCAAATAGTGGTGGACGATCTTTTTTTCTGGTTTGTTAAACCGGACATGCAAGCATTATATATAATTTATTTTTATGCAAAATTACGAAATCCCCCCAAACTTAGACTAAATTATGAAAAACACCCCTACCTATTCCTAATTACCAAAACTCCCTTGACCTTTGTTTATACCGGGTGTGATTTTTTATCGAATGTTTTTTGTTTAGGAGAATATGCCCCAAAAAATGCCAATTTTGTCCCTATAGACACGTAGAAGATATTGAATGCAGCCGTGCATGGATGTTTAAAATTTTTGGCTATGAATGCTATGATGGTTCATCGAAGAAGTTTAGTGACGCTGCAATGTGATGTTGAAGAAAATGAGGTTACTGTAGAAGGTATATCACGGTCACCTACATTTAAGGGACTGTTCTTAGGGGTAAAATTGGCATTTTATGTGTGATATTCCCCTGGAATTAAAAAAAATTCATGAAAAGTCACATTATAAGAGGGTCGATGTCAGACGGAAACAAATATTGGGGGATTTTGGTGATTACGAACAGGTGTGGTGTTTTTTGTTGTAAGACAATATTTAAAGAAATACATAAAATATTATCTTACTTAATGCTAAAATGTATATATAGGAAAACCTAATACTTTATTTATTTGACTTCACGATTAGTAGTAGGCTAGTAGTAATGATTTCATATAACATTATGTTGTATGATTTCATATACCACATTGGATGTGGCAAATTTACCAATTCCTACTTTGGGAAATACTCATACAAATATACAATCATTAGCATCACACAATTGAAGAAGCTCGTAATAATTGACCTCACTCCCCTATTAAACATTTCATATCGTTTACCGAACTGAATATACAATTTGGTTCGGTAAGTAACCAAACTACATCACCATAATTTAATTTGCCATAAAAAAATAATAAAAGAAATAGATAAAGAGTAGGCATGCAAAAATGAGGAACCACAGGCATTGGAGCCCACACCACACCCCCATTGGATTTACAACAAATCTGTACGCATGCATTTATTATCTATCATTCCCCTTTCTCTCTCTTCTTTCTCTCTCTAGAATTCCCAATTCCCACCGCCACCACCTTCCTTCTCTTTGTCTCTCTACTTTCCCTTTCTGCTCTCAAGTGTTGTTCAGTAATTGAGTATAGCCCACCACTAAACCCTCATCCCATTTACAAACCAACAAGATATATATATATATATATATATATATATATATATATATATATATATATATATATATATATATATATATATATATATATATATATATATATATATACTGTATACACACATATATATACAGGACACCACTGAAATAATACATGTATATATATAAAAAAATATTCTCTTTATCGACAAAATTAATTGTTATCTGCTGCTGCTGCGATCCTTGAAGATAACCATTAGTTCCGAAAACCCACTTCTTTTTATTACTGAGGTATGTCTCTATTTTGATTGCCTTCCAGTTATTTTTCTTCGATTTTTCATGTTTTTCGGATTTTATCTTGTACCGTTTGTTGTTGGCTGAATGATTCTGATTAGTTCTGCTTCAGAAATTATAATCTTTCCTTTTTTGGTTTGTTTATTGAAAATTTTCTTCATAATTAATTAATTATAGCTCTAAATTACCCCCTTTGTTTTCCTAATTCTTTCTCTCTATTTGTATTTACACTCCTTGTAAGTGTAATTAATTGGGTTTTTTCGGTTTGACCCCTACTCGAATTCGATTGCCTTTTAATTTGCAAAAATCAGAGGATTTAAATGAAAATATATTTCTATGGTGGAGTGGTATGGATTTTCTCTGGGTTGGGAGTTCTTTAATTAACTGTTATTACTATGATTATTGCTGCTGTGTTGTCAAATTTTCGACTGTTTATAGATACTGTAATTATTCTATTACAAGATTTCTTGTTCTTGTGGTAATGAGAAACAACAAAAATGTAGGTTCACGAAAGAAAGAAGAAAGAAAACTATGTCGTACGAAGGGGTTGACCAAATGGACTACATGGTCGATGAAGGAGACGTTGTAGATTCTGCTGACGAGGCCAACCTCGATGAGTATGATTTGGTTAGTCGTATTTCCTATTTTGCTTTATTATTAAAAATGGATGGTTATAACTTATACATATGTATTGTGTGTGTAGCTCGTGTGCATTGTGTTTATTTTAAGTATGCAATTTAGTAATTGAATTAAATATTTGGTTCGTGTAGCTAATGCAAGTGACGGATACATCGGCTTCACAAGCAAGGAAAGGGAAGGATATACAAGGTATTCCATGGGATCGATTGCATATAACAAGGCAAAGCTACAGATTGACGAGGCTTGAACAGTATACAAATTACGAGAATATACCTTCGTCTGGCGAAGCAGTTGATAAGGTGAGAAATTTTCGGCAGTTTCTTTTTTCTTTCTTTTTTACTTTTCCTTGACGAATACTATTTGCAACTTTCGTTTTGTGACCTGTTTATTTATTTTTTGGTTAGGAATGCAAACCGACGAAGAAAGGAGGCATCTACTATGATTTCATTTACAATACACGATTAGTCAAACCTACTATACTTCATTTTCAGGTATGCTTGAAAATGCTTTCGAGAATCGAGTATGCATATTTAATCCCAGTGAAGTCTTTTATTGCTTATATTTTTCTCTGGCTTTATTTCGTTTCAAAAATGAATTCTGCACAATTTGTTTTCTTTGTCCCTGTTTGTTTGCAATTGATTTTTGGGTTTGTAAATAGTTGACTTTTGTTATCCCCTCATGATCTAATGCTTGCATCTTAGGTTCCGAAACTCTACGCTAGTTGACTATGCTAATTTATAAATCATTTGAGTTCCATTTATGTTATGCCGGTATTTCATCTTTTTATTTCTATACGATATTTATTTCAAAGTGCTTTTCATGTTCAAGTAAAACCAGCCTCGATTGTTTTCTTTGCCAAGGTCAATGATGTTTTCCATGTTTTGTAATAATGACGAATTATATTCTTGATTGAGATTGCTTCTCTATTAATCACACGATCTTTATAACAGTTGTTAGTGATATTATTACAGTTAAGGAACTTGGTGTGGGCTACGTCGAAACATGATGTCTATTTTGTTTCGAACTATTCGGTTATGCATTGGTCATCATTATCCCAAAACTTGACCGAAGTACTAAATTTCTCTGACCATATTGTGCCGACTGAGGTACTATTTTTTGTTGTTTTTGTTTTATTATTTTATTTTAACACGGAAATCATGTTTTACGTTCTCTTTTAATACAATTTTACCATCGGTTATTTCATTTTGTTAACGTAGAGAAATCCAGGGACGTTGACGGAAGGTTTTACACGAACTCAGTTGAGCACAGTGGCGGTGAAAGACCGTTTACTGGTGGGTGGTGGCTTCCATGGAGAAATTATTTGTAAGGTGAGAACTTAAGTTGAAAACAAGCTACTTGGTTATGTCTTCTTATTAAAAATGCATAAGCTTAATTGTTGAGGTTAAAATAGTTATGCACAATAGTATGTATTAATTATATGGTTGGAAACCGGACTGATCAGATTGGAATTAGCACTTTTGAAAAAAATCTATTTTTTCAAAAGAATTGAAAATCTGTTCCAATTCCGTTCCAATTTGAATTTCTGAAATTGGAATGAAAAAAATTGTTCTAAACTCGGGAATTTTTCGCTCGGCGGATTTGGACTTTCATTTTTTAGTTACCTATAATATAAAATACATAACAAAATTGATATTATGAGTGTAATCGTGAAAAAGTAATCAATATTTTTGGAAACTAGAATCGAATCGGAAATCAGAAGTATTTCAATTCCATTCCAAAAAAAATCAGAGAAATTGAAAAACGATTTTTTTTGAAATTCGGGATGATTCTTTATCTCCCCTGTAATTAATTGTTTAGTTGGTCTTCATATTCAATGCTTGCACAAAACCCGTTTGTAATGGTGGATTTTATCTGTTTGAGATTGCAGTATCTGGATAAACCAGGTGTAAGCTTTTGCACGAGGACAACACATCGGGAGAATGCTATTACAAATGCCATCGAAATATTCGAAAGTTCCAGGTAAATTTTATTGTTTGCCATGTAGCAATTTGCTCTGCTTTTGTATTGTCTAATTGTCTCGTTTCATTAAGTTGATTATTTTTGCGGCAGTGGACTGCATTTTATGACATCGAACAATGACTCCGGTGTAAGAGAATATGAGACAGAGAGGTTTCAGCTCCTTAACCACTTCCGTTTCCCTTGGCCTGTCAATGTAAGCTTCTCTCTCTCTTACGTATTTTTATCTATGTGCACATATATACTTTGTTTTTTAATAAAAAGAAATCTTTAATAAATCGTATATATTGAGTAATTTAGAATTTGCCATTCTACTCTTGATGTGCAGCATACATCAATGAGCCCCGATCGCAAGCTTATGACGGTTGTTGGAGATGATCTTGATGGATTACTTGTAGATGCGCGCAATGGGAAGGTATTCAAACTCGATAACCTCTCCGTCTAATTAGATAACATAACCATTTTTTGTTTAATGCCAATATTCTGTCAAGGGTAAAAATGGAATCTCCAATAATAGTGTTTCTCATCATGAATTTCGGAAAGTTTCGATTTTCGATTTTTCCGATACTTTTTTGGGACGGAATTAGAATACATATCAAACTACAATTCCAAAAGTATTTTCGACATTCTGAATTTTCCGAAAAGTATTTTCCAAAAACCTGAGTCCCCAAATTACTAGAAACATCCCCGAAACTTTTAGATATTTAGGGAAATTATCCTGAAACATTTCTAGCAGGTGTCATGAAGTTTCGATTTCCGAAACTTGTCCGAAACGTGAAAACGCTTCTATACAGAAGTTTCCGTGCATCGTAGGCTGTAATTTGTCCCAAAAAAATAAAAAAAATTGATGCATGAATTTTTTTTAATAATTAATAGCACGAATTGAAGATTGATGCTTAAATCTTCTCGTATATTTTTTTTCTTCTTTCTTCAGACAGTCTCGTCAATTGTGGGCCATCTAGACTACTCGTTCGCATCAACATGGCATCCGGATGGCAGAATATTTGCAACGGGGAATCAGGACAAGACGTGCAGAGTGTGGGACCTACGAAACATGTCAGCACCAACTGCAACACTCAAGGCTAACATAGGCGCAGTCAGATCCATTCGTTTCTCCGGTGACGGTCAGTTTCTAGTGGTGGCCGAACCTGCAGACTTTGTTCACATTTACAGCACTAGAGATAATTACGAGACAAGGCAAGAGCTTGATTTCTTCGGTGAGATATCCGGAGTTTCTCTTAGCCCAGATGACGAGTCTATCTATATCGGAATTTGGGACCGTACTTATGCCAGCTTGTTGCAGTATAACCGAAGACACACTTACGAATATCTCGATTCACTTATATGATATATATATATATATATATATATATATATATATATATATATATATATATATATATATATATATATATATATATATATGTAGAGTAATGAATCGTTTTCCTTTCGTGCTTTTCGATGATGTCTATGCTAGTTCGGTAAAAACTGTTTCTTTTTTGTCCTTGATTTGGTTGTCTCACAATTGAGTTGAATGTGTACAGTTAAACTAGTTCTTGAAAGAAGGATGGACTCTCTCTCTCTGGTAAACTTCATTTTACCATATGTATGTATGTCTGTTTCTTTTCCTTAAAAACCAAAGCCAAGTGTACTGGAGAAGAATCAAATTCCCTTTTTTCTTACAGCAGAAAAAAATTGAGAAGAAGGTAAGAAAATCAGGTTGCCCTATTTAATTGTATGCTGGAAGTAGTGTAGGACCTATGATTGGATCAGGATAGACTGAAACTCAGTGACAATTGTTTCTATTTAAATTTTGTTTTTTTAATCTCTCTTTTTTTTTCTTTTTCCTTTTTTTTATGGTTTTTCTATTTTATTTTATAAATATTAGTTATTCTAAATTATTTTTTCATAAATACTCCAAAAATTATTAGAGAGCACCTCACATTTGGAAGATTTCAGAAACCGTGCAGTATGGGTTCACGTTTCATGCAACAATAACTCAAAAAAAAAAAAAAAACGTTTCATGCAACAATAAGGACAATTTTGACAATTCAATTCAAAATAATTTCAATTTTGAAACAATGTATTTAAATTAAAAAAAATTATGTACTTAATTTTGAATTTCAAAAATTCTGAATTTATTTCCCTATTTTTTTTATTTCTTTTTGCGTTCGAAATTGGATATATGCGTTGAACTGCAGTTTTAATTTCCAAAGAGTAATTTCAGAAATTAATCTTTCTTTTCGGAAAATTACACCTTTAATATCAATAGGGTAAATTACAATCACCCCCGAAGTAAGGTCAAACTATGAAAATCTCCTATTGTTTGGATAATTACCCCTCAACTATGAATTTTCTGTTATAGAATAACATATTATATATACTATAATAGTGCTTAAGTAAAATAGCAAAGACAAACAAAGTGTATAAACGAGAGATGAGAGAGATTATAAATTGCTGATCAAATCTCTGTATATATTGTTTTCTCTTCCATTCCCGTAGGTGGGTATTTATATACAAGAAGCTATAAGCATTGTCATGCTTGATGTATGATATCTATTACAATTGAATGACACGTAGCATGTCATTACTTAGTCCACAAGAATGTGTTTTTATAATACTCCCCCTTGGACTAAGTATTATTGATAGCAGATTGTAAAGTGGATGAGTGAAAATATATGCCTCGTTAAAAACCTCAAGCCGGAAAACTCAGTGGGATAAAACCGATCAAAAGGGAAAAAGAGTGCATAACTCAAATCCAAGCCGCGTGCATAAGCTGCCTCATTAAAAACTTTTGCTGGAAAACCCAACAGGACAAAACCAGTCAAAAAGGGAAAAAGAGTGCGCGCACTATTGCTCCCCCTGAAATGAACAGTATAACCTCCAAAATCGGCCGTCAATCTTGCTTCACATTGGCTCTTCTCATTCCAATTGCGTATACCAACTTCTCAAATGTAGAAGTCGGTAAGGACTTCGTAAATAAATCAGCAAGATTGTTGCATGAGCGAACTTGTCGAACACCGATCTCTCCATTATTCTGAAGCTCATGTGTGTGGAAGAACTCTGGTGCTATATGCTTGGTCCTATCACATTTTATGTATCCGCCCCTTTCCTGTGCTATATAATCAACATTATCATGTTAATTAGGCATGCTTGTTTGGTAAATCAACAAGATGTACCTGCAACATTACAAAACAGTGAGTCATTATTCACTGTAATAATCATCGTAGACAATCTATTGATCAATTAAAGAATGTAAAAATATTATCGATGATTATCTCATTTATATCCCATATTTCATTGCAATAACTTATGGGATTCTCGGTATTCCCGAGATTTGATATCGACTTTTCGATATCAGGCTCAACAGATTTATCTGGAGCATTCTCACTAGGAATCGCCTCATTTGAGGGTTCATTGGGTTTTCCCTTTCTTTTTCTATGAACAACGTCATTTGACCCAATAGGTCTACCCCGTTTTTGTCGTGGGGGATCATCATTCATTTTCGCATGTTCTTCAAGAACAACGATCCTAGCTGGAACATTCACAGCTGGAATATAAGACTTCGTGACTTTACTGGCATCCTTAAATGCATCAGGAAGTCTATTGGCAATATTTTGTAAATGAATGATCCTATGGATCTCATTTTCGCATTCAGAGGTACGTGGGTCGAGATGAGATAAATGTTGCTCACGCCATGTGAGATTCTCGATTGGTTTTTGTTTATCATTATCACGGATATTCTGAATATCCTTGCCAATCGGTATAAATAATGTCTCATCAAAGTGACAATCCGCAAATCTAGCGGTAAATATATCACCCGTCATTGGTTCCAAGAACCTAATAATCGACGGTGAATCAAACCCAACGTATATGCCAAGTCGGCGTTGGGGACCCATTTTAGTCCTCTGAGGAGGAGGAATTGACACTTGCACAACGCAACCAAATGTGCGAAGGTGCGAAATATTGGACTCAAAGCCTAATGCCAATTGCATTGGGTAATGCTATGATAAGCAGTGGGGCGTAATTTAATCGGTGCTGATGCATGCAATTCTGCATGGCCCCATGCTGCACTAGTGAGTTTAGATCTCATCAGCAAAGTACGAGCAATTATTTGGACGCGTTTAATCAGAGATTCCGCCAGTCCATTTTGAGTGTGAACGTATGCTACTGGGTGCTCGACATTTATTCCCAGAGCTGCACAATAATATATGCCAGCAAACTCGCAAATACTATATTTCGCGTACATAATAAGCATACGTGGTACCATTAGGCAACATAATTGTTGCACTCCCGGAGCCATTTATTATCTCCACGGGACCTAATATGGTTTTAACTTGTGCCTTGCACAATGTCACACTCGAGAAATATATTTTATTATTGAATATTGAGTGTGTAGTTGCACTATCGAGTAGGCAATAATCATATTTGTCCATATTTTTATGTACGTGTATCAAAATCAGCTCGACATCGGGTATTTATCCTCCAAGGGAGATATGTACATTTGAGTTTATTCAAAACAACTCAATCTTGGGAATCACACATTCCAAGAGAGATTTATATAAAAGTGGGTACAAAATAACCCAAAACCCTTTAACTTTGGACTTGTGATTAATAGCCTATAAGTTGGCACTTGACGGGTTTTACCTCGTGTAGTGACTCTACGAGCTTCAGGCTCGGAGTTGTTTTCAGATATTTGGCCTTTAAATCGACTTTGACGGATATTATAACGTCTTGACTCAACGAGCTTCAGGCTCGGAGATATATTCAGATATTTGGCCTTTAAATCGGCTTTTGACGGATATTATATATCACGTCTTAACTCAACGAGCTTCAGGCTCGGAGATATATTCAGATATTTGGCCTTTTAAATCGGCTTTTGACGGATATTATCACGTCTTAACTCAACGAGCTTCATGCTCGGAGATATATTCAGATATTTGGCCTTTAAATCGGCTTTTGACGGATATTATCACGTCTTAACTCAACGAGCTTCAGGCTCGGAGATATTTTCAGATATTTGGCCTTTAAATCGACTTTTGACGGATATTATCACGTCTTAACTCAACGAGCTTCAGGCTCGGAGATATTTTCAGATATTTGGCCTTTAAATCGGCTTTTGACGGATATTATCACGTCTTAACTCAACGAGCTTCAGTCTCGGAGTTATATTTGTAATTTAGCCTCTAAATCGGCTTTCTTGTCTTTACGAGTTTAGACTCGGAGCTATATTAAAGATTTAGCCTCTAAATCGGCTTTCTTGCTTCAACGAGTTTAGACTCGGAGCTATATTAAAGATTTAGCCTCTAAATCGGCTTTCTTGCTTCAACGAGTTTTAGACTCGGAGCTATATTAAAGATTTAGCCTCTAAATCGGCTTTCTTGCTTCAACGAGTTTAGACTCGGAGCTATATTTTATTTATTTGACGGGAATTCCAACGTCTTGACTCAACGAGTTTTTCACTCGGAGTTATAGTATGACCTCTATACGGTCTTTGTTAATCTCTACGGGTACTATGCCCAGAGTTAAAACGATAGCCTCTAAATCGGCTTTAAACGAAAATTATTATTTCTCCAACTCCACGAGCATCAGGCTCGGAGTTAATCTCATAGTCTCTAAATCGACTTTCAACTGAGATTATTATATCTTTTACTCGACGAGCATCATGCTCGGAGTTAATATCTTGGCCTCTAAATCGGCCCACAGATCTGTTAAAATTAGCACGTGCTTATAGCACTGCTTGGGATCCACAAGCTTGAAAATATAAATTTCAGCAGCAATTCAACAAATAAATAAGCAATAGATTAATATATACGAATCCGTCATATCCTTTGAGAAATGATAGCGTATAAAATACCGAAGTATTCGCTAATCATTCTCGTTTGTCTTTACGACAATAAAATCGAGGATCTGGATTTTCGTAAAATAAAATAAAAAGAAGAATACGAAAAATAGCAAATCCTTATCGAGCAAAATCTCGTGCTGATAACGTGTTATAGAATAACATTTTTTTTTTGATGAAGTTATAGAATAACATATTATATATATTATAATAGTGCTTGAGTAAAATAGCAAAGACAAACAAAGTGTATAAACGAGAGATGAGAGAGATTATAAATTGCTGATCAAATCTCTGTATATATTGTTTTCTCTTCCATTCCCGTAGGTGGGTATTTATATACAAGAAGCTATAAGCATTGTCGTGCTTGATGTATGATATCTATTACAATTGAATGACACGTAGCATGTCATTACTTAGTCCACAAGAATGTGTTTTATAATATCTTCTTATATATCTATCCGTATGGTCTCAAATTCAACATAATCATCTAGATTATGTGGAATGTAATCTAGTTTGTACTTACTTTCTGTAAAAATACAGTTTCACAATCTGATATATACAAGCCAAAAAACACGTCTTATGATCATCTTGCTCCGAAATGTGGAGCTCGAATGGGATAAAACGGGTACAAAAGTGATAATATTTCATATGATCAACAAGATTCCACTAAATTTGAAACCGCAAGGGTGGACTTGTAAAACAATTTGTAGTTGAGGGGTTGTAGTAATTACCCAAACAGGAGAGGGGTTTTCGTAATTGTATCATACCTTAGGGTAGGGGTGGTTGTAATTTACCCATATCAATATTATTATGTATTTATATATAGGTGATTCAAAAAAAATGAAAATTTCGATTTTCGTCAATTACGATGCAAAAAATTCTGAATTTGTAACAAGTTTTTTTTTTATTTCGATTTTCGATTTTTTCGAATTCTGTTTTTTGATTAAATTGGAATTAGATTTCACTTTCGAAAAAAACTAAAAAACAATTTTTGAAATTACTAATTTCGACTCCGGAAAAAACTAAAAAACAATTTTTAAAATTACTAATTTCGATTCCGAAAAGAACTAAAAAACAATTTTTCAAAATTACTAATTCCGATTCGATCAGACTTCCAAGTAACAACAACAAAGACGAAGATTCATGAAAGTCAATATATTAATTTCTAAATTAACAGTTAATTTGCCTTTTGTATAAGAAAGTTCATTTGCTTAAAGAGTAAAAATGTTCAATATATTTTTAGTAAAAAATTGTAAAAAAGACAAAATGAAGATGGGAAAATTGGCCCAACTTCCAAACTTTAATATTTTGTTTGAGAGTTGTATGTATGTGCATGTGCTTACATGCTGGGATTTCTTGTAATATGATAGAGACCAAACACACTTATCATTTACAATAAACGACACAAGAAAAAAAATATATATCAATAAACTGCTGGAATTTATTGAAAACATAAAGTTGAATCTTGAATTTGTATTTTCAGATTTACAAGTTTTTTTAACCATGAAATAACCGCAGACAACCATATAAGTACTGAAGTACGATAAGTACGCTTACAAAACTTGTTTTACACTACAACACTAAATGAGCCGAGCCAGCTTGTGAACTCGATGAGACGGCTCGACAAAAGCTCGAGTTTTTCGAGCTCGAGCTCGAGCCCGAGCCCATCCTTAGTTGTTCATAATCTCATGAGCCGGCTCACCAGTTTTTTTATATTTTATTATTATTATTATTATTATTATTATTATTATTATTATTATTATTATTATTATTATTATTATTATTATTAGGGTAAATTACAAACACCCCTCTGAGGTATGGTCAAATTACAAAAACACCCCTCTTGTTTGGATAATTACAACCACCCCCTCAACTTCTCAAATTTAGTGGATTCTTCGAATTATATGGAATATTATCACTTGTGTACCCGTTTTATCCCATTCAAACTCTACATTATGAAGCAAGTTGATCATAATATGTGATTTTTAGCTTGTATGTATAAGTTTGTGGTGCATTGGAAACTGTATTTTTACACAAAACGAGTACAAATTAGAGCACATTCCACGGAATCTAGATGATTATGTTGAATTTGGCACAATAAGGGTGGAGATGTAAGAAAAAATCATAGTTGAGGGGGGTAGATGTAATTATCCAAATAAGAGGGGGATTTTTGTAATTTGACCATACCTCAGGGGGTGTTTGTAATTTACCCTTATTATTATTATTATTATTATTATTATTATTATTGTTATTATTATTATTATTATTATTATTATTATTATTATTATTATTATTATTATTATTATTATTATTATTATTATTATTATTATTATTATTATTATTATTATTATTATTATTATTATTATTATAAATATAACTAATATATAATAATAAATATATTTATATATATAATTAAATAATAAATTTCAATTCGATTTCTTATTCAAAAAATTTTTTTTATCTTATAAATAATTTATAGCAAAATAAAATATTAATATCATGTAAAAATTTAAAAAGCAGTTAAAAAAAATAAAATAATAATAAAATGAGATGGTTGAGCTCGAGTTAGAGCTCGACAGGCACGACCCAACTTGAACTCACAAAATGAAAGCTTGACAAGCTCGAGCTTGAGCTCGAGCTCGCCAATTTTGACTCGAGTTCGGCTCGTTTACACCCCTATCAGTTAGTGACATAAATTTATAAAAATAAAAATATATATATGGAATTATAATAGTTTGATACATGAGAAAACATTAAATTGAAAATGGTGTGGTTAGTATGGAGAAGAAGGTGTAGTGTGGGACCCATCATCACATACAATTCCACCACTAGGATTAGGAGGTGTGGTCGAGCCACCCGTGATTTCCTATCTTCATCATGTGAACTCTTCTTTTGTCTTCACTTAAAATTAACTACTTCCTTTATTTATTTATAGGTTAAATTACACCTACACCCCTAAGTTATGCTAAAATAATTTTAATGTCCCTGTAGTATCTGTAATTATAATTACCCCTGAAACATTGTCAGAAACCCTAACGGAGTAATGCATGTGATAAGTTATTCCGTTAATGTTCTAACGGACTATTTGTTTCTGGTAATTGTTTCAGGGGTGTGGTTGTAATTTTGATCAGATGATTAACCTAACTAGTTTAGAAACTAATGAACGTTGTTAAGAATAAGTAAACAAGTACAATGGTTTAAGAAATTAAAACGAGAAACGGATCAAATTTTTGAAAAACGAATGGAACGAAGGAATGTATTATTATAACATAAATTTGAAAACGAGTTATTCCATAACAAAAAACAACAAATAGTAGTAGTTGTATAGTAGAAATACTAAAAATTGTTCACCACATATTATTATTATTATTATTATTATTATCTCACCAAAAAAAGAGAAAAGAGGTACATCACATTTGAAAATTGTGAGTGATAAAAAGAAAAAAAAAAAGTGAAAGTGAGAGGGCAAAACAACAAATGCCATAACAAGCGACACATAAAATCGAATTGCTAACATACCTTATATTAGAAAACTCACGGATATTGTAAATGCTCTCTCTGTGTGTGTGTGAGAGAGAGAGAGAGAGAGAGAGAGAGAGAGAGAGAGAGAGAGAGAGAGTATTTGCAAATTTCACGAAATGGTTTTCAATAACGAGATTGCTATATTTCAACACAACGACACTATAACAATTCTTACATCACCGAGGAAAGTTTTTCATATGTATATATATATATATATATATATATATATATATATATATATATATATATATATATATATATATATATATATATATATATATATATATATATATAGGTTGTGGTGTAAATTGGAGGAATCACATGAGAACTATCACTTTGTAGTAAAGAAAAATATCAAAAGTAAACAATTAATTATAATTTCATTATTTCTTAAAAAAAATTAGAAAACCAAAATTGAATGAAAAAACGTATTCCAAAATCGCATATTTTCGAATCGAAATAATGCGAAGATCATAAATTCAACTTTTTCCACATGTGAAATTGGATCGAAAATTTAAATCCCATGTATAGTCCAATTCCAATTTTAAAAACCAAGGAATTAAAAAAAAAATTAATTAATTAATGGCAAGGAATGTATTTGTATATATAATATAATATATAAAATAAAATAGGGTAAATTCCACTTTACCCCCTCGTACTTTGCCTGAAAATCACTTTACCCCCTCGTACTCTCAATTTCACCGATTTACCCCTTGTACTTGTACAATTTCCCAATATAGCCCTTTCCTTCAACTTTTGTCAATTTTGACTCTGACGCCGTTTGGTCAACTCTGTAAATTACAAAATTGCCACTGCCTATAACGCGTCGTTTCTCCTCCGTCAATATTGTCATTTCTACTTCTCCCACCACTTCCTCTTCCAGGATATCCCCAAATTGAACACCTAACTTAGTAAAAATCAAGACCCAAAAATTGATCGATTCCACCCAGTGCAAAGAAAAAAACATATGAATGTGTGAAACTTTCTCTTTTCTAATCTCGAGAGTCAAAATCGAAAAAATTCAATATTTACGTCAATATTCTGACTCTTGACCAAATGGCGTCAGAGTCAAAATCGAAAAAAATTGACAAAGAGGGTTGTATTGGAAAATTGTACAAGTACAAGGGGGTAAATCGACGAAATTAAGAGTATGAGGGGGTAAAAAGGTTCTCGGGCAGAGTACAAGGGGGTAAAGTGGAATTTACCCAATAAAATAAATACCAAATTGAAGGTGTGTGTGTGTGTGTGTGTGTCAGAGACTACTGTGCCCACATATGGACCAACTCTGATACTTAAATTTATTATTATTATAATATTATTATTATTATTTTTCTCTCCAAAAGAAGTTAAAAACATTCTGCCTTAGATTCCTCTTTTTTCTCCATTTCCTTTCCCGGTAACAAATTCAACCAAATTTCGAAAATTATAACCTTCTCTCTCTCTCTCTCTCTCTCTCTCTCTCTTTCTTTCTCTCTCTACATTGTATGTAGTCTATCTCTTTCTCTCTCTTCCCTGAGAAGATTTATTTTCAGCCATTTCTGAGCAAATTAATATCCAACACTCACCAGAGCTCAAGATCTCACCATTAATTACATCATTGTACCTGAAAATGGATATCTGAAAAAAAAAATCACTGCCTGTATTTTTTTTCCATGAAAATGAGGTTCGCTACAGTACTGGTGACGTCAATACTTTCATTTCTGTCAATCATCACATTTCCCGCCGGAGGAGCAACAACAACTCTCCAGCTAAACGACGACGTTTTGGGGCTCATCGTCTTCAAATCAGGTTTCCACAGCGACCCGCTCAAATCCCTAGATTCATGGAACGAAGACGACGATTCCCCCTGTGCATGGAGGTTCGTCAAATGCAACGCCGGAAACTCTCGAGTTTCTGAGGTCTCACTCGACGGATTATCCCTCTCCGGAAAAATCGGGAGAGGACTGGAGAAGTTGCAGTCGCTGAAGGTACTTTCTCTCTCTAACAACAACCTCACCGGCGCCGTGAACCCCGGGCTGGCTCTTATACCCAACCTCGAACGCCTCAATCTCAGCCGGAATTCTCTCTCCGGCGACGTTCCGTCGTCGTTCTCCGACGCTTCCTCGCTCCAGTTTCTCGATTTGTCGCAGAATTTGCTTTCGGGGCCTCTGCCTGACAACATTTTCCAAAACTGCTCTTCCCTCCGGTACGTTTCTCTCTCTGGAAACCTTCTAGAAGGCCCCATTCCCAGCACTCTTTCCAGATGCACAACATTAAATCACATCGACCTCTCCGGCAACCGCTTCTCCGGCGACCCTGGTTTCTCCGGCGGATTCTGGTCTCTGACGAGGCTCCGCACGCTGGATCTCTCGAACAACGCCTTCTCCGGTTCAGTCCCGATCGGAATGTCCGCCGTGCACAACCTGAAAGAGCTTCTATTGAACCGGAATCAGTTCTCCGGTTCAGTACCACCCGACATCGGCCTGTGCCCACACCTGAGCAGAATAGATTTCAGCAACAATTTATTCACCGGAACAATTCCGGCGTCTCTGCAAAAGCTAAACTCACTCAATTTCCTGAATCTATCCTTCAACTTCCTCACCGGAGATTTCCCCCAATGGATCGGTTCCCAAACCACCACCGCCGCCGCCTTCGAATACATCGATTTCTCAAACAACGCCCTAACCGGAACCCTTCCCGCAACAATCGGAGATTTAAAATCCTTAAAATTCCTCAGCCTATCGGAAAATAAACTGAGTGGTCCCCTCCCCAACTCACTGAGCGGCCTCGCCAGTTTATCCGTTATCCGATTGAAAGGAAACGCCTTCAACGGCACAATTCCCAACGGATTATTCGACATGAAATTGGACGAAATTGACCTTTCGAGAAACAATCTAGCGGGGCCCATCCCACCGGCGTCCAGCAAGCTTTTCGAAACCCTCCAAGTTTTGGATCTATCGGAGAACAATCTCGCCGGAGATATCCCGGCGGAAATGGGGCTTTTCGGTAAATTGACGTACCTGAATCTATCGTGGAACCAATTGGAATCGAGATTGCCACCGGAGATCGGTTACTTCCAGAATCTCACAGTCCTTGATCTTCGAAGCAGCGGTTTGATTGGCTCGATTCCAGGTGATATATGTGACTCTAGCAGCTTGGCTATTCTTCAACTTGATGGAAACTCACTGACAGGTCAAATTCCTTATGAAATTGGCAACTGCTCATCTCTCTACTTACTGTGAGTTTCTACAAACTTCTTCTCTCACATGCATATAGATACACGCATCTGTATACATATATGTATTGATGAATAAATCATTGCAGGAGCTTATCACACAACAATTTGAGTGGCACAATACCAGAATCAATGTCACTGTTGACCAAGCTCAAGATTCTGAAGCTGGAGGTCAACCAGTTGACCGGCGAAATACCTCAGCAGCTCGGGAAACTCGAGAATCTGCTCATAGCCAATGTCTCCTACAACCGCCTCGTCGGCCGGTTGCCCGCCGGAGGAATTTTCCAAACACTAGACTCGAGCGCCATCGAGGGCAATCTTGGTATTTGCTCCCCGTTACTGACGGGCCCGTGCAAGCTCAACGTACCCAAGCCGTTGGTCCTCGATCCCTATGCATACGGCAATCAAAACGGGGCCCACGATCGAGCCAGAGAGCGTTCGACAAACTTCAGGCACCATAGATTCTTAAGTGTCTCCTCCATTGTTGCAATATCTGCAGCAGCTGTGATAGCTGCCGGAGTGATGGTGATAACCTTGCTCAACGCTTCGGCACGGAGGAGGATGGCTTTTGTCGATAACGCCCTCGAGAGCATGTGCTCCAGCTCGACGAGATCCGGAAACTTAACCGCCGGAAAACTCATTCTCTTCGACTCAAAATCTTCGTTGGATTGGCTAAGTACGAATCTCGATAATGTCCTTAATAAAGCTGCTGAAATCGGCGAAGGTGTTTTCGGAACTGTTTATAGAGCTGGACAAGGACAAGCAATGGTGGCAATCAAGAAACTAGTTACATCCAATACACTTCAGTACCAAGAAGAATTCGACCGTGAAATTCGAATACTCGCGAAAGCGAGGCACCCGAATTTGATCCCATTAAGAGGATACTATTGGACACCTCAACTCCAGCTTCTCGTATCGGATTATGCGGTGCAAGGAAGCTTACAAGCGAAGCTACACGAGCATTCGCCTTCTTCGATGCCTCTAACTTGGCCTGACAGGTTCAAGATTGTGCTAGGCACAGCAAAGGGTCTCTCCCACTTGCACCACTCATTCCGCCCGCCAATCGTCCACTACAATGTCAAGCCGAGCAATATCCTCCTCGACGAGAATTTAAACCCAAAGATATCGGATTTCGGGCTTGCGAGAATCCTGACGAAGCTCGATAAGCATGTAATGAGTAGTAGGTTTCAGAGCGCGCCAGGGTACGTGGCACCGGAGCTTGCTTGCCAGAGCTTGAGAGTGAACGAGAAATGCGATGTGTACGGTTTCGGTGTGTTGGTTCTTGAATTGGTGACGGGGAGGAGGCCGGTCGAGTACGGGGAGGACAATGTCGTAATATTGAGCGATCATGTGAGGGTAATGTTGGAAAGAGGGAATGTGTTGGATTGCGTGGATTTGGAGATGGGGGAGTACCCGGAGGAGGAGGTTTTGCCGGTCGTTAAGCTGGCGTTGGTGTGCACTTCTCAGATACCTTCGAGCAGGCCTTCTATGGCGGAGGTGGTGCAGATTTTGGAGGTTATCAAGACTCCTCTTCCAAATAGAATGTGAGTTTTTTCTTTTTTCTTTTCTTTTTTTTTTTTGAAATTAATTGTTAGATCATGGAATTCTTAATCTTTTATGTGTTTTTTGCCACTATCTTGTTCATGGAAAAAGTTGTACTATCACTTGTTCTTGTTATTAAGATTATCTATTAACGCTACAGTAGCAACTGAACTTCGTCGGGCTATATTCGACCATCTAGGTGTATAAGATTTATGTATATTGTACACACATCGACATATATGTGTGCGTAAATCAACGGTGAGAAACTATCCGGCATCGTTAACCAGGTGTAGATACTACAAAATCGTGTACAATAGGATAGTTCCAAAATTAAAAATATTTAAACAAGACAAGCTTTTCACCTAAAAGGATATCATAAACAAATAATTCCACTATGAAACCATCCAACAATAAAATCGTCATCAAAAATGTTAAACACCAACAGAAAAAGAACCCATCAAATAATTTATACCGATGGATCTATCGCGAATTACCTTGCGGCCTTTCAAGCAATCGGACGCCCAGGATATGCTATCGTGGGCGGGCGACGATCGGGTGACGGAGGCCGACAGACTGAAGACGTTGAAATCGAAAGAGGAGGCCTTGGCTTTCATCGAACGAAACAGCACACCTCATCTTTGGATGCGATCGATATGCGTCGACGACCGTTCGTTCGGTTTGCTGACGGTGTACGTGGGGTCCGGCGACGAGAGGTGTCGAGGAGATATCGGGTACGCGTTAGCGGTGGAGTATTGGGGAAAAGGGATCACTACTAGAGCAGTCGAAATGGCGGTCCCGAAGGTGTTTGAAGAATTTCCTCAGATACTTCGGTTGCAGGCGATGACTAACGTTAATAATAAGGGCTCGCGTAGAGTGCTCGAGAAAGCTGGGTTTACGAAGGATGCTTTGATGAGGAAGCACTATTATCTGAAAGGGGAGATTCAAGATGTGGTTGTTTACAGTATCTTGGCTCCTGATTCTGATTAAAGATGATAAGTTTTTTCGTTTTCATATGTAATTGTGGTTTCTATTCAGGTGGTGTTTGCAAATGCTGATTACGAGCATTTTTTCTCGCTTTATTTCTTGTAAAATAAGATGTTCGAATGTTTACAATCAACTTATAAAAGCCCTAAATACAAACTTCTAAGGACTAGCGGTTAGAACATGACCAGGGTTTAAAATCGATCACGATTACTCCCATTACGATTCAGAATTGGCCGATTTTGTGCATGTCCATAGGTCCAATCGGACGGTTCGAACCTACCCGTATAGCGCAAACCCGCGAATTGATTTTAATTCTGGATCAACAAGCCATTGAACATGGCCCAAGTCTAAGTGCCCGAACGAAATTACTCAATACTCGAATTCAGTTTGTTCGTCAAAAGCTCGCTTGAGCTCGGGTTGTTAGCATAACAAAACCAAGCTTGAAACATATATTTCCTGTCGATAAGTTGTACAAAAAATCAAGTTACTCAAGCTCGATTCGTGTTTGGCTCGATTGAAGCTTGTTTGACTTCGACTCGGTTGTATATCGAACCAACCTCAAAAATTTTAAAAACTCGATAAAAATTCAAACAAGCTTGAACAGCCATATCTTCAGCTCGACCCGACTCGTTCACACTCCTAGCCACCAATTTCATTGAGCATGAGATAGAGATATTTCATATTTGAACTAACCACACATTAAAATATCTCCAAACATTAGAAAAAAAGAAAAATAATAATAATAATATTTAGAAAAAAAAAAAGACTAAAGAGAAAAACAAGTCAAACTTTTCACCTAAATCACATATCCATAAACAATACAAATAGAGGAGGGAAAAAAGAAAAAAAAAAAAAAAAACAAGCAAATAATTCATACTCGATGGATCTATCGCGAATAACACTGCGGCCATTCAACCAATCAGACGCCGAAGATATACTATCATGGATCGGCGACGATCGGGTGACGAAATCCGACAGAATGAAGACGCTAAAATCGAAAGAGGAGGCCTTATCTTTCATCGGCCGAGAAAGCACGAACCTTTGGCGGCGATCGATATGCATCGAAGACCGTTCGATCGGTATGCTGACGGTGTATCTGGGCTCCGACGACGAGGCATGCCGCGGCGAGATCGGGTACGCGTTGGCGGTTGAGTACTGGGGGAAAGGGATAACTACTCGAGCAGTCGAAATGGCTGTACCGAAGGTGTTCGATGAATTTCCCCAGATAGTGAGGCTGCAGGGTATGACTAACGTGGAGAACAAGGGCTCGCGGAGAGTGCTGGAGAAAGCTGGGTTTAAGATGGATGGTTTGATGAGAAAATACTTTTATCTCAAAGGCCAGATTCAAGATGTTGTTTACAGTGTCTTGTCTCCTGATTCTGATTGAAGACGATGCTAAGTTTTTTTTTTCATAAGTTAATTTTGATTCTATTTTCTTGTGATTGTGTTGTAAATTGTAATGGTTGCTTATAAGACCAATTTTAAATGTGTGTGTATATGTAACATGATATACTTAGTGTTTTATGTTTAGTATCGAATAATTAGTGTCAGGATTATAAGATTCTACATCTGGTGAAATACAGTATGTGGTTTAAATCATAGATATACATACATATGTGTGTGTTATTGTGGATAGATCAATGGTGTATTTCACCAGGTGTAGGTTCTACAAAACTTCAGTCCGAGTAGTATCCGAATTATCAGTTTTCGAAGCTAACAAATTGTTATGCAATCCTACGATTGTTCCGTTCGATTTAAAGATTTGAAACTAATGAATTCAAATGAGAAAGATATGGAATTATTTTTGGAGTATAAAAATTTTAAAATCCATCACAATTGTTTCAAAAATGACTAAAATTTTTATCACTACTATTTTGAGTTTCGAATTTTGGTTAAAAGTCGGTTGATCGGGTATAGCCGATAATTAAATGGAAGGTTTGATAAATGGCACCATGCTAATAAGGTATTTTGATGTTCTTCACCTCAAAATAAGCCCTATAAGCTAATTTTCTCATTCTTGTTAGTATGAGATAGAGATGTTTGAACTAAACCACACATTATTTTATTTTATTACTAATATATATACATGGAGAAAACCTACCTATTCTTTTTTTTGTAATCTTCCATTATTGATAAAATGGTATTTAAAAAAGAACAAGAAAAAAGAACAAGAAAGAAGTCCAAGTATTTTGTGCCTGTATATATTGACGAGTGTACTCCAATCAGAAAATAAGAACTGTAACATATTTGATGGATCCATCGCGAATAACTTTACGGCAGTTCAAGCCCTCAGATGCCGACGATTTGCTAGCGTGGGCCGGTGACGATCGGGTGACCAAGTACGGGAGATGGAAAACTTTGGAAACTAAAGAGGAGGCCTTGATTTTCATTGATCAACTTTGCATACCACATCCATGGCGGCGATCGATTTGCGTCGACGATCGGTCCGTCGGTTTCGTGTCGGCGCTTCCCGGGTCCGGCGACGAGAGATGCCGAGCTGATATGGGCTATGCGGTAGCGGTTGATAATTGGGGAGATTAGCTATGATTAACTAAATAATTGGACTGTATTTGATGTTTGGTATCCCCAATAACTCACTGGGTCGACCCGCAAATATTATGTTATCATGGCTTATCTTGCCTTGTAGGTATGTTTTTTATTGGATATTCAAAGGTCCAATTATACAATTGAGTTTCATTAGATTATTTAATCTTATCTTAACCAGTCTTATCTTGGCAATCAAACGAGGTCTTAGAAAATAATAAGAAATTATATAGAAGATCCTTTAGATTGGGATATTGACCAATTCCAAAAATGATTTGAGTTTTATAAGAAGATTATCCCGATTTTTTTAACAAACAACCCCTTAAAATATGAGTCTTTTTTCACGTAGATTGCTGTAAAAACATCATCAATTGCATCATGCAACCCAATTTTTTTAACAAACAACCCCTTAAAATGTGAATATTTTTTCGCGTAGTTTGCTATAAAAACATCGTCAATTGCATCATGTAACCCAATTTTTTTAACAAACAACCCCTTAAAATGTGAGTCTTTTTTCGCGTACTTTGCTATAAAAACATCATCGATTGCATCACGTAACCCGATTTTTTTAACACAACCCCTTAAAATGTGAGTCTTTTTTCGCGTAGTTTGCTATAAAAACATCATCAATTGCATGTACTGGACAAAGACTCAAAAAAAAAATATCATCATTGATTGTATTGATGGATCCATCGCGCATTACTCTGAGGCCTTTCAAACCATCAGACGCCCACGATATGTTATCGTGGGCAGGCGACGAAAGGGTGACAAAATCCGTGAGATGGAAAACTTTAGCAACGAAAGAGGAAGCATCAATTTTCATCGACCAAATAAGCGGACCCCATCGATGGGGGCGATCGATATGCATCGACGACCGTTCGATCGGTTTAGTGACGGTTTATGTGGGGTCCGGCAACGAGAGATGTAGAGGCGAGATGAGCTACGCAATAGGAGTTGAACATTGGGGAAAAGGGGTTGCTACCGTGGCAGTGAAAATGGCTCTGCCGAAAGTGTTTGAGGCATTTCCTCAAATACTTAGGCTGCAGGCTATGACTACTTCGGAGAATAAAGCGTCGCAGAGAGTGTTGGTGAAAGCTGGGTTTACGAAGGAGGGTTTGTTGAGAAAGTACCTTTATCTCAAAGGGCAAATTCAAGATGCTGTTGTTTTCAGTATTGTTGTCGACGACTAATATATACGTACGTACGCGCGTGTGTGTGTAATAATAAAATAGCACCAAGGTGCTTAGCATAAATGCATGAATTAATTAGACAGTTATATGTAAATGTACACACAAGGATGAATAAAAGTTAGTACATTTAGGGCTAAAGTTGTCAACTCGAACCGAAAAACCGAAAAATCACATTCTCGTAATCAATTTAAAACAAAACATGAAATTATAAATTATGGATAATTGACTCATTCTTGCTACATCTTTCGTCGAAAACTCATGGTTTGCCTCGTAATTGGTGAACAAGAACCCTACAACTAATTAGGTTCCAGATAATAAATCAAAATCTTACCCCGAACAAGCCAATCGAGGACAACAAACATCCCTTGTGCCGTGCCGACGTCATTTATTTCTCGTGAAGAGCCTTCATCAGATACAGTCTGCTAAAGCTTTGCCCAGCCACTCTGCAATATTTGTTATGATTCAAAAAATAAATTACGTGTTCTTAACATAAGCTTCCAGCAATTAAATCAAAACAATATCGCAAGTAGAATCATTAGAGGATATAATATAGGCATGACTTCAAGGCAATTTGATCAATTTATTCGTTTACAGTCTAAAAATATAGAGCATATAATATAGATTATTCGTTTACAGTCTAAAAATTCACTTCACTATAAAGGTTTGGATCAATTTATAGAATCTGAGCAGAAATGTTCTGACGTCACCTATATCCTACCGTCAATATAAAAAGAAATCCACAAGACATGTGGAAAGCAATAAAAGCAACAGAAATAAACGTATACACGCTAAACCGTAGCCATATAATTGAACTTTCATAGTATGAGCATATAGGCTTACATATGAATGATGAATGTATATAGATAGAAAATATTGTACAAGCAATGAATGCAAGGTTATGTGGGAATTGGGTGGAGGCAAATGAAGAGAAAGAAATTGAGCAGAACTTCAAAACCCGAATGCTATAAATTGAAAAAATACCCGTTGATTTGGTTGCTATAGTTGGCAATTTGATTAGTTATCAGAAAACTGTCCAATCTGGATGGCTCGGGGATAGGCTTGAAGATGGGGTTTGAAGGATCCTCCTCAGGTAATGGTTCTTCACCTGAAGTCTTCCGTGCCATGTTCTCAGCCCTACACGAGTAGGATTTAAATCATGTACATATAGATAATGCCCAATAACATATCAAAACGAACGAATATAAATAATGCCCAAATAATTAACTTAGTGAAGATAATTACCGTCTTTTCTGAAGCCAAGCCTGCTGCTGAGCTTGTTGACGAGAAAGATTCCTGTAGTAGAATTGAAACTGGAAAAGAAAAGGTTGTCATGTCATCGGCTAAACTATATTCGTCTCTTTGCAAGTAATTGCGAAAACTAACCTTTTGTTGTTCCATTGACAAGTCATCCATGCATTCAATCAGGAACTCCACATTTCTCTCGAGAAATGGACTGGTTGACAATTGCAACCTTTCATAATCACACTATCACACAACAACACACCGAATTAGTTTCCACCGACATTATTACGTAAAAGGACCAGTTGTGGACATTTGATTACCTGTCGGACGGGGGTATCAGCCTCAAGCTCAGTCATGAAAGCACTGATAAGAGCAGAATTTGACACCTTGATCTGTCAAATAAAAAGATAATAACAAAGTAAGCAAACTATAGTTATATGTCCTGCTCGGTTCATTGGCAATTTGGCATATATATCAGAAAATAGTTAGCTATAGATAACATTAAAAAGCATTTGCAATCTTGAGCTCTTCTTCATCAATATAATAAAAATCAAATATTCAAATAATCATTGAGAGAGACTGAGGAGCTTACGGGAATCTCTTCAAAGATATCCACCCATGAAAGATTCTTCTCCCTCAACCTGAGAATAAAGCCATCGTCATTACAAAAATGTATGTATTTTAGGTGTGTCAAATATTCCTTTCACAATATTTATCAATGGAAGTAAATAAATGTAAAAAAACATACTTCTCCCCAGTGAAGTTATTAGTACGGTAGAGCTCCATGAATGAGTCAGAAAGCTTCAGTGCCTTCAAAGCTAATACACCTTGGTTAGCTCTTGATGGATCATATATGATGCACACACAACGTCTTATATTTTCCTGCAACCAGGAGAACCGCAAAAGTCAGGTACGCTGCACCAAGCATTTACTACAGATACCATATACAGCATGCATATTAATACCATTACATGGGAAATACCTGATAGTTCATAAAAGTCTCTATCAATTCAACTGTCTGGAAAGAACCAAATAAAGTTGATTGGTACCTGGAAGGAAATACTACAAGATCAGTAAGGATAACTACTACATTTAGCAGAAAAATCCAAAAAATATAACTTCAAAAGTTTCTCATAAAACATGGAATATCAACTAGACTTTCTAAGAAAATATTGGAAAAGTATTCTATATAGGTGGCTTAATAAAATTTAGATAGTTTATTTGAATAACTTAGCTGTGTACACCAAGAAGACAAGAACACTATAATACATTGTTCACATATTTATTCGAGGAAAAACGAAGTAGCCTTTCCACTGGGCTCTTAAAATAAAATGAAGGATGCACTGAACTAGAACAGGCATGACTGGCCTAACGAATGTCACAAGAACCCAATTAGAATAGTTAATTAGACCAACTAATATTTGTGATGAACCTAAGGTTGAGAAAGTAGAGCAGAAAAAGAAGGCCAGTTATAATCAGATTGACTTTTGAAGGTTTAAATTGTGACACTGCACAGAGAATGGAATAAAGGAAACATGCAGGCAGATCAAGATAAAGTACGAGATAAGGATGTTAACTTGGTTGACTTGTAAAGAAATTTAAAATTCAAAAGGAGAGAGCAAATAACTAGTCAGGTGCCATGTAAGGAGACGTCTGAAGTAACTAAGTTATTCAGTTCCTGGTATTCCAAAATCACTATTTCCAGCATCATGGAGACAACTAGGGTAGATATTTAACCGAGAGATGATGCCATTGAATTATACTAGTCATCGAATTTCAGATTATTCATAATAAATAGATATATTAATTTCATGTCGACGGTTTTAGGAATGAACATGTAACGATTTGGGTAGTGTCGGATGGTGTAGGCTTATGGGAAAGAGAGAACTTACCATCCAACGGTGTTGTTGTCAACATTAACCTCTCTCAGACATCTCATCATTTCAAGCTGATAATTAGCACCTTCCGCTTCAACCTCTTCATCTTCCTCACGGATCTGTCACATTAGATATTAGTCAATATAACATAACAACAACGATACAATCTCAAAATTCAATTTATCAACCAAAAAATAGTTATAAATGGTGGAAGAAAAATGCGCACCGGGAAAGGGAAACAATTAGTAACTTCTAGAACACTACCAACATCCAATCCAAGAAGCTGCCCAGTAACAAGGGCGGGAGAAAACTCCTTGCAGTGCTTAATTATCTTCAAAATAACCTGCAACAAAAATATAAATTGGAATTTTTACTTAGTTAATGAGTTGTTACTATAGTACCCACGACATTGGGCTCAAAAACAAAGAAAACAAATTGGCTATTAAAAAATTAGCAATCCAGTAAATGGTTTCCATTAGACATGCAAAATGTATTTATTAGCAAGGTTCTAAATATCGGTTATCGGGTTCGAGGAGGTTAGGGACCGCCACACGATAAATCGGTGCGGCGGTGATTAATCGGAGATATATCGAAAATAAATTGGTTTTTAGATTTAGTGTAATATATTTCTAAATATTATTTATAAATACTTCAAAGGTTTAAAAAAAATTGAACTTCATTCTCTCCTCATCGTTTATATATTCTAATCAAATATCAAAAGTTTAACATTTAGAACTTGATTCTCTCCTCGTCGTTCTAAATGGGCTTTTTTTTAGGTCAGGTTCTTCTTACTTGGGCGGTGAGTTTGGGTTTGATTGAAAGAGATAATGGGTTGGAGTTGAAAAAAAAAAAATAAAAAAATAAACACCTGCCCGCCACAGACCGCGCCTCGGACCGCCTCACCGTCAAAAAACCAATTTTCAAAACCACACCACACAAATATCGTAAAGGTTTATGCCCGCCACCGATATGGCGGCCGATAAACCACTGTTTATTAGTGAAAAAAAATCCTAAGAAAATCTACGGTTTACAGTTTCACCCAAAACCAAAATTGCCCCTGAAAATCCTAAGTACTATGTTGTTCTCCCCTGTAATTAAAGGATTTTTTTTCCTAATTAACGAAAAAAAGTTCAATTTCGATGCCATCACACCCCACACATTACATCTGGACTACCCACCTAATAACAAAAGTTTTGAAGAGAAAAAATCGCCTGAGATATAAGCCCTATATCGAAGATCAGAGAGTTGAAACTAAGGCAAACAATTTTCCGAAACAATTGGTCTTTTCTCGGCAATAAAACATACCAATCCTTCAATCTGAACAACTCTGAGAGGCGGCGTGGCCTCCTCTGTCGCTGCCACTTGCAAAAACGACCGCGTCGCAGCTGCATTCAAAAAAAAAAAAAAAAAACAAGCAGGCCAAAACAAAATCAGTCGCTACACCATAAAAAGAAAAACGAATTGCCAATCGTTGAAGAGAGAGGGGAGGGTACGCACTGTTCGCCATCAACGATTTGGATAGGAAGAGAGATGGCGCAAGATAACTCCGACGGGGTTTTCTGCGGTCGAATACAGCTGAATTCTATCGATGAACAAAAGAAAATCCGAGTTCGTAATTCAAACAAAAACCAAAACCCTAGGATTAATTTTGATAATTTGGGCTCTTTATATGAAGGTCCACATATATGCTTTCAGTAGCGGGCTGATTTATAAGCCCAACTTCTCAAAAAATACAAAGAAAGGCCCATCCAAGTAGTAATTTGAATATTTTTATGTATTTTTTTATATATATATTTTATATTGTGTATTTTGTCTTAATTTATATAAGTTATTTTATATCTTTTTATTTATTTAATAACTAAATATACGTATCTTAGATTTACTATACAAATATTTGCTATGTTTATTAGAATTTGTATTATTTTTTGTAGTATGGGATTCATACACTTTACTAATATTATATAAGTTACCAGAAATAAACCAAACAAAACAAATAGCCCAACCAAGATATACAGAACTGTGGTCTTTTTTTATAATAAAAATGAAAAATACAAAAATAATTCTGAGTTTCAGCCAAGTCGCCATAATCTCAACCTATGGTGAAAATTAACTTTAAACAATTCAATAAAAATAGTAAACCCTTATTTGGTAAATTCAAAAATATGTAGTAGCAAATTGGGCAAAAAAGAAAAAAAAAAAATAGAATGAAACTCTTTCTGCCTCTGAGGACAAGTCATCTTCTGATGGATCTCGAATTCCACGATGCCCTCAACGGAAGAGCTTCTGCATAAATAAGCGAACAGTATTGAGAGAGATATTAAAAATTCAACAGTCGGAAAAAAACGAACACAAAATCGAGTCAAAATGGTATGTAAAATATGAACCAAAAACTGACCAGTTCCTACTCTCCTTTCCAGTCTTTCAGTTCACTACGGGGTACATAAAGCTTTGCGACTCGTTCCTCAGCATCGACATCATTCACTACACCCCGACATCTAGAAGATCCACAGTTACAGGCTAGCCGCTCGTCAATTGATAAAAACCTGTAATACCAAAAACAAAAAACAAAGCAATTAAGCAAAAAATTAATAATAAGTAAAGGAATACCGTTGTGTGACGAGATGAAAAACCTGTAATCATATGTGAGTTCTTCCCACTGTTTAATATCTCGTTTAGCAAATATGATGATGTGGTCTACACCATTGACGCTGATCACTCTTGAATAGCAATTTGGCTGAAACAGAAAGAAACATTCAAACTTCTGATAAAAACCGCACGCTGAATAAAAATGGTCTGCACTGTAATAAAAATCGCACGCTGAAACTGATAAGTTTAAACGCTTAATACACACCTCACATGAGTGGTTAATCAAATGTGCTATACTTCCTGCCCTGGTTGCATCTATGACACGTTCATCGTCGATACGAAACATATAAGTACCAGCACCCTGCACAACATAAATGTTAAAAGATATTCATGAGAGAGAAAACTCATCAACATCAAAGCGATAATTCACATATGATGCAGCCGAGGCTACATTCCTGAACTATTTCCTACAGAAACTCCTAAATAACAAAGTTCCTAGACATGCGATTATCTACAGCGGATCTATCCAAATAATTGGAGGTTACTTACCACTAGTGAATTGTATATCTTGTGCTCTCTTCTGTCAGCTACTGTAGCACGAATAAGTTCGCCAGTATACTCAATTACCTATAAACAATAAAATTAAACATTTATCATGTTAACGTCTGGAGTTAACTTGGGAAAGAAATGGTGGTCAAAGTAATTTACCATGTCTCCTGCTCTGTGTGGGAACTTAGTGAAGACACCATAACCATGTATACCAGACTTTCCTGCAAGGCAGTATATCCAAAGGTGGATGATCAATTTTAATATTTGTCGTAATGTTTATAAAAACAAAAATAAAAACTGAAACACAAAATTTACGTTCAAACGTCAACAAAATATTCAGATCAGACTGTATCAGCACTGATGGAAGAGATTCCATGTTAATAGAGCAACAAAATCGTAACACGTTCTGCATTAATTTTGCACTAGTTTGTATACTGAAACATGCTTAGATTACTAAAAGATCAAACTATAACAGAACCTCCTAGAGTGTAAGAGAGTGAACAAAAAATATTAGAGCCATCAATTGCGCACTAATACACACCTAAATATGTTTCTGTAATGAGCAACAAAAGGAAAACGAATAATAGTAAATAATATTTGCAGAAAGTTTACCAAATGCCAGTCGCTTTTTAAAGGTGTTCTTCATGTAATTGTACTTATCAGCCACTGAAAGAATACTGCCAGATGGATCAAGATTTGACTTTTGTAGTTTCAGAAGGTGACCAGAGTATTTAGAACCACCAGGCTCATCTGAGGACATTTTGTTCCACAGGGGCATACGAGGGCTGCACCCACCAATCAAGTACGGCTGGTTCTCGACATACAAACGCTTTGATGAAGCAGCAGGTACTTCAGGTGCATTTCTACCACGTCTATTGCTAAAATCATAAGGCTCTAATTACAAACAAAGGAAAAAGGAGAAATCAGATATCCACGAGATGATGCTACATTACTTCCAAATAGCACTTCAGCTAAAAAAACAATTAGACAAACCAAATTCATTAGTTCAATGATGATGCAATTATTTCAACTCTAGAAAAAAAGAACACGACAAGGAAAAGTTTACAGGAAGACATACCCTATCTGGTTAATAACAAACTTATTCTGTCAATGTGAACAGACTTAATGCTTATTATGAAACATGAGTTAATGGAAAGCAATTAGCTGTAAAACTCGACGAAACATATAATGTCCTCTTATCAGATGAACGAAAATATCAGATAAATGAAAAATAATCCCATGATAGTTCTATAAGGCGTGGTAAAACTAGCTGACAAGTATGCTATTAGCAGAAAAAGGCAACCCTTTTTAGGCATTTGTGTGAAACTATCTGATAAGGAGTTGTTCACAGCTAGCAGCAGAACAAAAGGCAAAGAAGGCTGAAACACTGGGCTACAGTAGTTGTATACCAAATAACGTAGTAGATTCGGTGATTTGTTGTCACATAAAGGAAAGAAAAAAAAAAAGCGAGGGTGGGGGCGAGGACCTATGTCAAGTTTTAGAAGGGAACAGAACAACCGGTGTATCGACCATGATGTTCTTAGATCCCAAATATATACATATACAAATAAAACATAGAAATTCAATCTTGATAATTTTGAAAATTATGAAGAGTGTGAGAAGTGAGAACATACGAGTACGAGCACAGCCAGAAGGATTTATCGGTGGGATATACTCTGCTTTTTCAGAGGCTTTTTGTGCAATTCGCTCCTCAAAAAGCAAATGCTCATTAGATGAGGGTCTGTGTTTCCTGCAGAAAGAAAGTAGTTGAATGCACTGATCCTCCTCATCCTCATCGGAAGGAGCCAAGTGCAGCCTATCCATATCCTCAGGCTACAAGTAAGATACAAGTACATAAGTAAGAGGGGAGGAAAACAACCCAAAAATATGCTTAAAAGCACATGTGTATAAAATGAACAAAGTTCTAATAGGATAAAACAATCCGTTCGAGAAAAGCATTATTAGATTCAAGGACATCATATACCTCAAGGCAAAAGCCAGCAGCACGAGCACAGAGAGGATGGTATGCCACATAGCAATTATTGTTCGAGCACTGCAAAATGATTTTAGTTAATGATATAGTTGCATAAAGCAACAGATATTGAAAGATAAACAGTAAACAATCTTTAATGAAGCAACAAGTCAATCTGGAGCCTTACAAAAGTACATATCTTATCGGCCAAGCTACATTTGTTTCATGAAAATTATAACAGCACAAGGGAAAAGAAATAGGGTTTTCCTTTTGAGAAAGATTACAGGAAACAGTAAAATCATTGTTAGGCATAACTGATGTTTGATAAGAGGCAAGAGAAAATTTCCAGGTTCACTGACCCATGAGATATGCTGCAAGGTGTGAGAACAGTATCAATAGACAAGTCATGAAAATGAGAAAATTTGGCCACAGACTTGCCATGTTACAGATTATTAAGCATAAATTTCAAACAGGAAAATTATATGATAAAGCTTCATCAAATTAATGAGCTCTCTGTTTGAACAGTGCTTAAGTTGAATCTTCCAAAAAGGTGACAAAACTATTATGGAAACAAGGCTTTGCCACGATATCCCAGCCAAAACACAGAATGGAACTCTTATTAGAAAGATGCTAATAACCATTCTAGATTGTTATTTGAATCCCTCATCCAAAAAAAGGAAAAACAGAAAGAAAAAAAAAACAGAAAAGAGCAACGAATAAGTTGTGAAAAATAGCAAACGCTTAGGCAAAGAAAAAGTACAAGTCTACCTGGATACATGCTCCATGAGGAATGTGACAGATGCTACATGTTAGCTTCCACCGGTCCTTCATAAAATAGGAGAGATGGGAAAATGATTCAAAATTGAGGTATATGCAAACATGAAATAGTTGACTGAAATTGTATAATGATATTTTTTCTCTCTAAGGAAAAGTTTGCAGAGTTTATAAAGATTATAGAGCAACACTTAAACTGGAGAATGTTTCCCCTTCACGTATAATCAGACAGAAATAAAGAAAAGACGTCAAATATTGGCATAGGAACACTGTGAAAGAGAAAATACCTTATTGACTCTACCGACCCCATCAATGGGCTCCATTTTCTTTACATCAGATAAACAGGTTTCTGCATGAGAATAGATTACTTTAATAATTAAAACACTTTATCCAAAATAACAAATGCTTGTTCCATGTGTGTGTTTGTGAATCACACGGCAGAAACCTGGTATCCATATGGCACAAGCAAGATGAGCCCAACGCTCGTCTGTGGTGGGCTTCATAGCACCTCCTGAAGCAAATTCATCCACCATCACGTTAAGTGTTGTTTCTTCTTAACAATAAATGGCAATAATAAATATTGAAAAGAAGTTGAAGGAAGAAAAATGGATAGAGATTTTTAAGTACCTACTACGGGGCACAGGCAACATCGAGGAGGAGGTTCGGGAGCTCCTGGACGACATAAGTTGCATAACCATAGATTACCACCAGTAGGCTCAAGTTCTCCATAACATTTCGCATGCACCTATTATGGAATTAACATGATAAATAGAAAAAAGAATCTAACAGTAACCCGAAAAAGAGAAGTAAAAACCATCTCTTTTGCGGAAAATATGTACATATGAAATATCAAAGTAAGTGAAAATGCTGAAAGCCCACGAAATTTGTAACCTAGCATGCTGCTGAAAAATCGGAGGCTAAAGAGACTCCTACAACACAGGAGTGACATCCATGTTTCCATGCCCCAAAAGTCATCAAATCGTACTAAAGGGAATCTTAACCAGTACGAAATACTCACAGCGCAACACTTGGCAAGTACAAGTATAAATATGAAATGCTAAACTTCGCAGCTACCAATTGTTAATTCTCTGATCTATATTTTAAATTTTCAAGCATCTATTACAACAATGCTCGTGGAAAAGGGGGCAAAGAATAACTCTTAGCTACTTACGCCAAAAATTTAAGCTACTGAATATGCTTTAGAATCAACGATAGGATTAAAAATGACATACAATTGTAGTAACAACACTAATAACCAGTAACAATTTCAATAGAAGTGTAACAGACAATGAGAAGGTATCACTAGCAACTATTCCTTGCCTGCAAAGAGGACCAACTCGCTGCATTATGCACAGAATTGGAGAAAGTGGAAATTCATATAAGGCCAAAGGATAAGATGAAAAGCTAAAAAGAAAAAAGAAAGACTTACCATCATCCTACATTTGTCACACTGAAGAAATAAATTGGTCTCGTACTCCTGCAGGAAACAATTTAAATCAGAGGACCTAAAAATTGTCGTTTTTCGATAGCGTAATCAATATGAGGATAAATGAAGTAACATATCTCGAAATAGTTAACAGAAAAGGGAAAACCCGTACTTCCTGAAGGTAATTCTTGCTATCCAGGCTTAATTAAACCGTAAGAAAAATATAAAGTGAAATAGAAGAATCAACTACAAGCCTGGGTTAATAGGACAAAGCTAATCCTTCAAAAAAGAAAAATCTTACCTCATCCATATGGCAAACGTTGCACTTATCAAGGTCCCTCCATTCAACATGGACAAGTGTGTCACATGTAGGTTTTTGATCTTTCTTAGACGTCGACTGGGCCTTCGACGATTTGCGAGAACATGACATTTCCTGTAAAAATTAAGACATTGAGTTGTTGGGAAGACAATGAGAGACTGGGTGCATGAAACTTTTCAGCACAACAAATAGCCAGGGTAATGTGAGCCATGTATGAATGAGGTTGAAAGGTAAAAGCAAATAGTACAATCTGATAAATAAAGATATAAATGTGCACACACCTCATGATGACAAAGATCTCGGAATATTATAAATTTAATGATTTAGAGAAAGATTGCACAGTGCAAATGATATAGACAGATAAAAGAGGAAGGACAAAAATTTACACAAAGAAGTTATGGATCACCGTGTCGAATGCGTGGCAATGAATAGATGCACAATCTGTACATTTAGCATCGTATCCTCAATCATAAATACATGCATTACAACTCGATGGAATATATTATCAGTTTCAGCTGACCACATCACTCCAATTTTGGCATAATACCATTACAACCTTCCCAATGTGCAAGTTCTTACTGCCAGGGAAGACTACAATTATACAAGATGATCAGGAAACTCTTCCCAGCTCTGTATCTCAAATATAAGTGAAGTACCTATTTGGTTAGATTTCTTAACACCTTGTTCAAGATCAAGGTCATGGTGTTTAGGATATGGCTCTTGGGAATGAAAATTTAGAGGAGGGAGTCTTTGCAATAATTATATGTAACTCAGAAACATGTTTTGGCAGTACATTTCCGTTCTTTTTCTCGATCTGAAAACATAATAATTTTATGCATGTGAGTACACCAAAATGTTATGTCAATGATAATTGTGACTTCAAAATTCAATGGCCCAAGATCCTCCAGCTGTAATTGAATATTTTCAATTTCTATTTTTGCAATCAAATTTCACCTCTATCTTCGCCGCCCATATTGTCAACTTTCCACAACTCAACTCTATAATCTTTCTCCGGCCTGACTCATAATGGTGGTTAATTTGAGGGCGGCCTCCGGTCTTTCGTACCACTGTGCTGCTTCCCTCTCTTATCTGGGTCGTCTTCTCTCTGGCCATTGGCAGCTTCCTTGCTGCAGATCTGAGGAAAAATGATCTTTTTGCAGCGTTGACAGGAAAAATGAGGAAAATGGAGAAGATGTGAAGGAAGAGTGTGGTAGCAAATGCAGTGAAAAGCCGATGAAGGAGTAAGAAGAAATGGAGATAAAGGAGGTAATGAAAAGGCAAGTGCCGGTTGCATGGGTACAGCTTAAAGTGAACGGTGATGAATTTCTCAAAGGACCTCCATTTCTATTAGGCTAAATACCTAAAATTTCTTGAGTTAGGGTTTTGCAATCAAAGCTCAAACAAATGTATTTTGCAGGAGGCGCGTGAAGGGCCGACACTGGCCCACTAAAAATGGGCTGAAAACAAGACTGAACAGAAACCTCTGCAAAGAGAAGGGGCCTATAATTATTGCAGTCCTTTATAGAATATTTTTTCTTCTTAATAACAGATGAAGAGCTTCACAAATTAACAGCCACAAGGCTTCATTTGGAAGTCCGAAAATCTAGAGAGGATTATCGCATCTAGACTTTCTTATCTTCAGGTATGGCAATTGAATAAACCACACATTTTAGTCATTAAGGCAAATTGTTTTGACAGGTAATTATGGTTTTGTCCTATAGGACATCCTAAGGCGTGAAAAAACTGGAAACAACAAACATAGCAGGAGATCCAGCTAAGACATTCGATATTAAATAACTTATAACAGGAGTATCCCAAATAATGTATTCCTACTGGATGTTTAATTACAGTATATAAATAGAAAGTAATTTTTAACTACTAGATTACTTGGTATTTCTTGTGGAACCATAATGTCACTAAATGAAAACAGACTCTCACAACAGGCTTATGAAATGAAAAGGTCCATAAATCACAAGGACCAGGCACCATAAAAATGTACGGCTTGAAATAAGAGAACTGAGGCTGGCATAAATGCATGATGACTCGAAGGTAAATAAAATAACTGAAGCAAGTCCCTATAAGGTGCAGTTTTTTTCAGAAATATATTCATCTATGCTACTAGGCACCACCATCATTTACAACAATGTCCACGAATTTGATATTATAACTCACTAAATTTATAGAAGCATTAGAAAGACGAGAGTTTTTTAAGCATTATCAACAGTTGACAGTTTTCGAAAGTTCTAATGGAGGCAACAATACGAAAAGGCACACCACACAATTTCACTGAAAAACTAAACATGAGAGATGGATACACATAAGCATGGTATAACTACTAACTTACGTGTATACTATATTTCAATTTTTGTAGTCTGAACTTAGATATTGGAACAGGAGATCAGGCCCTTCACTATATGCATCACATAACAGTTCAAAGAAATGGTCAAAATGCAAGCTACGAAATTAATAACTTTTCTTTTGTTACATGGTTGATACAGAGACAAAAAATAGTTATGACTTTAGGAGTAACAAAATAAATGGTATCGTAATGCATAAATACCTTAATAAGTTTGGAGACTTTCGGGTGGGAAAAACCAAACATATCAGAACCAGCTGCAAAACTCTGATCATCTTTGTAGTCCCGATTTCTTATTTGCACCGTCTTAATCTTTTTGTATATTTTATTCCAGCACACAGATGGAGTCGGTCCATTAAACTGTAAATAAAAATATACAATAAGAAGGATTGTAACTGAATTAAGCAGGTTTGTTAGCTATAAAGTAAATGAGTAAAAAGAAATTCAGAAAATCGAGGCGTTTCATCTTCAAAAGCCTTATGTTTGAAGCCAGTTAACCTTATAAATCAATGCAGAACAAAATTGCAATCCATAAATTCTTCATAGAAGCCCGAATGAATTTTTTCCACAAACTTGAACTAACAACTACAGCTTGATGAAAAAATGGTAAGTTTCTCTTCAGAAAAATTTACCAGCTCATCTTAAATAAGAACCAGTGAAAATTTACATAATCCTACAAGAAAATATATATAACAGATAAAGGCATGACATAGAGAGAAAAACGTAATATAACGGGATGAAAAAGAAAAGGTACCCATCAAACTTAAATGTCTGACGGAAGGGGAAGAAAAAAAAGTAATAAGTAAATTAAATGCACGGGAAATGGAACACAGAAACTGATTGCTTTAAATTGATATGAGCTTTTTGCTATACCTCTTCTCCACTATCACACGTAACTCTAAACAGAGGTCTGGTCCTCGAGTCAATATCTCTCAGTACTTCCATCTTATATAAAGTAAGCAGACTTGGATCTGAAGCCAAAACTCAAAACTCAAAAAGTAGAAAGGATGAAGGAAATTGAGAACTAGATACCATGCAAAAATAAAATTAACAGGAAACATCTTTTAGAACAATGATTCACCTTTTATTGAAGGAAACATCCTCACAGCAGTATATCCTTCAGGCCATATAAATCTCTCATTTTGGAAATTACCAGAATCTTTAACAATCTTTCCTGCACAAACATGCACAAAAAATTAATGAGATGATTTACTAATTCTACAGAATAAGTCCTGCTGTATTGTAAATCACTAGTCAAAATGGTGCACCAACATATAAATTAGCGAAATGAGTTATGCGAAATTATGCCCGATTTCTTGTATTTCTAGTATATATGTAAAGGATGAGTCAAATCCTTTTAAGACTACAGACACCGCCATCATCCAACCACAATACACTGTAATCCCTCCATAAATATGAAACTCATGGAGTAGCACTACGGAACTCTTGGAATATAATTAACTAAGCATAATACAATAGAAAGAAAAATTATTGGTATATACCGGTCAATTTTTGGCAGTGCAACAAAATTACCATAGCTAGACTTACCCAGGGATATTATTTGCAACTCTCCCTCTTCTAGTGGGCAGCTTTTAAGATCCTCAATTTTCTTGTTTATCTCATCCTGGTTCATACTCTCTTCATCACCTGAATCAGCACCATCTTCATGATCTTCATCCCCACCATCATTCATATCAGCATCAACCCCATCACGCAGCTGCAGCATGCTTTTCGGAAGCTTCTGTTCACTAAGATACCTGATCAATGCAGATATTTTAGTAGGTTTTCTAGGGAATTTACTACTCGGATAATGACAAGTTTAATGCTAACATAAACTTGAATATGATAAACATGTTCCTAATGGTGATTTAGTGCAAGTATTACTAAAATAAAGAACATAGGCAAATTGCAGGAAACACCTTACATGCATGCATATGAACTTTTGAATTCTACGAGTCAAACTACCCCCATAGTGACAACAAATAGAACAAGGAAAAGCACTTTTGCTCTCGACCGATATAATTTTTTGTATAGAATGATCCAATTTGTTGAGGAAAGCATACATAAAACACAAATTCACAAGCCATATTAAGCACATTCATGCCCATGGCCATGATAATGCCTGACAGGGATATCAGTTGAGACAAATACAATAACATTTGACTTTTAGCTTTTGTTTTCCCTCTAGAATGTGCATTTCCGTAGTCAACTGAATGTTGTACAGATAACCTAATAGCATCAATAAGTGAATATTATATTCAAACATGGAAAACCATTGATAATGAAGCAGAGACTTAACATTAAGGACTTTGAAGGGGAAAAGACTCACATTTTTGCTTCCTCTAATCCTTGAATAAAGGTTGGTTTCTTGCACTTCGAATGACATGACGCGAGAAGGCCCTTGAGGAAAGAGATAACATGTTTTCTTGCAACCCTGAATATTAAAGAAGAAAGCAAAATGAAGTAGATTACCAATATGATGATGTGTGCCAACTTCCAGCCAGATGATAATACTCCAGTAACCGTCAAACATTCTACACTAGGAAAAAGATCTTCAGAACATGAAAATCCACAGTACCTGGCAAAATCATGGGTACCAAAGAATTGTACTATGACTGATTTTTCTCCAGAAATTTTGTTTAGACCTTTGCGTTCACTCACATGAGATTCGTCCAAAACAATGGCTGGCCACACAGCATGTCCTATATCAAAGAAACCGATAGATGTTAGCAATAAACTGAAAGAACTTTAATATAAAAGCAAGGCATATAAATCCCTAAAAGACTAACCAAACCCCAAATATGGTAATGGAGGATTCCGTTAAGAAAATAACAAAGGCTAGATTGACACAAATCCAAAGTTTCCAAACTGGACAATTTATTTGGCAATGGTGGATTTTCTGAAAGGAATTTGAAATAAAAGAAAAGATTAACAAAAAGGCAACAGCTAGTCACTGAATTTGCAAAAGCCAATAAAAATAGAAGATTACATTAAATGTCATCATTAGGTAACAAATTATACGATTTGACATAACAAAATTCGTCATCCTGTTCAACCTTTAAATTCATAATTAGCTGGTTTGTAAATCCAACCTTTTTAATAAAAAATTAAAAACATAAAGTTTGCTCCGTTTGATTGGGATTGAGGGGAGAGGATGGAGTTACAGTTCTTGAAGTGCAATGAAAATGTTCAGTTAGGTTATGCCTTATACTGTATTTAAGGCAGATTGTGTTGAGACACCTATTTTGCTAACAAAAATGCAATTAAAAGTGTTCAAGAAAACGATAATTACAATGAACCTACGCTGACTAATCATTTCTCTTTTGGTCCTTCCACGTGTAAGTAAGTATGACAAAAATCGGCAATAATGCATGAAAAAATAAATGTTTCATGTGTTTTTCACAATTTTAAAGTCATTTCTCTTTTGGTCCTTCCACGTGTAAGTAACTATAACAAATCAGCAATACTGCATGAAAAATATAAATATTTCATGTGTTTCACAATTTTATTCTCATCCATAACACCATATAAAAACTTTAAATACATAAGTTCCATTACCCGAAAGCCAACTATGACTAAAGCTACTAACTGAGGACCACAGAATACATGCTTGGAAGAACGTAAATATCTGCTAAGATACCTTGTGTACTACTAAATTGAGTCACTCACAATAGACATGGGAGTTGAGAAAACTCACAATACCCTCCCTATAAGACTAATATTTTTTATAATATTCAAGCAAAGTAAAGACTAAGATAAAGATTAAAGGAATCAGTTATGAGAACTGAAATGTGCACAAAATAAAATCATTTTGAATGACATGGTCAGTCTATTAGTTTCAAAAAAATTTAGAAACTTCCTACTGATTCAATATCCTGAACTAGGATAAAACAAATCTAGGCCACTCTAGTTCTAACTAACCATAAGAAAACATATCTTTAATGGTTTCCCATATCTACCCTTTCGAGACGTTACATTTGAAATAATATAAGCATATAAAGTAACGTAAATTGATGTAATTTGAATAAATAATCCACTACATGCATCTACTTCGAAAGTTAGCAAAATCAAAAGGCACATATGGACATACCAGCAAGTTTTGCCCATATCACATCCCCCGTCTCAATCTCCGGGCAATCATCCAAACTAGCAGCTAAAACCATCATCTCATTCACATCAATCCCATCAACTTCGGAGCTCTTGTCAAGAAACTTCAACTTCAAATCCTGCATCTCCTTCAGAGAGACATGAAACTTGATTCGTTCATTTGATAAATTCAGTTCTTCTTCCTCTCCGTCCTCATACTTCACCTGCATCGTGCTCACCCGTATTACCAAATAGCGCCATTAACATATTCATAAGCAAAGCACAAGTAATATCGATAAATCATGTGGAAGAGTATTACTTGGTGCCGCTCAGTCTCGGACTTGTAACCAACTATGTGGCCAGCATACCACCTTGCATCCAAGGGCCAATAGACCTGTTACCATTAACTCCCAGATTACATTAACAGGAAGTTCAATATAAATAAAAGGGTTAAATTGCAAGTGGAAATTCAGACAAATTGCTTGATTTCTTCATCAGCTGAGTACATATGGAAACTACCGTCCAATCACGTGAATAAATGCAGTCCACGTGGTGAATACACGTGTACTTCTATGACGATATCAACTGTTCGCATATATGTGCAGATTGTTTAAGATTAATAAAGTTCTTACCTTGCATTGTAACCCAATAAACTTCTTTGGATCAGCACCCTCAAAACTAAGCCTGCATCCGAGGAATAAACAAAATTGGGGAAGAATTAAATAACATTAATTTCACTCTTTTAAAAACGATATCCATGAACAACTCGATAAACCAACACGTACCAGACCCATTTCTTTGTCCGACCGCCTCCTGAACTTTTTACATCAGTTTCCGAGCAATCATTTTTTCGCTTCCTGCTCTCCCCATTAATAAGGGTGCTATTAAAGCTCCTATTTTTCCTAACATTACTAGAATTAATTTTGTCATCACTATCAAGCGACGGCATTTGATCATCTAATTTACTGGAGGACTTACAATCGACTCCCAATTCCTCATCTAATTTACTAGAGGACTTACAATCGACTCCCAATTTCACCGACTCAGTATGAATCCCCCCTCTCCTACGCTTAATCCCAGTCTCCACTCCTCCATCAACCCCCAATTCATCCGACTTCACATCTAAACCCTTCAAACACAACCCCTCCCAGAAAGTGGAAATTTCATTTTTCCTCTTCCGCCGCCTCGTGTAGACGTGATCGTACACAGCCATCACGCCCTTCGAGGAAGAATTCAATTGATCGCGGCCGTTGATTTGCGGTGGTTTGCGTGCAGCAGCCTTCTTCACCTTCTTCGATCCGGAGGCGGTGACGCAGGGGGCGGTGGCGGAGTAAACGTCGGACAGGGGAACGTACTTGAGAGGAGCTCTCCCCCTCTGAAATTCATCCTCGTCGTGCTCGTCCAGCGCCGGATTCATCCTCACGCCGCGGTTGTTGTTGTCGCCGCCGTCGTCCGACGAGACCGATAAATCGGCCGACGGAGGAAATGCATCAGCGGCCATATCGAAAAAGGAATCTGCGAGTGAGAGAGAAAAAAGGTGAATTTTTGTTTGTTCTCTTCACTCTCTCACTCTTCTCTATTGGGGGAACAAGGATTTTTTAGGGTTTTTTTATTTCAATGGCGAAAAGAATAATGGATTTTTTCCCGCCGTTTGGCACCTGATGAATGAGATGAGGAGGGTGTCCCCTATATATATAGTACGTGCAATTGCATTACTGTAACAGGTGTGAAATGACAGCTCAGCAAGAAATTAAGAAAGACGAGTGATTTTTTATTTCTTTTTTTATGAGGAAATATATCTTCATTTCTTATTACAATATGATGATAGCCCAATATAGCAAGAAATAATTTGGAATATTTTTCATTCAAAATATAAAAAAAATATTATAATATTATTTTTCATGTACTAGTAGTGGACACAAATCTAGTAAAATAAATGTATTGTGAATGAATAGAATAGGAACCCTAGTGGGTACACAGGATATAATCTCGTATTTCATAATCTCGTATTTCAGCAACTAGGTCATCTTGCTGACAATAAATATATATTTTTTATAACTTATCGTGCGAATTATTTGATTGAAGTGAATTCTAAAGGAAATATAAATCCGTATATGAATCATTTTAAAAGTAAGTGCATGCATCCGGTGGTGTGTCTGCTACGGGATCAGTTCATAAGTATATAATTTATTTTTAAAATACGGTTCAAACTCATCGTGTTTGAAGTAAATCATGCACGTATGTTGTGTTGTATAATCTTTTCCGATATACGAGTGAAGTATTACACGATGAAATTAAGCATGTTCGACGTTAATTAAATGAAGAATAAACCCTAATGTCTAGACGTTTCGTTTCAATCGGATGAAGATGACGATATTTGATATTATTTTTTGCTATATTAAAATGCAATGCAATAAATACTTTTAAATTGTAGCCGTTAATCTTTCTACAAAATGTATTAATTAATCCATAAAAGAATGACGACTTCGAAACAACTTATCGACAAAGTTATCGTCACTTACGGACCAATTAATTTGCAAGTCACCACCACTGCGGTAGTTGGTTCGCAAGTGATAAAATCTTGCGGTTTTATCTCGAATTCAAATGAATTTTCTTTTATTTCGAATTATTCCTTTTGTTACCAAAAAATATATATATTTTCTTTTTTTGGAAAAAAAATGAATGGATTACACTTACCATGTATTAGGTTTGATATAATTATAACTAGATCCTCTAACTTGAAAAATTATGCATTCATCGGATAAATAATAGATTTAGCATATTTTATACATATTTCCAAAAAATCTGCAATTGGTAGAGTCCATATTGTCCAAATTGGATTAGATAATCCAATTTTTAATTCCCCTCTTATCTACACAATGTAGTACACAAATTTTGTGCAAATTAAAGTTAATAGTGCATTAAAAAAAAAGTCAAACGCAATCTTGATTCGACAAATGCAGTCAATGCTCCATTACATGTGTTGGATTGTTATATTACAAAATTCAATATTAAGGAGTCTTGATTACATTTAACCAAAACAATATGAATTCCATAATTAAATATAAAAATGCAAGTCAATGAATTGGTTATGTGATTATGTCAAGATTTCCAATATGCAAAGAGTCCAATTTTTGCTTCCAAAAAATTCAACCCTATATTTAATTTGTTTTTCGAAATCTATCCGACGATTAATTAATCCAGTTTAGACTTATAAAATAGAGAGCTATTGTTTTTTTTTTTTGTAATGAATGAATTCGCAGCTGATCATATATGTGCACTGGATAAATTTATGATTTTGTTGGAATGGCTAAAACAATATTTTTTTAAAATTATTTATCGTGGCAATTATGTGTACATTAACATATTTTTAACATTTTTTTCATGAGTTCATTATGATATATGTTTAGAATCCACCAAAAGCCATTATTTTTGTTTGTAACAATTGTAGTGTTAATATATTAATGATGTATGTATGTAACTATGTATAATTAATTTGGGCCATGAGGCCTAATTTCAATTAATACACAGACTATGTAAATAGTAATGTATATACTTAATTAAGCCCATGAGGCATAACTTCAATTATTACATGGACTATTTTAATAACAAGCCCACGAAGTGAAAATGCCCATTCAACATTTACCATGGATACGAGGCAAATAACCATTACTTTCATGGTTTTAATTTGTTTTTCTTTTGAGAAATTCAAATGTTGTTATAAATTGCGAAAATAGGGGAGGAGACGGGATTCGAACCCTAGACTATGTACTAACTCTACAATCGAATGTTGGTTTATAGTTTAAATTTGATTTTAATTCTTTTTTCCTCATCCCCTAGGAAAAATGCATACATGTCAAATTTGCTAGGATCACCTTGCTAAATTCGAAACATCCTCAATTTTTTCTCCTAACTGATTAGTTACAAATAAATTAAGGGCAAATAACGACTGCGTCTAAGATATGACCAAATTATGAAAAATCCCCTATTGTTTGGGTAATTACAATCACTTCCCTTTTTTAAATATTTTTTTCTCAAAATTTATGTAATTCGGTTATTTTACCGAACCAAATCGTATATTCAGTTCGGTAAACGGTATGAAATATTGACGTACCGAAATTTCGTTTCAGTTATACCGAATTAACATCCCTACATTTACCTCTGGAGGGGTCTTTTCGTAAGATAATACATAGGTGATGGGTGACTGTAATTACCCAAACATGAGGGAGTTTTCGTAATTTAACTATAACTCAGGAGGTGTCCGTAATTTGCCCATAAATTAATTGTTTTTTTGATTTAGAATTAGACACTTTAAAATATAAATCAGATATTTTTATTTTAATTCCTTTTTAAAGTACATACATTAAGGACTTTGACAAACGCAATTAACAGCATAATGCCGTCTTAGTATAGCGCGCGACCCTGTGCCTCGACCGGGACAAATAGTGTATACATTGAAAGCATATATATATAGTTGGTACTATATACGATAAATAATAAATAAATATAATAATATATTATAATATATATATATATATATATATATATATTTTTATATATATATCTGTTAGTTTAACAACCCTCACTAAACCCTAATCATTTAAATACTTACAGCACACACGCACGCACACACACACACAAAATTCTTCGCTGTCTCTCCCTCTCTCCCAATCTCGTCCACCGTTCTTCTCTCTCTAAAACCCTAGATAGAGAAACCTAGCCTTGCAATCTTCTCTTCCTCTGGGGATTAGGTTTCATCTATCGCTTGAAGTTGTGTTTTTTCGATTGCGGAAGAGAGAGAATTGCAGGTTGAGTCGGGATGGATCTTCCGAGCTTGGTGGTGATCCTGCAGGGTGCGCTCAGCCCCAATCCGAGTGAGCGCAAAGCGGCTGAGGATAGTCTCAATCAGGTATGATTGTATTAGATTACTTTTTGCTTGAATTGTGAGTCTCAATCGCAGAAAGGAATATAATCACTCGTAACTTGATTATGAATATGATTGATGTGTGTTTTTGTATATTTCCGATTTGTTCGAATTTCAAGTGGAACTGAAATTTAATCTTGTGTTTTGATTCCTGCAGTTTCAATATGCACCGCAGCATTTAGTGAGGCTGTTGCAGATCATAGTGGAAGGGAATTGTGATATGGCGGTCAGACAGGTGGCTAGTATTTCTTTCAAGAACTTCATTGCCAAAAACTGGGCGCCTCATGACCCTGGTAAGTTGCTTATTAACATTTCTTATCACTGTTTGTTACGAGTATCGTTTTTGGTTCAAGATTGTTTGGGGATGTTTTGGACTGATTTTCTTGAACAAGTTGATGGTTTGATATTTGGGCTTATAAAACTTAATTGGATGTTCTTTTGTTTAATTTATTAAAGATGTAATTAAGGTTCTTATTGACTATCCTAGGGATTGAAATTCTTGATTTTTTTGCATAAATATTGGGTTTCCAATTCGCAAGATTTGTCCCACGTATTTTCTCCTCTACATTTTATGGAGTTTATGCTCTATTGTAGAGGTTATGCATTTTTTTGACAACTAAGAATTTGATTGTGCCAGCTAGCTAAAATGTGATGTGGCATGTCTGTAATTTGCTGGTAAAATTGGTCTGGCGAAAAAATAAAGAACCCTAATTATGCACATCCTTTCGCATTTTTGCTGTAACAGATGAACAATCAAAGATCTTGCCTGCTGACAAGGAGGTTGTGAGACAGAACATTCTCAATTTTGTGTCCCAAGTCCCCCCACTTTTGAGGTATTAATAACTTTTTTCCCTTTATTGCTTACATTTCGTGTAGGAAGTAAGATTTCCTTACAGCTGCGAGTTATCACATATTTATTGACATGCATTAGCAGTACTGTATTTATCATTATCAGCCTATGCTTTTCAACATGACAGCGTCTGTCTGTCTTTAACCAGCCAAGTATAATTTGAATAACTTGGATGAACAATTTTTCAACTAACCAACTGTTGAAATCATCTCCTGTTCTAAACAGAGCACAGCTTGGTGAATGCTTGAAAACAATTGTTCATGCGGATTATCCAGAGCAGTGGCCGACTCTTTTGCATTGGGTGAAGCATAATTTACAGGACCAACAAGTTTATGGAGCTTTATTTGTACACAGAGTTCTTTCCAGAAAATATGAGTGAGTTCATTTGATTCTCTATTTGAGATCTCTTTAGTGGTATAAGTTCAAGTATATAATCGTGATGTATAAGTTCCTGCAACATGAATGTGATTCTCTATGCATAGGATGCATTTCGTCTAGATAGTAGGTAAGCTGTAGAAATCATCTTACGGGTTATTTAAACATGGTTTTCTTATTTGATTAGCACCGCAAGATTAATTATGGAAAATGTATATGAGATTCTGATTGAACGTATGCCGTCATAGTGTGGGTGACTAAGTCTTGCAAACTCTGAAGAACTGCTGAGAGGGACATTTTACGAAATAGAGGATTAGACTTCAGTTGGCTTGAGTTCACCTTTGGGTCAAAAGATTTATAAAAAAAAAATAATGCAGTTCTTTCTGATGTCGTGCATTTGATGGTTACGAACAGGCATGTGTATATTTATCTGGTCAACTATGAATAAGAAAGTGTTTATGAAGTAATCTAACTTCTATCTGCTACAGTGTTGGTTGAATTACCTATTGTTCCTTAGTATAGAATCTCTAAATACTGCCCTGCCCATTCCATAAAGGCTGTCTAGGTTATTGTGTTTGATTATCCTTGCCACCCCCTTATTTATGTCATATTGGGGAGCAAGTCTTTCTCTTCGTTCATTAAGGAAACTGAGACAGCTAATGAACAGGACACTACAGGGATTGAAAGCGATCTAAGAGAACTAGCTATTTATGTTAGCTCGTTGTTTGTGACAGCCGTTTGGAGATTACCTCTTTATCCTCGTTTGTGTGTTAGAACCCTTTGGTACTTGTTATTCTGGTGGCAAAAGTTCTTCTATTGATTGCCAAATTTTATGTGGAATTCTTTTCATATGACAGGAACAGTAATTGTGAAACGAGGCAACACAAATATTTTAAATGACCGTTGGAAATCCATCTTTTTTCCTCTTCTATCAAGTCCTTGCATTTTGATGCATATGACAATATTTTTTCGTGCTCATCTCCTGATTCATTACAATTTGCAGGTTCAAATCAGATGAAGAGAGACTACCGGTTTCGCACATTGTCGATGAAACATTTCCTCATCTGCTTAACATATTTAATCGGCTTGTTCAGATTCCTGCTCCTTCAATTGATATAGCAGATTTGATCAAACTGATTTGCAAAATATTCTGGTCATCAATCTATGTATGTTGAAACTTCTGTACTATCAAGCTTGTTATGCATGCATTTGATTCAATTGGTTGGAATAAGCAATCAGCGGTTTGACCCTGCATATGACAGTTTTCACAGACATCGTCAAAATCAAAGTTCTTTTGCATCACAAAGTAGTCTGAGTCTTACATGCTTCCTTTCATTGTCAAGTTTTGTTCCCTTTCTTTCAAAACCGTATTTACAGGGTTATAACCAAGTTATCGTTGCTTTTTTACTAAATGTTCTTTTGTAAGCTAATCAAGTCTTGCCCGTCTAGCTCTTGCATAAGAATTGTATGCCCCATCTATTCAACTAATATACGTGTTCTCGTCCAGTTGGAGGTTCCAAAACAGCTGTTTGACGCAAATGTATTCAATGCCTGGATGATTCTTTTCTTGAATATATTGGAGAGGCCTGTTCCTGCAGAAGGGCAGCCTACTGATCCCGAGCTGAGAAAATCGTGGGGATGGTGGAAAGTGAAGAAGTGGACAGTCCACATACTAAATCGCCTTTATACCCGGTACGTTCTTAGTTGCTCACCCCTCTTCTTACAATGTGTATTAATTGCTCTGATTATGGCTTGATTTAATTGACATCCCGCTTTCTCTTACTTTTTACCAGGTTTGGGGATGTGAAACTTCAAAATCCAGAGAACAAAGCCTTTGCCCAAGTGTTCCAAAGGAATTACGCAGGGAAGATTTTGGAGTGCCATCTCAATTTGTTGAATGTGATCCGTGTTGGTGGCTATCTGCCGGACAGAGTTATCAATCTTGTCCTGCAATACCTCACCAATAGGTATGTGATTATTTGTTTATTAATCAATTTGATATTATACATTTTTCTGCTGTTATTCCCTCCCTCACCCCCTTTATGAGCATTGATTCTTCTATAATAATTAAACATATTATACATGAACTTCTATGCTTTGTGAATATGAGGGTTATAGAAAATGCTAGATATTTGAAGAGTTAGATTGTCGTTATGGAGCTCAATATATAGCAACAGATCAGAAAGGTGATATTAGGAAGCCCCTCAGCATATTAAATCCATAAATAATCAATAAAAATTAATGTTACTAACCCATGATTGTATACTACACTAGTTTCTTACAGGGATACTTCATTATTGAAATTATCAAGAGTTTACTAACCAGAGAGCAAAAGTTTATTGCAATGAGTTCAGCATTTTCAATTGGTTATTCCCACATTTAATTATTTCATGCTCTCTAGTATGTTTGAAAGGCATTGTGCACTTGTTTGCCCGTGAATGCTATTGAGCTAGCAACCCTTTTTCTGTTAGAAGATCAATCAAAAAGAATAATAGAAGGAACGTCTGGATACTCGTTGCTACATTTAAGTCTTCTTTCGACCTGATGTTTTGGAGTAAAATGTGTATATATAATGTTGTTGACTGGTGAAGTGACCTGAAGTTTGGAAAAGCTGGTGCTTGATAGTTTTGAATCTTTGTTTCAGGCACATTCATTATGAAGAAGTTATAGATTTATATTTTATGGAGACATTTACATCACTTCTAATGATAACTTGATGTTTCTAATGATTTCATGCAGTATTTCGAAAAGTAATATGTACAGTCAGCTGCAACCAAGGCTTGATGTTGTTCTTTTTGAGATCATCTTTCCACTAATGTGCTTCAGTGACAATGATCAACTTTTGTGGGATGAAGATCCTCATGAATATGTGAGGAAGGGATATGGTGTGTTACGAATCTCATCTTCTATTGTTTATTTATTTGGATCTCAGAAGTCCTGATCTTGTTACTTATCTAATTTTATTCTTATGCTCTTCAGACATAATTGAGGATTTATATAGTCCTAGAACTGCTGCAATGGATTTTGTGAGTGAGTTGGTCAGAAAGCGTGGAAAGGAGAACCTTCAAAAATTCTTATTATTTATTGTGGAGGTTTTTAAGAGGTACTCATCACATTATTTTGACTTCATGTGAATTAAATAATTTGATATCTATACAATGCTAACCAATGTACTTATTTTTAAACTAGATATGATGAGGCAGCAGCAGAATACAAGCATTATAGACAGAAAGATGGTGCTCTTCTTGCCATAGGAGCATTGTGTGATAAGCTTAAGCAGACAGAACCTTACAAATCTGAGCTGGAGCGCATGCTTGTTCAGCATGTGTTCCCTGAATTCAGCAGTCCTGTGGGACATCTTAGAGCTAAGGTAAGCTCCTTTAAATTGTATTGCTGTTATTTTTACTTTGATTAAAAACACAGTGAACTAATGCATATAATCAGTTCTCAACATCTTTTTTTAGGCAGTTCTCAAAACATAGATGCATAATTTGTTACCCCTTATTTGCGTATGTACTAGATGGTAAAAAAGTGCAGTTGGATTCAGAATTTTCGCACCATTAAAGGGAACTTAATTTGAATTACTTTTGTTATGCGTATATGCTAAATTTTGAATATGTATCTTTTTTATCTGATTAAATACTTTCACTAAACTTTCTTCTGAATCTGTTCTTTTCGGATCTTCTTAAAATGGTTTGGTTTCTAGGCAGCTTGGGTTGCAGGGCAGTATGCACATATTACTTTCTCCGATCCAAATAACTTTCGAAGAGCTCTGCACAGTGTTGTTGCTGGCATGCGTGACCCAGAACTTCCTGTCCGTGTTGATTCTGTCTTTGCCCTGCGCTCTTTTGTGGAAGCCTGCAATGGTACAGTTTCTCTACTTATGTTGCTTTAGGTTTATGTTTGCTATACGAATATTCATACTCGTCAATAACTTGGACATATTTTCTTTTTATGTACAGATTTGGGTGAAATCAGACCAATTCTTCCACAACTATTGGATGGTATATCGATGTGAAAGTTTTTTCAGTTTGCTCTCTATGAAGCAGCAGAGTCCTAACTGACTTTTTTTTTCTTTTCCATCTGAAATTGTGTTTTCAGAGTTCTTTAAACTTATGAATGAGGTTGAGAATGAAGATCTTGTGTTTACTCTTGAGACAATAGTGGACAAGTTTGGAGAGGAGATGGCTCCTTATGCTCTTGGATTATGCCAGAATTTGGTGAGAATGATCTACCAATATTTGGATATCTGGAAATTGATTATATTTGTTGTCTTTTGAATCACCAACTTTTTGAGTTTCAGGCTGCTGCATTTTGGAAGTGCATGAATTCTGCAGAAGCAGATGAGGATGGTGATGATCCTGGTGCTTTGGCTGCCGTTGGTTGCTTGCGCGCCATAAGTACAATCCTTGAGTCAGTGAGCAGACTCCCCGAGCTCTTTGTACATATTGAGCCAACTCTATTGCCGATAATGTGCAGGATGTTGACTACTGATGGACAAGGTAGCTATCCATTCATCATGTTTATTTATTGCCAAAAAAAGAAAGGTTCACTGTGCAGGATTCTGGTGCTTCAGACTTTGCTTGCAGTGTGCAAGGATAGTGAAATCAGATCTTGCATAACTTTTATTGCATTCTGTTGAGTTTGTAATAATGTTTTAAACAATCAGATAAGTTTTAGGCTTTTGATCTAGAAGTTTCATTATTGGTAATTGAGATGTGGTAAACTTGATATACGGCGTGGGTTAACCGGTGGGAAAATATTTAGTCCAAGAAAGCTTATAGTGCCGCCTATGTCGCATTAGTAATGTTAAAAAGAGAGTATAACGTCTGACATCTTTATCAAAACTGTTATGTATCTAATTTCTACATCTATGTAATGTTGCAGAAGTGTTTGAGGAAGTTTTGGATATCGTCTCATATATGACTTTCTTCTCCCCCACTATATCATTGGACATGTGGAGTCTTTGGCCACTAATGATGCAAGCTCTGGGTGACTGGGCGATCGATTTTTTCACAAGTATGGTGCAATACATTTAATTTGTACTTCTGTGGTACAAAGCTTTTACTTAGTACTACTTTGCCTTGCCGTCACATTCTTCTACTAGTATTTTCTTATTTGTTCTGCTTCTTTAATGTCAGCCATGGTTTATGTCTTGCAATTATTTGAAACTCTGGTGTTGAATGTGATTTATTTTCTACTATGGTTGTATAGAATGTAGATTTAGAAGAGATATTAGCCATGTTTAGCTATACCCCTTTCCTTTGCTGAAATTCATTCTAGTTTTATAATTTGTTTAGTTCTCCTATTTGACCCTATCAAAATAGACTAGGATTTAATCTCAGATTTTTGCCATAAATATGCCAGTGTGAGTTGACCATTATGTAGGTGTCTTGCTTGCTCTTCCACTCTTTATCTGTAAAGTCTTTTTTGTGCTTATTGATTGAATCTATTGTTTTAATTTATGTGTCACATGTATGAATCTTGAAAATGTTAAGCGATAAATGTTGCAATCTGTTAGTTACCACTTGTTATATCATCTATTTAACATCTTGCCGTGTGGTTGTGCAAGTTTCAGATATTTTGGTGCCATTAGATAACTATATATCCAGAAGCACTGCACATTTTCTTACATGCAAGGAACCGGATTACCAGCAAAGCCTGTGGGACATGATTTCATCTGTGAGTTTTTTTTGTTAAATTTAGGTTACACTGGTGGTGAGAATTTTCTAACCAATGTTTATTGTTAATCATGCAGGTCATGCGTGATGAAAATCTAGAGGATGGTGATATTGAGTCAGCACCTAAGCTCATTCAAGTATTTTTCCAAAACTGCAAGGGACAGGTTGATCGTTGGGTTGAGCCTTACTTAACAATTACTATGGAGCGTTTGCGTCGGACCACTAAACCTTATCTGAAATGCCTCTTAGTGGAAGTGGTAAGTGCTTTTCCTAGCTAATCTCTCTCATCCATTGGATATGGATTGCTATCTTTTGTTTAAACTCATTGAACGCTATACTTGTTGCATACGGTGGCCCCTTGTCCTCTAAAGTTAAGGGGATGATGCTTAGCCTCTTTGAATACAAAGAGTTGTGCATGTGCATTATACAGTTCACTAGCTCATATTTTCAATTAATTATTGGCTGTTAGTGTAGAGTTTCCATGTTGAGCATGGAATTCTGTCTGCCTGTGTTCATGAATTCAAAAGAATTTCGAGGCATTACTTCAAGTTGTGCATGGATAGAGTTTACCCCTAATTTTTCCATCCAAGTGTGATACAGTATTTGCTGGCTATTTATTCTTGACTGAGTAAGGAACATAATTTAGGAAAGGTGCACTTGTCCGAGGGTACTGACTTTAGCTAGAGCATTGTTGACGATATGTTTTTGTGCATCTTATATTCTTTTTCTTGGCTGAGACCAGTGGTTGATGTTGTTTGTTGTCTAGCACTGAATATGAGAAGTATAACTTTTGACAGGTGGCTGATGCTCTGTATTATAATGCATCCTTGACACTCAGCATATTGCAAAAACTTAATGTGGCCACAGAAATTTTCAACCTATGGTTCCAAATGTTGCAACAGACTAGAAGAAATGGAGCAAAGGCTAATTTTAAGAGGTATTCATTTGTCCGCTTGTTCGGTTCTCGTGCTTTCTGTGCTGTATTCTTATCATCTTATAACATTTATCTTTACGCGGGATTATGTCTTTCTGTTTGCAGGGAACAAGATAAAAAGGTTTGCTGCTTAGGGTTGACATCATTGCTCCCTCTCTCTGCTGATCAACTGCCAGGAGAAGCATTGGACCGAGTTTTCAAGTCAACTCTTGACCTGCTTGTTGCCTATAAGGAACAAGTAGCAGGTTGTTGCATTTATATGTGCAGTTCATTTATCAAATATTTAGTGAAAGTGCTTCATTGCTCAGTTTTGTTTAATATATTCCTTCCCGTTTCTTGTGTGTGTATTTTATATACTTTGTCAAAATAAACAGAGGCTGCAAAGGAGGAGGCGGAGGCAGAAGCTGCTGAAGATGATGATGATATGGGAAATCTTGAAACTGATGATGAGGATGATGGAGATGATTCTGACGGAGAAATGGGGGTTGAGGATGGAGATGAAGCTGAGAGCAATAGACTTCAAAGATTGGCTGCTAGGGTGGGTATTATTTTTATTGAGCATGAGTTTGTAACACGTGAAATCTAGTTTTAATATTGATTGAAAAAGAACTGGTCCAAAATTATACTCCGTGAATTCTGTAAAATGAAAATAGTACCGATATGTTCCACAATAATGGTAGAGGCAGACTCGATTTTTGGAGTTTGCCTTTTATAAATTTTACATTCGTACCTATTGTATAACGTCCTTTATTAATATAGTCGTGATGCTAATTATGATACACAGGCGCGGGCTTTCCGTAGCGACGAAGAATTCGATGACGACGACTCAGATGACGACATCAGTGACGATGAAGAAATGCAATCACCAATCGATGATGTCGACCCTTTTGTTTTCTTTGTGGACACCATCCAAGGTAAGAATAAGCATAATTTTCATTTTACGCAAGTGTGCAGAACTTCACTTAATTACTCCACGGATTCTTACATTCCCTAATTCTGATTTCTGTCTTGTAGCTCTGCAAGCATCAGATCCATTGAGGTTCCAGAACCTCACACAGGCGCTCGATTTTCATTACCAGGCGCTTGCCAACGGTGTTGCCCAGCATGCTGAACAGAGAAGAGTTGAGATTGAAAGGGAGAAACTGGCCAAGGTTGCAGAGGCGGCAGCAGCAGCAGCTGCCGCTGCTTCTTGATATGGTTCTCACTTTGCCCTCTCCATAAAGTCTTAGTCGTCGTATTTCTCTCTCTTTCTCTAAGTGGTGTCCATGGTGGTCAATGTGTATAATAAGGTCTCGTTCAGGTCCCAGTTTCTCTATCGAAGTTCCTCAAGATAAGCAATGTTGTGAATTAGGGGAAATGGGGGTTCTTGTCATTGATTACATGGTACTGGTTTGGTATGGTCTTTTATATGGGGAAATCGGTTCTCTTCTACATCGGAAGAAGCCAGTTTCCAGTTTTTTATTCATTATACAAATGGAAATTCCATGTCGAGGTGTTAGAAAACTCTTCTGTTTAGTTTTGCAAAAGAGAGGTTAAAATGCATAAAATTATAGCATGCGTCTGGTGAATTGGTTATTCTTGAGGGTCGGGGTCCTAAAATTTTTCGTACTTGGTTCTTTATTGTTCCTACGTTGATTTTTTTCTTCTTTTCCGAGAACTGGTTTATCTAGTTATTGGGAGGTTTTGATCTGTGCAGAGGGTGCATAGTTGAGTTTTGTGCCGAATGGAGAATTGGATTGTATTCTTTTTTACTTTTGGAGAGTTTAAAATGTGATTAATTTTGCCCTGTTATATATCTTTTTTAATTATTTATATATTTTTTTATAATTGTGATCTACTGCCTGTTCTGAAGAATGAATGTGCAGTTGCCATGTACTCGGTGGCGCAGCTATCATAGGTGCGGGGGGTGGGGGCACGGCCCCCTAACATTTATCTAATCCATATTATTTTATATAGGAATGCACATCTTTTTTCCCCAACTGTAGGCTTGCTCGAATAGGAATTAAAAATATGTGCTATTTTGTGATCTCACTATAACTTGATTTCTAGAAATTAAATTAGGGAGCCATTAGAGCCGTCTGTTCAGGTCAGATAATAGGCAATTGTTTTTTTTTTTTTTACTAGGGGGACTATACTAACTAAAACAACAACGTTATGCGCTAGTAACAAGAAAGAGCATTTCGAGACTTGCCTACGACAACTGAAGAGCATGGGCATTTTGGCAAACGGAAATCAATAGATAAAGAGAGAGAGGGAATAATCTCCTAAAAAAGAAAGATGCACAAAGAGAAACAAAACTGCAGCACATCGAAGTCGTCCCAAGGAGCATTTTGGTGTAATTGTTTGAACTCAGGAATGAAGACTTTCAAATCATTGGCTATTGCCTATTGGGACGACAAATCGCTTTCTGCCTTGGCGAGGGATTATGGCTTTGGAATTGCTTTTTGCGGTTTGAAAATTGCTATTTGCGGTTTCTAACCATACCCCCCTTTGAAACACTTTATTCACTAAAACCCAAAACTTTCCAAAAAAATCCAAAAACACCCCCCAAAACGCGTAAACGCCCAACTTGGGCGCCCATTCATGCAGTGCACACCCAAGTTGGGCGTGCAAGCTGCATTTTGGCGCCCGAGTTGGGCGTCCAGTGCAAATTTTTTTTTTTTTTTTTTTTTTTAAATGTTCGAACGCCCAAGATGGGCGCCCAAGGCGTGTACGAACGCCCGTTTTTGCGAAAAAAAAAAGCCCTACAAATTGATTTGTAGGGCTTTTTAACATGAAATTGGTTCCGTAATCGACCTACCCAATGCATGTTACACATAAAAGAGTCGAAATTACATCAAAAAATCGAAGCCCAACCCTTCTTCAAGCTTGATTTCGAATTTTCGATTTTTTTTTTTTTTTTTTTTTTTGCTATTTGCAGTTTTAGGGGGTTTTTTGATATTTTTAAAAGTTTTGAGGGGTTTTGTTGTAAACCGCGAATAGCAATTTTGTAACCGCAAATAGCATTTTCTTTATGGGTTGCATGTCATCACAACACAACCTATTAGAACTGCTAAAAACTCAAATTTACAAAAGTCAGAATTATCTAGGTATTTTTCCCATTGGTGCCCATAAAGCTAATAACTATAGCAGTAATTCTCACAAGTAATCATATCCCAAAACGCATCACTAATCACATTGTCACAGAAGTAAAACACACTTTGGTTTTGAAACAAGGATATCTAAATGACGGTAAAACAAAGAAGGGGCAACCATTTTGGTCTTCAACCATCATTGTCTAAAAACAACCGAGGCAGTCATTTTCACTCGAACTATCAATATTTTCGAGCAAAAGGACCGACAGTTAACTCCACTTCCATTTTGCCAACCTTGAATTAGAGGAAAAACTAAGTAGATTACCTTGTCTCCCGTATATTGCGCAGAGCACTCAATCCACTGGTTTTGTCTATTTCATTCATCTTTTCTATCACGACTTTACCTACTACTGTCCCTTCTTTCCCTGCGATATTTGTCTTCCCGCTGATAGGACTCGGACTCGTTTTTTCTCGGTATCTTCTCGTTTCTCCTATCACGTTCTTCCCCAGACTCTGGATATCTCGATCTCGGCCTTTTATCAGTACTTGAGCTATTGCGGAACTCATCACTCTTTGCTCGAGAGTATTGAGAATCTCTGTCACTAGGTTTAGGAATTTGCCGAGAGGGAGGTGGTGATGTATTTTTGGACCGATGTCCTAATGAGCCCTCGTATTTGTCCTGTGTACGTCTCGAGTGTCTATCTTCCTCAGCACCCCATCCCGTATTAGCAGCTCTCTGAATTAGGAAGAGACCATTTTCTTTTAGGAACAATTAATTGGAATCTGGTAATTGCATAAGAGTCAAATTCTAGGGTGCATTTGGATGGAGGGATTTGGGGGAGGGATTTCAAATCCATAATAACAAATCCCTCGAACTTGTTTGGATTGAGGGATTTTGAGATGGATTTCAAATCCCCACCCCTCCTTTTTAGTTGATTTTGGAGCAATAGTGATGGATTTCAAATGACTCCAAAATTGGAGTCATTTCAAATCCATTCCCCAAATCAAATCCCTCCCCAAATCCCTCCATCCAAATGGACCCCTAGATTATGAAGTGAAAATAGAAAAAGAAGTATCAATCTCCATAATAAAGAAAAACGAACGGAGCAAAATAAAATAAAAGAACTAAATGAACTGCTAGCTTCTACTAGGAAATAAGACACTGTACAAAATAAAAGTAAATACACATGATATCGGGGGTGTGTAGAGTAATTTAACGGCTATATCAAGACAAAGTTTAACATATAGCACTTTGCAGAGTCTGAAACTATCATACAAACAGACAGCAAACAAACAACTTAAATGAATTAGACATATTTAGGTTAGAAAGAACTGAATGTATAGCTTTGATGACACATCTCATGGCTTAAGAGTTGCATGTTGATCCTTAATTTTTAATGCTATTTGGGGGTATTTGCAAAAGCTTAAGTAAAATCAGAAGTTGGTGATTTAAGTAAAGCTCTGAATAATCACTTATTTCTACAAGTTGTGGGTGTTGGCAAAAACCCTGCAATATCAACTTTTAGTTAATTCAGAAGTTGCAGTGTTTACAAACAACTTTATTTTGCATTTTTTTTCTCAAATACCTGATTAAGTAAAGAAATTAAACAAACATTAATTTATATATAATCAATTTATATTAAAAAGAGTTTACGAAAATCATGTATATAGATACTTTTTTATGCAAACAACTATTTTTTTTATTCGTAAAAAATATGCGTATATCACACAAATATACACATATTTTAATGATATAAAATCTCAAATAGACAATGACAAGAAAAGGTTATAATAAAATACATGTGATTGTAATTTTTAACCGTGAAATTCTTGTTGAAGCAAAGTGCAGAAATGCAGGTTATGTTATTGGGATTTATGTGAAAATAAGGCAGCTAATAAAGTGTGTATAAGTGCGTGAAAATATTTATGCAGCTAATTAATTACAAAATTGCCATTAAACTGAATACTTTTGAGATTATGGCTTAAAACAACTTATTTTTAGAGAAGCAAAGGTAGAAGTTGATTATGAACCAAAAAACGCTCATAATCCATTTGCAAAAGCTTTTCCAAACACCCCCTTAATAGCATTCAAATAAGTTGAAAAGAGAATACCTTTTAACAAAATGACCCAAATCTCTCCACATCAAACATTTGGGGAACAATTAAATTACCTTCTACCAAAAACTTGCTATCAATATCAAATTTCATTGACAGCATATATGCATAAACATTTGGCAAATGGATACATATTTCAGTAGAAAGTTTTGATCTGATGTCTTGTAAACAATATAAGACATAAAACTGCAATCCTCGCTGGCCGCTACCTAGTACTTAGAGGTTCAATCAGATTTCGACGTGTTAGTATTTCCAATAAATATATTGCTGCAAACAATATAAATTATGAAACATTAATAAATAGCAAAAACAGAGATCTAGCCTAGTCTTCCAATGAATATAAATTCATCAACTCATACGCATAACTGCAAAATAAATATAAGAGTCGAATAAGTACTCAGCACCAAAAAACTACCAAGTAAAGCCAACGAAACAACTTATCATCTGATGCATACATTCTTGGTCACGGGAAGCATAAAATATGCACATCAAATCATCCATAATGGATGAGACACAAAAAACATGAAACTGTTCAAGGAAAAGGGCAATCACACGAAAAAACAAAGATACGCTCCATTTTTGTTGTTCATGCATTTAATAAAAGAGAAGATCAAAGTATCAAACACTGGCCGATTCTTCAAAAACTTACTTGCGCGTCGTGAGAGAATTTGCAGCTGTCTCCACGATTACATTCTCCTTTCTGAAAAGCACGGCATACCCCTCGCTCCTCCCTCTTCTGCTGCTTAGTTTCCTCGTCCTCTTCCTCTAGTTTCTTGTATTTGTTCACGTGATCAACCCTAATTGTACGGCCCAAAATTTGTGCTCCATTTAGATTGTCTGCATATTATCCCAGAAGAAATAGTAAGGCATGTAAAATATTTTTTTGTTGCATCTTGATAAATAAAATTGACTCATGGGGAAAAGAAACAAACCTACAGCCAGTATAGTACTTCTTTGATCCTCGTAAGCAACAAACGCAAAGCCTTTGGATTTTCCGGTACCTTTGTCTCTGATTAGGTTAACATCCACAATCTCCCCATATCTACATCAGAGATTAACCAAACAAATCAATTTCGGACAACATATTAACTTTCAAAAATAAATTCAAAAGGTAAAAACTTACTGAGCAAAGATTGCAACTAGATCGCCTTCCGTTAGGTCAAACGGAATGCCACCAACGTAAACATAAGCTGAATCTTTATACTTTGCATGCCATGATGCGTCCTCGGAAATTCCTAAACTCGCTTCTTGTTTGTTTATGTTCTGAATTCGCTTTACCAATGTCAAGGGATTCATCGAAATGCAAGCTTACCCTACAAGCAAGATGTAACTTCAGAATACCAGTACAATCAACTTAATTTTCGATAAATCACACATTTATGAAAACAAGTGCAGAACCTTTTACGACATCTACCACAAGTGAAATAAGATAACAAGAAGCTTAAACGAGGAAGGCAGAAAGGCAAACAGAAGCTGTAAACTAGAAGCACATGACTTAACTAATCCTTAAACAAAAGGTAGATTAATAAATAAATAATAAAAGAAAAAGGAAACCCTAAGAGCAGCGGGAAACCCTAAACCGAGAACGTATTCCTACCTAAGCCGAAGGCAACTCGGGTACAGACACCTGACCTTTTGTGAGTTCGAAGATATTTCAAAAATCATCCCCAATCACTACAGACTCCATTACAATCATAAATTCAGAACTTTAGAAATTCACAAAAGCAGCCGAGAATTGACCTAATTTTAACGTAATCACTGCATACGATTTTCTCTAACGCTGTAACTGTTCAAAAGAATCAAACGCTGCAGACCACAAATTGAAGTTAACGTAAAGAAATTTCTACTCAATCTATGACCAAATCATTATTCAATAACCAAAATCATAGAGGATGATGATATTTCGGTTTTCGATGCCTACGATTTTTCTACTAAAATTAACTAAAAAAAAAGGAATATACAAACACGAACTTACTGCAATTGATCCGCCGCCGGAAAGTATGCGTGGAGAAGGATTGCCGTTGGGGATTTGGAAATTTCTCTCTTTCTCTCTCTCTCTCTCTCTCTCTCTCTCTCTCTCTTGCCTGTTTGAACTTTGAACACAAGAGTTGGGTTTGTTTCGCACTTGTAATGTTAATATTATATATTTATATGTAAATTATGGCCACCTCCCCGAGGTAAGATCAAATTATGAAGCAACCCCTATTGTTTGAGTAATTACTATTAACCCCTCAACTATGTATTGCCTTACGAAAATCGCCTATTTCAATAGGTAAATTTGACACCGTAAGGGTAGACGTGTAAGACAATACATAGTTGAGGGGTGATTGTAATTAACAAAGATGAAAGATTCTTTTCATAATTTAATCTTATTTCAGGAGGGTAATCGTAATTTTCCCTAATTTATATTTGCCCTTTTTTCTTATTTTTTTGAGGCAAGAGTTTGGGATCTTAATTCTTTTGAGACCTCGAAGATAAAATAATATTTATTTTAAATAATTATATATAAGTTTAATGCTGTAGATATATTTATGTAATAAAGGCTACAAATTATAAAATTTTAACTAATTATATATATATATATAATTTCTTGTTGCCAGGCTAATCTCTTCATTTTTTATTTAAAGCGTATGCATTATTCACAACACACTACTTTTTTATATCCTCTGGCTGAAAGCTTCTGCTACTATTAAAATTCGAACCAGCACTGTATAAACATCTATACTATAATTGCTGCATTAGTGCTTTTCTCGACAAAGAAAAACCGGCTCAAAAACGAAAAGATAACGAAGTATTTCACTTCATGTTTGCAAAATTGAGCTAATATATATAGTTCACAACTACGATCGTGTTTGTTCATTTTCAAAAGGGCCGCATAAGTTTAAAAGTTCCGAAGGCAGCTTTTTTAACTACAAAACAGCTTTCTCCTAACGAAGAACGGGTAAAAAAGTTCGACATCGCTCGATGAAATTTATTTACCCATGTGAGTCAAAATCCGACTGATCAGAGCTTCTTTTTTCCCAGTGACGGTTAAGTTGTGTACGGATAGGTAGATCTTAAGTTCCGCCACAGTCAACTCCTTCAACTGCCAAACATTAGTTATAAGTTCAGTTCCTAATGGATAAAGCTAACGGGAATTATATTTAACTCGTTGATACATAGATTGTGTCACCTTTCCATTGTCGGCAAGATCCGACCAGTCGTAGTTTGCGTACTCCTTCGTTGCATGTTCAGCAACTGCTTTCCTTTTCTTGGACGCTTCGCTTGTTTTCCCCGTGTCCATCAATTCATTCTCTTGTTCGTAGTTTTCTCCGTATACGGAGAGTTTGAACTCTTCAAATGCTTTCACAACACCCGGTCTTCAGAAAAAGAAAACGAGAAAAATAAATTACGATGAGGGTTACCGAAAATGCATCTAACGGTAAGTCTTAGTTACCTGGCCATGCCTTCTTCATCCGGAATCGTTTCATCCTTAATATCAGGCATTTCATCTTCATCCAACGCCAGAGCTTGTAACACTGCATAGTGTCTTTGTAATGCTGTAAAATAAATTTAAATAATGTAATGTTATTTTTTGCCAAAAAAAAAAATGATAAAGTGAATTTATCTAAAATCCATAGAATCGAGCATTCTTAAATTGCTTGCTGCATAAATCTCAGAAAATATCTGACTCGGTTTTTTTGATCCATTCAGTGTCGACTTAGTTTCTCTAGTTTGTTCTACTTTATTTCCTCCAATAGTTTTTTCAGACTTCGTAAAGATGAATAATAGTCGATATATATTAAAAGCAGCATGAATGAGAATGTATTTTAGAATAGGGAATTTACCAGGGTTTGCGAATTGGCAAACTGAAAAGTTTTTCAGATCGACACGCTTCATTAATGAAGAGGCACTCTTTATTTGGTCTTCAGTTGCTCGATTCGTATCAGAATGAAGCTGCAAAAACCGACAATATTGTTTCTCAATGGTTAAACTCGTCCATCGAGAAATTCACTGCAGTAAGAAGATGTACTATTATTACCTCTTCAATGGGTCTGATATCATCGGAATACGGGAGATATATCATATGCATTCCAGGTGGCTCAACCTGACCACTGGCGCTAACTATCTCATCCTGCAGTTCAACAATATCAAATAAAATTGTAATTTTCAGGTCGAGCATTTATGAATAGTGTGAAGATAACAAACGTCAAATAAGCAACAAATCCACTGCCCGGGGCAATATTTCTCGAATTTAAAATTATTAAAAAAAAATAGATGTGTTGAAATACACATTACTGCATCCTCCAATAACGTCTTACCTGTGCAACTAAAGCCACCAAATGAGGATTTGTGGGGCTCCCGTAAAATGCAAGAGCAAAGCTGCAAATTTAAGGAAAGAGATTCACATTATTTAGATTTACAATCGATACCCTACTTTTCTTCTTTATTTAGATTTTTCTAATCTTCTTCACATGTGTTCTCTTAGGGAGAAAAGAGATTCACATCAGTGTCAGTTACCTAATGAATTTTTAAATTAAGGAATGCGTGATCTTTGGTCATGGACAATTGCAGTCAAGTGAACTTACCGCTTCAGGCGCAACATGGATCGATGGAGAGCAATGAAAGTACAAGTACTCCCGACCAATTCCTGCATCGAATAAAATCGAGGGATATTTAGCACAGAATTCATTGCAAATATCAAATGAACCTGAAAATTGGCAAGGCTCTAAGTACAAGCAAACTACAACCTAGAAGCAGTTCTGAGTTTTGTGGTTAAAAGTTAGAATGAGTTACAACTTGAGAATTGTTCACACTCAGAAGTTGATTATTGAAAACAAGTCGAGCATAAATACATAGGGAAAAGATCACGTAACCTCATCGCTTGGGAAAACAAAGGTAGCTGGCCTTAAATTGTGATAATCTTTTAAGCAACTCAGGCTCTTGAAACCTAGGAGACGAAGATGTCCAGTAGAAACCCTCTTGATTTCGGAAAGTTCATCAACTGAGAACATGATATTCTCACTGGAAAACAAAACTAACAATTCAATGAAAAATAAAAAGTAATGAATTAAATGTACGTTAAACCAAAAGCATATGTTTAAATCCACCAAATCTGAGAAGCAGTCTTGGTTCATGCCCCAAGTCCAAGAGAACAAATGCTTCTAAATTCTAATTGTGGCTAATTTTTTTTATGTAAATTTTACTCTTTGAACAATGGGGTAAAAGGAACTTCAAAAAAATCCCTCCGTTACAATTTGCTCAATATGTCATGACACAAGAATCTTGACACTCCAGTTTCAAAATCATCCTCAAAGCAATTAATTATAAAAAAAAAAAAATTGTTCTTTTTCTATTTTTTTTTGGTTGGAAGTTTTACGGGAATTGTTTTCGGGAAATGTATAAGTGTGAGGTATGTTTGGATTACTTTGGGAATGTTGGAAGTATAACAAAAAGGAATTTGTTTTCCAAATTCGAGGAGAAAGAAGATTGTATTAAGGGAAATGTACTGAGAAATGTGTAATAGAGCCTCACTTATTATAATATCAAGGCCTTAAACAGTTCAAAAAGTATATCCGAGAGAATAGAGCCTCACTTCTTATAAGTCTGAAAAAGTTTTGGAGGCTTCTGCAGCAAAGCACCAGTGTCCGAACAGAAGAAAGACCTCTCAGCCTGCACAATCATCAATGTTAGAACTGGTATTAAAATCCCGAGTCAAGTTAAAACTAACATTATAGTGTCTTAATTCCGCAGAGAGTGGGCTCAAGACAAACAAGTTCTCATTATTTACTACCTTTATAGGAAGATTGGTGACTGAATCAAGCCAAGTGATAGCACCTGAAAGCAAAACGAAGAATAAGAGATGTCTTACCTTGAGGTAATGCATAGAACAAATATAAACCTGAAACAGACCTGGATTAGTTGGACGCACCAAAGCATAGGTATTTAGTACAATCGTCACGCCACTAGCAATGATGAAGTAAATACTTCTAACTTTGCGTTTTCTGAACATTCGCTTTCTTAGCTGATCTTTCATGTCTCCAAGCCTAACATAAGAAGAATTCTATTAACACAAGAAAAAATAGAGAGAGAGCTAAAAAAGCAAGGAATATGCTTTCATCCCTCGAAATCAATAACACCCGTCTCTCCAGTGGTCTGAAATAATTAGGATGTATACCTTCGCTTTGCATCATTTTATTTTATTTTACTACATGGCCAATGCCTTTTGGGATAATCATCTAATACATTCAAAATAAGAATGCAATCCAATCAAATCCAATAGATAACAAATCAATATCCAAATTAACATCTCAATATTAAGGAACACCAACAGACTAATATCCGCTCCTGGAAACGTTGGACGACAAAAAAAATGTACCTCAACTAGATTAATTAACAAACTGAAATAAGATGTAAAAACATGATTAATAGCAAAGCCAGGATCAAATTATTGGTACTTGTGCAAGATTCTGTGAAGCATACAGGAAATGAATAGGAAAACTAGTAAATTCAGACCTCTCCTCTACTAAGGCCTTAAACTCAGCTAGTTCATTGCCTTCCAGTCCAAGTAAATCCTGAATAATAAGAAGCTGACTAAGATACCAAAATAACAAAAATATATAAAAGAGTTCGACTGAGATGCCAATCATGAACATACAGCATAAAAGGTGGATATATTGAAGTCTTCACCAGGTCTACTCAAGGGAAGGAGTTCGATTGAGATGCCAAGATCTTGAGTATCCTGAAAAGAATACAAAAAAAGCACATTTTTCATGTTCCTCAAAATTTGACATGTCACAAAAATGTGGCGAGTCCATGAACTGAGACATTACTTTGGCTCGCTGTAGTGTTGTTCTCATCATATCCATTTTCGTCACTCCCTTGATATTCCCAAACGGATCATCTTCATTCGTAAACAATAGAATCCTTTTGTCAGCTGTTTTTGCGGACCTAGTATATAATTAAATCAACAACAGTATTTTAAATAAATATCTTGTAAATGTAACAGGAAAATGTTAATCGCAAAAAAAATATAACATATTCATCTCCAGATATTATATTCATATTATTTCTATGCAGAAGAATAAGAAGAGAAGCATACCCTTTTCGTAACAGAGCTTGTGCAGCCCAAAGAGCATTGTAAAGAGAATTATCACGACTTGCAGACAAGATGCCATATTTACTCCCAATTCGTTTACTAAATGTTTCTGTCAAAAGAATCAGAAAAAAATGAGCCAGAATAAATAGTTGCATCTGGTAGCTGAACAATAAGACTCTCAATGAATGAAAATTGTGGGGCATGTATTTTCAAGTTCTTAAATAGAAGAAAAAACATGCAAACCAGAACAATGATAATGTGATATATTCGACCAACATGATGGCCAGGAAACAGTAGCATGGCTTGGAAATTGGAGAACATGCATCATAGGCAATGTATCAAACTAGTTGGTAAATTACCGACTACTGACCTTCTATACAGTCAAATTCTTTGACAAGCCTAGCTGTAGGTCGATCTAAATCCTCACGTTCAGGAACATTAAAAACATACACACCATTCGAATCCTGCAAATTCTTCTTCTCGCTCTACAAATCGGGTAAATAAAAGATAAAAATAAGATAAAAGTACTCGAGCGATAAAAACTCGCAATTCTTATCTTTGTTAATATAATACACGTTTTCAATGACAATTTGAAGCATGTTTCCTAGAATTACTTCCGGATATTGCATTTCTTAGCCACCGGCCCACCAGAACTACGTAACTCATGATTTTCAACTCGGCAAATAAATTTTTTAATCCTGCGGTATAAAATTGACCTCCATAAATCTAGGTTATTTTGTCCACCAAGTTCGGTTTTAGATGGAGCACAAAAACCAATTTATGTTTACATGAATCTCTTGTCATAAGTTGGTAAGTCTGTCACGCTTCTGAACATTTTAAATTGTGTTAGTTTGCAAAAGATTCAATTCTCAACATTATGTACATGATAGTTGAGGTAAAGTATCTTCAACTACAAGGAGTTTCGGAAGAAAAAGTGTACATTAATATTTCAATAGTATTATTCTTGAATTACTTTATTTGTTTTTCCCTTCCCACGCATTTTTCAAAAATACTTCCATGAATAATTTTCTCAAGGAAAACAAAACAAATCAAAGTCAAAAGAGACCACAATATCATAGTTTCTTCAATTACTGACGATCAAAGTATCATACGCAGAAGGCCTTAAACTTACAGTATTAAAGAAGCAGATCGCAACTTCATCATAAGACCTATTGATTATTTGAGTCTTCAGGGATTGCGCAATGCTGCGGACAGCAACTTGAAAGTGAGTGACATCCTTCTCTTCTTCCTGTATATAACCACAAATCGACAAGCATCCCATTAAAACAACAAACATGACAGAGAATAACAAAACGAAAAGCATAATAAATTGCCCCCCACCAACATATAACTGCAATTAACTCGCATTACGCTTAGCAAGCAAAATTTTCAAAAAAATAGACAAAAATGAAAATAAAAATTCAATCAAAACAGTAAAAGTCAGTGGTTACAGTAGCCAAAGTGGGCATGCAGAACGAAATTAAAAATACTAACTGAAGTACAAGTGGTGGAGAACATCTTGGGGGAAGCATCGACCAAATATACCAGCAACTCCTTTGTAGCATCTTTCTCCTGCGCATTTGATCGAACACCTTATTAGCATAACAAAATGGAGTATTTTCTTATATAAAAAAAAAAAAAAAAAAAAAAAAAAGAACTGTTGTCCCCTCATTATAACCTGATAGAACTCATTATCTGGGTCCTCGTCGTCGCGAAAAATGTCGTCGGGATCAATATCCATGGAATCAAAACCAGTAGGCGACGCTGTCAAAGCAGATTAAAGTACGATTCTTACAGAAGAAGAATGGCAGCAGGCAAGTTTTTTATTTATTCTTTTTTTTTTGTTTCTGGTTTGATTTATATATGGGTTTTCTGCAAAATCCCCGACTCCCCGCCTTCTTTGAGAAGCTTTGACCTTTATTTCTTAATTTCGGGTTCTGTAATAAATTCATAAAATTTATTTTTTTAATTCTTCTCCTCTGTTAAGTTTGTGGGCCAAAATAGTGAATTTGGCCAACACTCATTTTTCTCTTGAATAGCCCGATACCAGAGTCGGTCCATTACTGGTCAATCTTGACCCGGTCTATTTGTTTTGTTTAAGACGACTTTGACCATTCTCTCCCGTCACTTCAATGCCAAAATCAACTCAAAACCTTAATTTTTTTCTCTCTCCTCTCTCTCTTTTTCTATCGTACGTTCTTTGTTTTTTCATGTCGTTTTTCGACGACCTTAATAAATCTCGTGGTACATGAAGGGCATTAAATGGGAGACAACTTTATTGTCTTTTACCGTTGCTTCTGTGGCTGTGGATATATCACTTGAGATGAGAGAGAGAGAAAGATAACATTGTTCGTATACCCTTTTTTCTATGTTTTCCAAGGTTCTAAAAAACGGGTCCGAGACGGTTAGGGACCGCAATACAATAAATCGGTGCGGCAGTGATTAATCGGAAATAAATCGATTGTTAGATTTAGTGTAAATAAATTAAAACATGGTTTTGGTTAAAATAAATTTAGTTACAAGTTGAAGAAAAAAAAAACCCTGCCCTATTTTCATTTTAATTATAAAAAAAAAAAAGAAAAAAACTAATTTTTTTTTCCAATTTATTGATCCGATATATCGGTTTGACCCCGCCACACACCGCCACAAACCGCCGTAAACTGCCTCATCGCCCAAAAACTTTTTTTTCAAACCGCCTCATAAATATCGTAAAGGTTTATAGCCCCGACAGATATTTAGAACACTGATGTTTTCGTGAACACACTTGCGAATAGAGAGTTTGAGTGTCAAACACTTCGTGTGGAGATGAGTTGAGTCTTGGTGAGTTTGAGTTTGGGTGTTTCGGGTAGAATTAGGGTTTCTGATTTTTTGAGCTTTGTACTAGACACCGATCGGAGTTGCCGTCAATGTGGGACTTTGACAAAAAAAAAAACACGTAGTTTGCAAAACATACGAGAGATGTAAACTACGTTAGGCTAACAATAAGTGATAAACTCAACCTAGTAACCATTAGCAAAATGATTCGAACTTAGATCAATTGACACAAACTCACATTCTCCAATCACTAGACCATCCCTTGCAGGACAAAAGTATCTATCTATCATATGTATTGATAATAACTAACCCACTAATTTTGGTGAGTTCGGTTATTTAACACATGATCAATGAAATCGACATCCATGTGTTAAATCGATGCTACATTGCTAATTCTATATTTCTTTGTGTGGCCGATAATTCCTTCTTGTATTGATTATTTTCTTTTTATAATAGGAAAAATACTTGTCACATTTGGTTTAATTCAGATATTAATTTCCTTCACCTTTCTAAAACTATCATGGGCAAAAATGGCATTTCAAAAACATTAATCTTTTCAAATTAGAGAAAATTAACGGTAATAATAATATCTTTATATCTATACTAATTAATTAATTATAGTTGTCTGCAGAAAGCATAAAAAACACAGAGCGGTGGCCAAAGCAAAACCGTCCAATCAACTAGGAGTACACATTTTATTGTCTTTATATATTAAATAAATAAAAAGCAAAATAAAATAAAATAAAAAACACACACACACACACTGAAAACAAAGAAAAAACACAGAGCAAAAATGGCGGACAAAGAAGAGCAGCACCACCAGCACCACATAGTGATGCTGCCGTTCATGGCACAAGGCCACCTAATCCCATTCCTAGCACTAGCCAACCAAATCCACCGCCGATTCGGCTTCACAATCACCATCGCCACCACCCCACTCAACGTCCGCCACCTCGCCGCCGCCGTAGCCAAAAACCCTACACCAAGCTCCGGCATCCACTTATTCGAGCTCCCGCTCAACACCTCCGACCACGGCCTCCCGCCAAACGCCGAGAACACAGAATCCCTCCCCTTAAACCTGGTCGTTAACCTCTTCCACTCCTCAACCTCCCTCGAACCACCGTTCCGTGCCCTTATTCAGAACATCACCGCCGATCAAAACGGCCGCCCTCCCCTCTGCATTATCTCCGACGTCTTCATGGGCTGGGCCAACGCCGTCGCCGAATCCTTCGGCACCGTCAACGTGACCTTCTCCACCGGCGGCGCGTACGGCACCGCCGCATACGTATCCCTATGGCAGCACCTCCCCCACCGCCGCCGTACTGCCGACGACGAGTTCAACCTCCCTGGATTCCCCGACTCCTGCGTCTTCCATATCACTCAGCTCCACTCTTTCCTCAGGGCTGCAGACGGAACAGATTCCTGGTCCAGATTCTTCCAGCCACAGATCGAAAACTCCATGAATTCCTTCGGCTGGTTGTGCAACACCGCCGAGGAAATCGAACCCTTGGGATTAAACATCCTCAAGAACTACACTAACCTCCCCGTGTGGTGCATTGGACCACTCCTCCCACCAAGAATGTTGAATTCAAACCCGACCGAACGTTTAATCGGTCAACACACGGGTCGAAAACCCGGAGTTTCAGCCGAAAAATGCCTCGAATGGCTCGATTCCCGCTCCGAAAGATCGGTTCTTTACATATCCTTCGGCTCACAAAACACAATTACCCCATCTCAAATGATGGCACTAGCAATGGGGTTGGAGGAAAGTAAAAAGCCATTCATTTGGGTGATCAGGCCGCCCTTCGGCTTCGACCTGAAAGGCGAGTTCAAATCCGAAGAGTGGCTGCCGATCGGGTTCGAACAGAGGGTCGCCGACGTGGCGCTGGTGGTCCACGGGTGGGCCCCGCAGCTAGAGATCCTATGCCACAAATCTACAGGGGCGTTCTTGACCCACTGCGGGTGGAATTCGACGGCGGAGAGTTTGAGCCAGGGTGTGCCGATGATAGGGTGGCCGCTGGCGGCAGAGCAAGGGTACAATGCGAAAATGCTGGTGGAGGAAATGGGAGTGTGCGTGGAGTTGACGAGAGGGCTTGCGGGTGTTGTAAGTAGGGAGAAGGTGAAGAGTGTGATTGAGAGTGTTATGGATGGAGGAGATAAAGCAGAGGAGATGAAGAAGAAAGCAGGTGAAATTGGAGAGTTGATGAAATTGGCTTTGAGTGATGGAGTAGGATCTTCACATAGAGCAATGGATAAGTTTGTTTCTGCTCTTCTCTCACACAAACAAGAAACTGCATGATTGGCTCTGTGTAGAGTTTTCATTGTGTAATTGTATATCCATATAATATATTGGATAAAGTGCACCGAGGATAATATAATCAAACTATTTACTTAGTCTCTCTGGTGTGCAATATATGTGAGGAAAACATTTGAAAAAAAGAAAGAAAAAAAAAAACTAATATATGAAGGAAAAAAGATAAGTGCATAAAGTATATAAGCTTCTACACTGTAGTATCACCGTCGAATTTGGTTCGGGTCGAAGATGGGAAATATACCGTGCGTCAAGCTTCTCCAGAAGCAGTAGCATCTGCCGAAGAAGTGCCGTAGCTCCAGAGTTGTTTCAGCTCCCCTCTTATCCAACCCAACACGACACAAGTTCCTGAGATTTTGCAGACACGTCAAAAGTAGAAAAACGAAAAAATAATTACCATGAAACGTTTTCTGTTGTTGATCGATCGTAAGGTGGGAAAGAATCGTTACCCAATGTACAAGGGACTAGGTATAGGAGAGCAGGTTGACCATGTCCGTCCATCAAATACAACCCTAAGTACGTAAATGCTAGACCTGCAGTAAAAATATCACCTCGAGTTAATAATTACCTGCACTGTTTACGTTTTGTTCTCAAATCCTATTTCTCGGCCTAATAAATTTTGAGCCAAAACAACGATAATGTCAATAATTAACTTTATGCACATTCAACAGCTAACAAACCCACTTTGGTAGCATGAAAATTCGAGGAATTTTCACTAAAGTAAAACTACAATGTACGTGGTTCAACATTTTTTGTTAATTTTATAGTTCAAACAGATTTCATTGCTCTGACCAAGTAAGATCAAAACCTCCGATGATAGACAAACAATTCATTAATGTAGTTGTAATTACAATGAAAACAATCGAAACATAGAGTGAAAAAACTCACCAAGTCCATAGCCAATTGTCAAAAATAGAAAGTACCCATTTAGTATCCTCTTCTTATTAGCTTTGTCGAATCTGAAACAAAACCCAAAATGGATCGTCAGTTGTAAAAGAGTTACAGTTATTTTACTCCTTGCTTACTATGTATATCAGAAATACTTATATACTGATTCGTGAATCTTTTATTAAGGGTTCACTATGCAGTTTATACATGGACTGCATAATTAAATCTGTACTGGCAAGTAATAGGGTTTCACTGAAAATACCTAAAAGAAAAGGACACTAGCAAACCAGGGAACAGAATATCCCCAAAGCCTATCATGTTATAACCCTCATAAGGATCGGCAATTCGAGGAACTCTCAGAAGCATGGGGATCGATTCTCCACCGCTTTTGTCGCCTCTAGCAACCTGAACGACATGGAAACAAACTCAGGTTCGTTCATCTAATTTACAAGAACTGAAAGAGTGATGCCAAACCTAATCGTCATATCAGTCCATCCTATTAACAAGCACCATATAGAAAATTTCACCAAACCAATATCAGACTTATCAGTTCTAGTCCCAAATTCTTAAAATTCCTGAAACCTAGCATCATAGATAAAAATTGTGGGGCAAAAATAGAGATGGTTATGTTGTACCATACTATGTCATTATACCCACATACGCTAAGCAAAATATTCATGAATGATCAGCAAAACCACCTATCTAAAGTTTATGCCACGGTCATTTTCAAACAACTAACAATTAGGAAGAAAAAGGCAAGTAGTTATGAATAATAGTCATTCTTTAATGTGTGCCAAATATTCTCTGATGTTTTGATATAGTTTGGTCTCGTTCAGTTGCCACTATTAAGTTGTATTGACTAAATAGTAGGAGTTAGTAACATGTTAGGTTGACAAGATTCAAACCAATTCAGGCCCACAATTAAATGCTACTATTCAATAAAAGTAGTAGCAACCCTACTCGTTGCAATTAACTTTTTAGGTAGTTAAAAATGAAAAAGATGATTATATCCCTAAATGTTACAAATTGTTGTTAAATTAGGGATGTTACTAGAAAATCAGATCTAATACAATATTTTAACAGTTGATCCTAATAAAGGAGAATTCATATTGAATTTTTTATACAAAAATCCATAGGATTGTTATTAAAGGGAAAAGAGAAATGACAAAGTACAAATAAACTTACCGCAATCATAACGCTGTCATGGAATATATATGGAGATAGAAAAACCCAAAATATGTCGTATAAGAATGCGCAACACAGAAGTACTGTGGCGACCTATACGATAACAGAACTTATTAGATAAAGACAAAGGGATTAGCAAATTAGTAACTGAATATGGTGTCTCTTTATACCTTTATATTTGGTAATTGAGCCAATTGCAATACGGTTAACATCATACAAATTCCCTGCCATTCACAGAAATCATAAATACTTGGGAACATAATTTTCCAAACATGATCAACAGCTGTTGCATGATTCAGCAACAGCGAAAACAATATCAAAAGGCTTTAGTTTGAGGCGACACATGAATTGCAACTAGACATAAAAATCCAAACTTCCCACAAACATAAAAAAATACAAAAAGGAACGAGGCAGCTAAATATGAATAAAGAAATTGCAGGTGCGTTGTTGAGAAGCAAAATATTTAGAACGATATGTACATGATAGGGACATAAATAAATGTGCCAGATCACACACTTAGATGCATATATGTTAAATTAACATAACCGGTGCTAATTAAGAAAGTGCATACATTGATAGCATCAAATTGAAAATAAATTATACACCTATGAGTTAAATTTGTTAGATGATCGGGAATTTAGTATAACAATGATATAGTTGATTTAGTGTATACTCCATCCATCACATAATTGAATGGCCTTCTTGATTTTATATGGTCATTCCCACAACTCCAAAACCAAATGTCATATCAATATGTTGAACTTATCAAAAAAGAGATAGACGAATGCAAAGATATAATGCCGTTCAATCATTTAACACTACAAGAGTATAATATTCTAATGATTTACAATTAATAATCAAAGGGGAAACTTGATTGTAAAAAAAAGGGAACAACAAGGCCATTGGGTATACACCAGTAAGGAGTTTTGGTCTATGCCAGATGCCATAAAGGATGATTGAGTTTATGGGAGAACTTACAAGAACATCTTGTCCAATCCAAGAGTAAGATGCCTTCCGATTAGCAGCCCAGACAACGGCAAATACCAGACAGCATATCAACACAACTAAAGAGAGAATGGTCATCTCCCCAAGAAGTGGCAGATTTACCGTCTTCTTTTGACAACCTTTGCATTTGCTGCTTAAAAAACAGAGCATGAGGTAAAGAATACATGAAATAACGAGCCCACCATAACAATATAGCCTTACCTATTTAACAAAAACAACTAATTCATACCTCATCACCAATGAAACGATACAATTATGCATTCCCTGATAGCCAAAAACAATCAATAAGTCTTGCGCGTAAATTAATAGTTCCATACAGAATGATATGCCTTAAAATCGAGGAATGACTATATGAGATCGTTGTAATAACTAATAAGGATAAAATTTGGACTGATTTCAAACTAAATCTCATCAAACTGCTGCAGACACATTCCCAATATGGTCATCCATGTGCAGGTTTGAACATGCAAATCAATGAATCAAACTAAGATAGCCATTGAAAGCAATATAGTATAAAGTTGCCTAAGATTTCAACATCAACTATAAATCATGTATGAATTTCAAATATCTAAGTTTTCCTAGTCAAAGATAGAGTATTCTCATAATTCAACACTACAAATTTTGAACTCAAGTTCATTGCAATGGTACTTTAGTAATTGCGGGAAACAGCCGCTGGAGAAAAGAGATTAACGATTATATCCAACTAGACTATCATTATCTGAAAGAAACAAACAACTAAAGTTAATATTTACCTCAATACCACCAATGCAGAAAAGTACAATTAGCACCCAGACAAACCACGAAGACATGAAAAAGTAAAGTAGCAGCAGAAAAGTTGATGCCGTTATAACAAAAACTACAGCACTTTTCGTGTTAATATGGAGGATTTCCTTGTCTTCCTCCTGCTTTGCTGCTGCAGCATCAGATTCCTAAAATGAAAAAAAAAATGCAGCTATCAGCAAAAAAAAAACGACATGAACATGAAGCATGAACCACCAATTTCTGGTCAGAAAATTGTTTATGTGAAACCAAAATAACACAAGAAACAGAAATTGCAATAGAGAAGACATGGTTTGGATCTAAAACTGAGATAAAATAATACACCAGAACATAATGTGACCTACTTAACAATCAAGACAAATAGAGATCTCTTTATAAACTACGAATTTGTATTGCACAAGAAAATAAAGACAAATTTTGACGGAACCTTCGGTGACAATTCATTATAGCGCTCATCACTATTCTCCGATCCAGTGATCTCCGACCAAAGTGAAGCGGTAACTACGGTTCCAACAGCCATCATCCACAAGAATATCACTGAATAGTCTAAAATTGGTCGATTGGGAGCGTATAGCAGAAGTTCCACTACACCAGAAACATAGAAGTTAGCAATCCAGTTTATCCAATAAAGTTTTGAAATAGATACAGACACCATGATTGGTCAAACAAATTCCAGCAGAATTCTAAAAAACCTGAAAAAAACCATATACGACAAACAATAGCAGACATGATAGGAAATTTTCTGCTAGTTGCAACATGGAGTTGAGAACTATCCCATAAACATAATTTTTGGTTGCAGATTCATAGTAATTGATTGAATTTCTTTTTTTGCGAACGGTTTCTTTTTCCCGTTAAGTGAACTTTGACAGCCAAATTGGACAACAATACAATGTAGCAATATATTCATTTCAATCACGGATGCACTGTCTGGATTACAGATCCACAAGCAACAGTCACATGATTAATTTCTTCAACTTTCGGGGTATATAACCAGACATCTTTACTTTCCAAGTGGGTAAGATATGGAGAGGCTGAATGAGTCTCAGAAAGAAAAAATTCCAAGAGAAATTTCAACAGGTACAGTGTCAGTCAACTGGATCTTTCATTCTCTTTACCATCTCTGGGTTTCCAAATTTTCAACAAATTGTCATAGGAATGTAAATGATAGGACAGACAGGGCATATACAAGGAATATCGACGCAAGGTTAACTTGATGTTGATTCCATCACAAAGGGGATCAAGTATAATAAAGTACAAATACACACAGTTTAAGCTGCTCCCAAAAAGGAAATTTAACAACCATACTAGACACACTGGTGTCAAAGACTTTGATCTCAAACTAGCAAATATTATAACACTCTCAGACTAAGATTAGCATAACTCGCAAACTTTACTTAGAAGTATTTTCACTGAAATGCATGAATTAGACTCACCTTTCGCTCCACCATCCATGGATTTCTTTAGTTCCTCTCCTCCTGACTTAGAAATTGTAATAACAGGAATTGTAATGTTCAAATTAGTCTCATTCCCACAACCCATCTGAAGAAGACCTAAAAAAGTTCAACCAAGGTCGAAATCAATTTCAAACCAAAGCAGAATCCACTAAGCCAAGATAGGAGGCACAAATGCAGGCTATACAAAGTTACGCAACATATGCCATAAGAAGTGAAGCTACCTTCATCGTCATTTATCATCACTAATGCTGCCGCTCCTCCTGCTTGTGCAATTTGAGCCTTGGCGGTAAAGATACACTCACCACGTACAGCAATTGCAATAGAGCCTGATAGCTACATCAAAATAGACGGGAGACTCTTTTATTGTACTTGAAAACTAATTAATATCACAAAGGATAATAATGTAGTTGTTTTCGATAAAAAGTTAAGCTTGTCGGCTGTCTTTCACCTATGGATTATAGAATGGAAAATAAACTCCATGTTTAGCTAGAGATGCTTAACAAAACTAACTGCGGAAGCATTGCTGTCCTTCTAATATTGCGATTGAGTACGAGCTCAAGGAAAAATTAACCCAGGAAGTCTGAAATGGAAATTCTAAAATGTTCACCTACGAATCATCCAACATAGCTGTAGCAGGAAAAAAAACCAACATAGTTGTAGCAGGAAAGCAAGAGGAAAAAAAAATGAGAAATGGAGAACTAGAGGCAGGAACCAGGATTCTGTACTTCCTATAGTAGAAATAGATTTTTTATGGGCATCAATTTCTCAGACCTATTCTATAAGAAGATTCCTGGAACACGGACTTAGGTCCAAATGATTAACGCATATTATATGCAATTTAACATCAAACTCCCAATAACCATACAATGTATAAGGAATGAAACTTAAGCATTTGACATAAAAATACCTTAGTCGTGGAGAGTGAACAGCTATCTAGAGGTGCTGAAAAAGTAGCTGGCAATCTGTTGCCTTGTTTCGCGAGAGCAGGCAATATAGCGCCAAAATCAGCAGTTAACCCACCTATTGGCTCTTTTTCAACACCATCTACCCATCTGTTGATCTTAACCTGGAAAAACAAAGCACAAGCAAAATTAGCATAGTTCCAGAAAAAAATTGATTTTTTTTCTCTTTTAGTCTTGGGAATTTTTTTGCATAGAAACGCCTAAGAAGAGTTTAAATTACGGTAAGGTCACCAAAAGAAAAACTTAAATACATATGTTGTCTCTCCCCCCACAATAAAATCAGAATACTGCCATCAGTATCATATTGCTCCACCTCAGAACTTAATCTCATAATCCACCCATCGGCAAACTCGTCATTTTTCTTCGTTGGAAATAACTCAGTACCTTAGAACTAAGAATTCATACCAACAAAGGTAAAATTGCGAAACTTATAGCACATACTTTGACCCCACAGAATAATCACCTCGTACATGTGTTGACACGGAGAAACACACAAGCAGGCATACTACATGCACTCAACTGAATGTAACAACCTATTTTCCCCCATCAAGCATTATGGCATAAATGTTACTTTCTCTAACCTAACCCAATATACCCAACACATTGTAACTTAAACACATAAATAAGAACACAATGGAAATAATGCCCATTTCATCAACAAAATATCCGATAAACAAAAAGTAAAACAGAAAGAAGATATATATATTTTTTTTGTGTGAATCACTTGAAACATTACCAATCGGAAATCGTTGGTGCAGTTGGCGATTTCGCCAGTAGGGGCAGAAGCGTCGTCCGCGGCGGTGATTGATGGCAGGACAAGAAAGAAAATCCCCACTAAGACAATGGACAATTGATAAGCTGAAGGATCAGCCATACCTAAACCAAAAAATTTAGGTCACTCTGATATATTCAATCGACCAAAATTCACAATGGCTATTCTCTTTTTTGGATACTTTCTCCTACATCATCTCCGGAATCGCGGCCGTAACAGAACCGAAGAAGAAAAAAAATTCACCAATTGAAGTCAATGATTGATTACTTCAGGAGAAATTTAATGGAGGGGAAGGTGAAGAACATTTACGGACAAAATGTGTGGGCGTGTTAGAGAGAGAAAATCAACGAACTGGTTTATGGAGATCCAAATCGGGTACTTCTGCTTCGTTTTTAGGTAGGGATTACCGTAGCGCGTGAACTTAGCGTACGCTTCATTAGTGTCCGTCCATGTATTTTATTTTGGGGAAATTATAGTTTTCGTCCCTCATTTTTGCAATAATTTTATATTTGGCCCACATGTTCACAAAAAATACATATGGTCCCTCATGTTCTAATAATTTAATATTTATGGTCATTTTTGTCAATTTACTGTTAGAGCAACTCCAATGGGGGAATCAAATGGAGTATTATATGATAAAACTTCCATTTTGATTTCCAAAACTTAAAATTCCCTCTCCAACGGAAGCATCAAATGGGTAGTTTTTTTGATACTTTATATCCTAGAGGTGCAAAAATGCACCCAAAAAAATAAGTATCAAATATTCCTATAAATTAGGAACTGCAATTTCAAGTTAAAAAAAATAAATTTTCTAACAAATTCCTATGGAATAGAGACCAAATATATCTATTAATTTATGTTTAATACATATTTAAAAATAAAATAATTTATTTGATTCCTACGGGTTGGAGCATATAAGTGTTTTCGAAGTACCAAAGTATTATTTCAAGCATCAATTAAGGGTTTGGATGCCTCATTTTAATACAATTTGTTCGACCCTACACCCGGTGATAAACACCGGGTGGGTCTTCTGCTGTCACGTGTCTCTTTTTTTTATTTTATAATATATTTCCCGCTAGGGTTTACCTTTAGGGGTTTTAGAAAAAAAAAAAAAAAAGACACACAGCAGAAGACCCACCCAGTGTTTATTACCGGGTGTAGGGTCGAAGGAGCCTTTTAATACCTACCATTGGAGTTGCTCTTAGTCCGTCAGTTAAGGCAGTGATGGTCACACTGTTGATTCCGTTAGTTTTAACAAAAATGACTGAAAATGTTGAATTTTTGAAACATAAATGACCAAATGTGAAATTAGTGCAACTTGAGGCATGGAAACTATAATTTTCCCAATAGAGAGTTTATATATACGTATTTTTTGGAATTATGAACCATATTATTAATTTATAATTTCTAATTTAAATACGTCTATACTTGGAGAAAATTATAGTTTTCACCTCTCACATTTGATCCCTCATGTGTCAAAAATTCAATACTTTTAGTCATTTTCGTTAATCTTTTGTTAAAACTAACGGAATCTAGTGTGTGCCCATCATGACTTAACTGACAACAGACTAACTGTAATTGACAAAAATGACCGAAAGCGTTAAATTATTGAAACATGAATGATTAAATGTGTTTTTTTTAATAGGGATCAAATGAAAAATCGGTGCAAACTTAGTGGATGAAAATGTAATTTCCCAATATACTTTGGTATAAAATGAGAGTAAGCCGTTACATACGTTTATATACTAACAAAATGACGAAGTTGCCCTCATGAATATAATTACGTTACTTTTTCACCCAAATTACACAAAGTCCGCGAGGGATTCGCCTGCCGATCTTCAATTCTCCGATAGAAATGGCTGCCTTTGCGATGAGATTTTTCTTCGCTCTGCTTGCATTTGTAACCGTTGGAATGATTATCGGTATTCCCCAATACTCTGTATAAATAATATTTTTTTTAATTAAATAGTTTAAGTAAGATAGTTTCTGCATCTCTTTTGTATGCTGATGCGAATCCTTCATTATTGTGAACTCATTTATGAGTCACGCGCGGCTGTTTCCCTCCATTTTTATGTTGCGTGTGTTGGAGCAAATGGTGATTATGATCCTGGAAAAGTAATTTTTCTTTTTGTTGTTTGTAATGCCAATTTTGTTATTTACTGCTGAAAAGTATTGTTTGGGTGTTCATTGTTCAGAGTTGATTTCATTTCAGAATTATTTCCAATTTCAATAGTTCCTATGTGAATTCAATAACTTGAAACAGTACGGTGTGGGCTAGAAGTTGATGCTGCCATCTTTAAACTGCAAGCTGTAATCAATAATTGATTGCTGAACGATAAGTGAACATGTGTTCTCGTTTTAGGATTTCGTATCCCAATTTATTTCTTTGCCTTTTCAGGGCTGCGAGTCCATTAAATTTGTGTTGATCCTGAATATTTATTATTTGCTGTTTTTAGTTTAATGCAATTAGTTTAAGTGACGGTTTGATTATTGAATGTTCAGGTGCTTTCATTCAGTTGGCATTTATAAGGAAGTTGGAGGAATCATATGGTAAATTTCCCATTCGTTTCATTCTCCAATAGTACTTTATGTTTCGATTCATCCCCACCCCACGTGCCCGAAATGTGAGTATGCGACACTTGATAGATATGCATTTATGAAATCACCTTTTGGAAATTGTAGGGGATGGACCTTCCTTGACAAGAATTCAAGGTCTGAGTCGAGGTAGTCTTTGAGTTACTAAAGGTTTATTTATACCTTTGTTGGTAAAAAAAGTTCACAAATAAATTCCTCAAAACACGTGTTGGACTGTTTAAGGCATCACCGGTCTTAACGCCTACTTCCTTTTTTCAGGTATTTCTCATTGGGAAGACAAAGAAGCTGCAATGTTGCGTCTTGGATATGTATGGCCCATTTTTTTTTTCTGAACTTCTGTTAGCTGGTAGTCTTTCATATAAAGAAATTGAACAACGAAATAACTACACTGATATTTTGTTCTTAAACCCGCCTTTTCTCATTGGTCTTCTTTCACGGCGTGATGCAGGTGAAACCAGAAATAGTTAGCTGGTCGCCACGTGTTGTCGTATTCCATAACTTCTTAAGTGCCGAGGTGTGCTTGTTACACCCATTTTTATAACTTCTTTGTGAAACATTTTCATTTATTGAATGATAAAGTTATATGATATCTACCTGTCTTGTATCATACTAATATAATCATCTTATAGGGGATTACTGCATCTCTTTTCTTTCTAACCGTCTGAAAATAATTGTTTCACAAATATGTTTGTATTCATAAAGCACATGATGGCACATTGATTCTTGGAGGTAGGATAAAAGTTAAACAAATGCGTATAGAATGAGCAATCATATATCTTCATCTTCTTTTTCACCCTTCATTTCAGCAGGAAGGTTGTTCATCTATTGATGTTTTATTATATCAAATAATTGGGTTTCCTCGGAACTTTCTTAGCAAATTGTAAGACTAAATTGAAGTAATTGGGATGGAAACATACTATACCCCTACCTTCTTGATCACAATATGCAATATGTTCATATCAGAATGGTTTCTGCAACAAATTTATAATAAATTTCTGTCTTGTTGGCTTTACAGGAATGTGATTATCTTAGAGCTATTGCCAAGCCCCGTCTACAGGTTTCTACTGTTGTGGATGCAAAAACTGGAAAGGTGAGAACGGAACAAATAGTTGTTTGCTAATCCAGTATGTGTAGTTTCCAAGTATATCCAATATAGACAAATGCGCCTTATTAAATTTGTCTTGAATTACTCACGTACTCGGAAATTTTCAGTAACATGATTAGTTCATCGACAAATGACAATTTTTAGTCATCGATCTCTATATATTCCATTTATACTGTTGTTATCATCTGATACCATTTTATTTTATTGCAATCATTATATTATTACGCAATCAGGAATCTCTCACTTTACTTCTTGTAATTGATCCTTTTTTTTTCTAGGTAAGTTTACGTCTCAATAAATATATTCATTTCGTGTATGGTTTCAGGGTGTCAAGAGCACGCTTAGAACGAGCTCTGGTATGTTTGTCAGTGTTGAAGAGAGGATGTATCCGATGATACAGGTGACATGAAATTCCAGTTTGATACTGTGACTATTACCATCTGAATGTTTATGTAAACTCATGTTTGATGGTCCTTTTGATATTCTTCAATTTCATTTTGAGGTTAGATATTTATTTCTAAATTTATTGGAAACTGTGTTTTGACAATTGTGTTCGATACACGTCAGGCAATTGAGAAACGAATTTCTGTCTACTCTCAAGTGCCAGTAGAAAATGGGGAGCGTATACAGGTGTTGAGGTGAATTCTCATACGTGTACTTCTTCGGTCTCTTAATTAAAAAACAGGACTGAAGATTTTAATATCCAGGCTAACATCTGCAGAAGCACAGGTATGAAAAGGATCAGCTTTACAGGCCGCACCACGATTATTTCTCCGATACAGTAAGTTTGTCCTGTGACTTTCCGATCTGACTATGCTGATTATATCTATCAACTTCGAGCCGTTGTTATCCTCAATAGTTTTCACTTACTAAAACGTAATCATATTGCTTCTTGCAGTACAATTTAAAGTACGGTGGTCAAAGAGTGGCAACAATGCTTATGTATCTGAGTGACAATGTGGAGGGGGGAGAGACATACTTCCCCCAGGTAGTTGCATGTCAACTTCTGTCGTTTTTCTTATCAATATATATATATATAGGGAGAGAGAGATGTATTTCGTGACTTAGTTGATATATTATTTACCACAATATATTATATGATTTTAGGCTGGTTCTGGTGAGTGTAGCTGTGGGGGAAAGATGGTTACAGGATTGTGTGTGAAGCCGCTTAAAGGAGATGCTGTGCTTTTCTGGAGCATGGTCAGTTTCCTCCCTTTAGCTCTAATATATATATATAAATAAATATATATATATATGTATCTATATATATTTATTTACTAGTCATTTTCAAAGAATACTTGAGATGTAGTATGATGGAGCGAGATTTCTGAAAGACGAGTGAATAGTATGTACATTCTAAGATTAAGATGTTCAGGCTTACATCACTTTTTCGTTACCGATTCTTCTCCATGAATATACGTGGCATGCGAAACATTTGTGTCATTCATTACTACTAGTTTTATTTAGAAGCTAATTCTTGACTTCGAAATTTAATGGAATAATTGTCCGAGGCTATCAGTTGAAGTAAATAAAACTGAACAGGTGCTGCATATTATTTGAGCGAATAAGTTGGTAAAGAGAGTGTTATCAAGTTAAACAGAGATGCGAAACGATGTTTCATCAAATAGAAATTGGGAAAGCTGAAATTTGACGACTGTAATGGTGGAAATTGTTTATAATCTTCTTGTTTATGATGCGGTTTCATTTGATGTATACTTTGATGTCAGGGGCTTGATGGACAATCGGATCCAAAAAGCTTGCATGCCGGATGTGAAGTAATATCAGGCGAGAAATGGTCGGCTACAAAATGGATGAGACAAAGCGCCATTTAACTAACGCCTCTCGATTTTTAACAACTCTTGAGGTATGAAATTGTACTGATCTGAAGAGTGGTTACTGTGAACTTTATAGAAAGTAAAGAAAGAAGTAAAAGAAAACTGGACTTTTCCTTGAGAATATAAAATTGGTACTGTGACCTTATTAAGATAAAGAGTTCTTGCAATACTACTATAGTTTTATTAAAGGAGTTGAGTTACTTTAAAAATATATTATTTAAGCGAGATTATTAATTAATTGAATATTAATTGAACATCTATTACTATTGTATATTGAATATTGGTGTAAACGAGTAGAATCACACGCATGATTGTTCAGTTAGTTTGAAACTTTAAAATGTTTGAACTTGGTCTGATAAGCAATTGAGTCGAGCTTGAACAAACTTTAAATCGATTCAAACACGAAACAAGCTCAAACCAACTTTAATCGTGCAGAACACTAATGGAGTTCCCGTCATTTACAAACCGGATTTAAACAAATTTTTAACAACCGACCTCGAATAATTTAGTCCGATTTTACAACCCTAATAGTGAATTGCCAAAACTTTAATATCCTAAATTCCTAACCAAGTGTTTTGAATTATACAAAGCTACAAACTTTGTAAGTTCAATAGAAAAAGTATATCGGTTATTCTTATTTTACTAAAATACGAAACGTAAATTAAACCTACATTTCTGAGATATGTTAAAATAACTAGAAGGTCCATGTGATGTTGGTAATTACAGTCACAACTCTAGCCAAAAATTTATGTCTTGGGGATCGATATGCACTATATTTGTTTCATGCGAAACTGTTAATACTATCGTAAATGAAAATTTATAAATCTTATATAACATAATAAGGATTTAAGAAATGTTAGGAGAACCATGTCACCCCTAGCTCTATGTTGTCTCCACCACTGCATGACATTCTTCCGTTAAGGTTTCTAACAATGTTTCAGGGATGATTGTAATTATCGATACTACAGAGACCTTAAAGTTATTTTAGCATACCTCAGGGGTATAAGTATAATTTACCCAAATATAGAAGCTTGTTTTAAAAAATAAGAAAAAGTAAAAAAAAAAAACTATAAAAGCTGAGAGGGAGCAAATTGTCAATGTCAGGCGTAAAAAAAACCTAGTGAGTGAGTCGTTTCGTCAAACAACAAAGAAACCCCAAAACCTCAGCAGCAATGGGCAAAGCCCCCGCCGGCCGCTATAACAAAAACCGCGGGAAGCAGCCGTCGCGGCTGCGGCCGAAGAATTCAATTCGTAAATCCAAAAGAAATGACAAACCCAAGGACAAGAAGAAGGACAAGAAGAAGGACAAGAAGAGGAACAGGAAGTATTTCACCGGCGATAATAAGATCAAAATCAACGAAAAGAAGAACAACAATACTAAAATCGAATTAGCCCCAGCCGTGAAGAAGAAGAAGGAGGAAATCATCTTCGTCCAATGGGCGAACGTTCTCCAGCAGCGGAGCTTTTTCGTCAACCAGTATGAATCAGCCAATCGCGTTCGTCTCTCCTCACTCGAACTCGATTCACTACCAGGTTCGCTTTACACATGCTTATTTTCGACATTATTATCGGTGTAAACTGATTAGGTTTCATACGTTATCTGAGTTTTTTTTCGATTTCAATTTGTAAAAATTGCGGTTGTTTAGTTGTTTTCGTCTTCAATTGGTTGCAAAAATTTGCTATTCTGAATGTGGATTATGTTTTATGATTGTAGTATGCTGCTTATGAATAGCAATATAAGTGAAGAAATTAAACTATCTGGAAGAATCAATTAGTTTATGATTATCTAACCATAAGACGAGCGAACAGATAACACTACGGCGCTCCGGGATTAGCACAAGCGGTTAATAGATCTTAACGTGTGTTGTTTTTGAAAATTTAACATTCTGGACATGCTGATTGACTTTCATTATCTGTAAAATATACTTTTCTGTCGTCTTAAGGTGGTGTTTGCAAATGATTATTTAAAAGCAGAAGTTAGTGATTGTGATTTAAGTTAGTTTTAAGTGCTTATTTCTAAAAGTTGGGGGTGTTTGCAAATATTTCGGAAAATGAACTAAAATTGAAAAAGCAGGGTTATGGGTGCTTTTAAAAAAATAGCTTAAAGCAGATTATTTTAAGAGAAGCAAAAGCAAAAGTTAATTTTGCAAACATCTAAAAACAGATTATGAGGAAAAAAAACCGCATAATCACTTTCAAAAAGCATTTGCAAACACCACCTAAGTATTATTTGTTCTGGATTCGTGAAGTGTAATTTGAATTTTATGAATTAGCAGAAACATGTATGCTTGAGCTATGCCAGAGTCCAGCACAAAATCAAAATACTACCGGCAATTTGGGCGAGCATGTGAAAGTTGCTTTCGGATCATCATGGAAAGAAGTGCTGTGCGGAAAATATCTTAAAGCAGGAAAAGTTGATACCGGGAGTCCTGCACTTCTAGTGATAAGTGCATCAGCGTTAAGATCGTTGGATTTCCTCAGGTTGATGATTTCATTCTTTGAGCTTTCCTTCCTCGAATAAACATAACAAGACCTTATCACGCGAGAACAAACTAACACTATAATTATGTTGATAGTTTCTTATCATTGTCATTGAACTACATATTTTGCTTTTACAGGGAGTTGCGAAATTTGACACAAGACTGCCATCCTGCAAAGCTGTTCTCTAAGCATATGAAGGTTGAGGAACAGGTACTGAATCTTATAAATTTTGGGTAATGTTAGATTCCAGATTGAGTTTATATATTTGAGATTGTTAACATATGCATCAATTTAGGCTGTTCATTTATCGTATGTGTGAGATATTCAACATTACCATGTTCCGAAAATATGATAATAGTATAAATTTACTAGAACTGTGTATATTTACGTAAAAAAAATTAAAGAAACTAATAGAGTTCAAGTGTGGTTCAGTTATCACAAAGAAAGAATGGTTATACTGGGCATGGTGTTGGTTCAAGTCTGGAATGTGTTTCTTTAGGTACTGTTAGTCGCTTTGAATTTATTATTATCAGTTCAAGCACAATCTCGTCTGGTCTGATAATTAGAAGACAGCAAAAATATTGAGCTTCAAGCAATAAGATGTTAGACGAGCCCTCGGTGTCTACTAAATGAATTTTTTTCGACTTCGGTAGTAAGCAAATTATTTAGCTATTAGCCACCTTGCTGAAGGAGGACATGTAGTTGAGTGCAACAAGCTATCAATTATAGCGAATTTATAGCTCTGTTTGGTAATTAATGGTTAATACTCCCTGCAATGAACTAGTAGTTGATTAGAATACTTTCAGGTGTAAGTTTCAAAACATTCGATCAAGCAAGCTAGTATTGTTTCTGAAATATCTCCTACTAGTTAGAAATATGAAGACTAATTCCGATTGATTATAACAAGACTAAGATCTATCATCTATGTAACTGTACCCATACCCTCATTGGCTTAGGTTACCTACGCACAGTAGCCAATTCAGAATTTTTTTGATGATAAATAAAGTGAGAGTATCTAGCTAACGTATATTTGCGAATGCCTAATTATGTTCAACTTTGTATTCGGCACTAAAGTTTGACACATGTTCTCTTTATGCTGTCACCAGGTGTCTATGCTGGAGAATCGTGTTAATATTGCCACTGGAACGCCAAACAGGTATGCAGTGATCAGCTCTTGTTTAAATTGCTTATGATATATCACTTGTTACCCTCCATTGGTCTCTTTTTCTTGGTTTTGAAAAACTAATAACTTTTCTCTTTGGCTTGCATTTGAATTATTATTATTTTAATATTTCTTAAGTTGAAAATTGGCTGAACAATATGTTTCAGGATCAAGAAATTAATCGATATGGAAGTACTTAAGCTGTCCCGATTAGCAGTAATTGTGTTTGACATGCACACAGACGTCAAGGGCTACTCCTTGTTCTCTCTTCCTCAAGTCAGGTTTGATTTCTTCAACAGTTCGTTTTTTTCTTTTTGCCTATTTTATCTGCTTCACTCTTCCGCATAACAGTAAAATCCGATTTGAAAAACCGGGTTCTTGTGAATTTATTTATAATTGACGGGAAAATTTAAATAGTAAAACATTTCCAAATTATAATGAATAGCCTTAAAAGTTGTGGAAATACTTACATATGTCGCCTCAAGTCAAGATTATATGATATAGAGAAATTCCATTTTGCAGTCTGTAATTTGCGTCTCGTTTATTTGAAATCTATTTTGACAGAGACGAGTTTTGGGAATTGTATAAAGCCTACTTTCATCAACCATGGCTCGAAGGCAAATTACGCTTCTGTCTCTATGGTCCAGTACCCATTAATTTAGATGAAACGAAGAGCGAAACCGGTGATGACTGAAAATAGTGTTATACGTCCATGATCACTTACGCATTTTGCTGACCGGCGTAAAATTGTTGTCGCTAATATATCTTTTACGGTTTTGTTTTATTTGTATCTTTTTATCATTCTAGTGCACTCAATTCTGTATTAACGATGAATAATCTTTTTCATGATATATTTTTTTTTTTGGTTCATCTTTGTGAATTAGTGTTATTAAACATTGATGTCTGCATTTTGCTTGAGTATGCATAAGCATTCATACGACGAAATTGGGAAAATTACATTTTGTGTCCCTCAAGTTTACCGTAATTTCACATTTAGCCCCCCTTGTTCACAAAAAAATAGATTTAGTTCCTCATGTTTCAATAAACCATCACTTTTAGTCAATTGCATTTTGCTTGATTTCCGAAAAATTGACCAAACAATGTTAAATTACTGAAACACGAGGGACTCAATATGTTTTTTGTGAATAAGAGGGACCAAATGTGAAATTGAGGTAAACTTGAGGAACGAAAAATATAAACGCATCGTCGACCAAGTCAAAATTATTATGGTGAGCCATCAATTCCAAACAAGTTTTATTAGTCTAACAAATGAACTAGTACACTTAGTTGAGTTTTAATTCTCTTGTTTGTCCAGATGCACATCACTTCAATTTTGTACGCACAATGTGAACACATTAGTATAATAACAACAACGTTGAAGTTTTATTAAAAAATTTAATAATAATTTTATTACAATGATTTGTTTGTATGACAGCATCATTCTTGTTGTCACCATTACATAACAAAATTTTCTAGTATGCAAATGTATTACATCCATGTGACATAAGGCGGCCTAAGCAAGGCTACAATTTTATAAGGGCCCCAAATAAAGATTTAGATAGTCTCCTATATTACAGTGTTTTTTTATTTTTTAGTTATATATATATATATATATATATATATATATATATATATATATATATATATATATATATATATATATATATATATATATATATATTTTATATACAATATCAAGAATTTGAAGAGTCGTAAATTTTAGGGGAAAAAATGGTTGTATTTCTCTAATCGGACGTTGAGTCGACAACATCTATGTAGCACGAACATGGAAATGGTGATACGGTGACATGGAAAAAAAGACACGGGAAAAGGGCATATCCCAAAGATGGGGTTATAGGAGCTCGGGGAAACCGTGTAAATATTAAAATTATAAGGGTATATTTATAAATGGACTGTATATAACCTTTTAACTTTTTATTTATATATAAATTCTTTTTGGATTTTTTCATACAAATATATTCAAAAATAAATGTTGCTATCAACTATCAATTTACAATTGATAATTAAAATCGTGTAAATAATTAGGGAAACAACAAAAATATTTAAATATTTACATTCTCCATAAAAAAATATGTCGGGCCAACGGATAGGAGTCCTAGGGCGAGGGATTTCGTCTTTTGGTGCAAAAATAATTGTATTTAAGTCCATATGATAAATAAAATACTTTGGATGAACTAAATAATTTGTTTCCATAATTTACAATTTCCAAAATAAATGATTTTTTTTTTAATGTAATTAATAATATACCAAAACATAAAGATTTGAAATAAATTCAGAATCCATCTATTATGAAATATATACCATAATCACAATTAATCCTAAAATTGAATTCTTTGGCCAAGTGGGAAAGGAAAATTAGCTTTTGAAAGACCATCAAAGCTCCCATCATCATGACATCACGATGACATCATCACACGATCACCCCCAACTAAAAAAAAATCAATAAATTCCCATTAATCTTTAAACATCTAAAAGTCGTTATATACACACACACACACGGCCACGATATTATAATATACATACACCCCTCTATCTCTATCATCTCTCTCTATATATAACACATCTTTTAGAGCTGACTTTATATATTGACAGCAAAAAACCCACATCATATATACATATATATATATGATCTGTGTATCTAGAATTGTAACATTCTTGAATCTCAAAAAACACACAACAGCAAACAAAAATATAATTATCAGTGCAATAAAACAGAGAAGAAATATAATTAGCAACATGTCTGAAATTGATCAAAGCATCGGTTTTGAACGGCCAAGATTGGTTGCCAAGAAAATCTTGGCAAAATCACAGGGCGAAGGTCAGGGTGCTGTTGTCAGAAGAAGCATTGGAAGGTATTTTTTTCTTATATATATACACAGTTAAATCTCTATAAATTACAATAATCGGGACTAGCAAAATTCTATTAATTTAGCGAAATATTAAATTATCGAACTAATAGTTTAGTATGTTTTTAACTAGTTGGGACCGGAATTTTTTTTATTTAAGCGAGGTTATTAATTTATCGAGGTTCTGCTGTACTGATTTGGAATTTTTATCAATAGGGTAATGAATTTTGTAAGTCAAATGACAATATAGTGTTTGTTATGATTGTTAAAAAAAAAAAAGAGAAAAAAAACCCTCTTTGTATTAGATTGAATTCTTGTGTTTGATGCCGTTGAATTTATTTATTTATTTTTTTCGAAAAAATTGGAAGTCGAATATGTTTGCTTGTAGTAATTCCAGGAATCTTGGAAGTTTAGTTTGTGTTATGCATTTATGTGTTTTATTTCGATTTTTCACTAAAACGTCAATTCTTGAATTTGTTTGGATCCTTCTGAGTTTGATGTCTAAAAACACCCTGTTATTAATGTTAGCAAGAATTTTCCTATGATGATTTTTTTACCTTAAATGGTGAATTTTCATGTAAAAATACGATACGGGTGCGAAATGCAATAAACCCGGTTTTATTTATTAAAGAAATTGATTCGATTTGTGTAATAAATATTGCAGGCCTGAGTTGAAGTCTCTGGATCCTTTCCTCATGCTAGATGAATTTTCTGGTAATCTTCATAACTAATTGATGCTTAATTCATATTTCATATATTCATTAATCTTGACATTTAATAATTACATAAATTTTGAATATTTAAACATAATTAATTTTCATATTAATCTTGTATTACAGTTTCACCTCCAGCTGGATTTCCTGACCATCCCCACAGAGGTAATTCCAACATTCCTATTTTTTATCCAATTCTTGTATGCATTTATTAAAGAATCTCATTACATCATAATACTCTGTTTATTTATTTATGTATTGCATTACAGGATTCGAGACGGTTACATACGTGTTGAAGGTAATTTTCCCGTGTCGAAAACTTTTTATAATTACATATTCGAATATACGATCAATACTGTATTTGTTAGAATTCTTGAATGAAGTTAAAATTAAATTTGTTTTGTACGATTCTATACAGGGAGGCGTCACTCATCAAGATTTCGCCGGTCATAAGGGCACAATACACGCGGGTGAAGTGCAGGTATATACACGACGATCGCTAATGTCTATAATTTATATTTACTTTAAAACTAGCTAAAAAAACATAATCTTTTTTGTTGGAATCACGCAGTGGATGACCGCAGGAAGGGGTATCGTTCACTCGGAAATGCCCGCGGGTGACGGTCCTAACACCGGTCTACAATTGTGGATCAATCTCTCTTCCAAGGATAAAATGTGAGCCTCTTTTTTTTCTTTAATATATATATATATTTCGAGTAACGTAATTTTGCGGGCCCCACAGAACAAAAACCTGGCTCCGCCACTGATTATTTATTATTATTATTATTATTATTATCAACTTGCAGGATGGAACCAAGGTATCAAGAATTGCTAAAAGAAGACATCCCAAGTGCCGAAAACGAGGGCGTAGAAGTCAAAGTCATTGCGGGCGAGTCGATGGGTATCCACTCGCCCGTCTACACTCGTACACCAACAATGTACTTGGATTTCACTCTAAAACCCGATTCACATTACCATCAAAATATTCCGGAATCTTGGAATGCGTTTGTGTACATAATCGAAGGGGAAGGAGTATTTGGGGTTCCCAATGCGGGCCCCGCATCGGCACACCATATATTGGTATTGGGGCCCGTCGGAGAGGGGCTGAGCGTGTGGAACAAGTCCGATAAGACGTTGAGGTTTATTTTGGTGGGCGGCGAACCGATTAATGAACCGGTTGTTCAGCATGGTCCTTTTGTGATGAACACACAAGCCCAGATTGATAAGACTATTGAAGACTATTATTATGGCAAAAATGGGTTTGAGTTGGCTAAGCAATGGAGATCTAAATGAGTGAAAGTTGGCATTATTATTATCATTTTTTTTTTATTTTTTTTTTGTGTGTGTGTGTGTGTTTGTGATGGCAAAATACCAATAAGAAAGTGAAATCAGAATTGTGTTAGGAGTTACTTTTTTTCTTTATATATGTCATTATCTTCACCTATATATATATATATATATGTTAGATATACACACACAAAGAGGATATCTTTTTTTAGTGTGAGAAGCTTCTAGAAGCATGAGGAATGCAGGCCTTGGATGTTTGTGTTGGTTTATGCTAAAGTCATATCACATATGATTGGTTAATCCTTTGATTCTAGAAGATATTTGGTTGTTGAATGTGATGTATATTTCTTCTTTCTTTCTTTTTTCCTGGTGTATTATTTTTATTCATAATTTGGAGTTGATTCTTGTTTGAAATGAGAGATTTTATTGATTATTATATTGAGAAATTGATTTTTTTTTTCTTTTTCTTTTTTTACAAAAAGTTTATTTGAAGTGGCAGAGAAATTTGGGGAAATGACCCATGCTCAATTACTAACACAAACATATTACTAACACACAAACAATCTGTGGTAAATTTGGAGAAATTTTGCAAAACCTGTGGTAAATTTGGAGAAATTCTGTAAAATTTGTGGTAAATTTGGAGAAATTACCAATATGCTCAATTAAAATTACGCAAAAGGATAGTACATTTCACAAGACATAATTAAATTTTTTGACATAATTATAGGATCGTCTCCAAGTAACAAACTTGTTGTGTTTTTAGAAACTGAATATATGAGTTTTATTACTATCAATGTAGGTGTTAACAAGTTTGTTGGATAGGTTTACAAATAAAATATTTCTCATGTTTAACTACTACTCAACTCCTAATGCATAGTGGTAATTGATTTAATCGTAGGGTTAACAGTGACTCAATGAATGTTTTAGGTACATTCTAGAATGACTAGAAATATCTACAACTTGACAACTTTCTACATATTTCTACAATATTATCTACATATAAAAGTGGTCTACTATGCATTTTTAATAGATTTCTTGGTTTAGTGAAAACCTCTTCTTCTTCCTCATTCCATCCGTTTCATGTATTTTGATTTTTGAGGTTAATGAACACTAATTAAGAAAGTTATCTTCTAAAAAATGCGTACCATTTAAAAAGATATTAAATACTATTGATTTTCGGGAATTTTTTTTTATCAAGATAGAACCAAGGTATCAAGTATTGCTAAAAGAATACATCTCAGGTGCCGAAAACGAAGTCGTAGAAGTCAAAGTCGTTGTGGGTGAATCAATAGGTATTTACTCTTGTGTCTACACTCGAACACCAACAATGTACTAATATTTCACTCTAAGACACGATCCCCGCTACCATCAAAGCATACCCGGAATATTTTGGAACGTGTTTGCGTATATAATCGAACGGGAAGGAGTATTCGAGCTTCCAAATGCGGGCCCCACATAGGCTCACCATATATTGGTATTGGGGCCCACGGGAGAGAGGCTATCTTTCACAATCACTCTTTATCTTCACCTATATATATATATATATATATATATATATATATATATATATATATATATATATATATATATATATATATATATATATATTGGACTTAGAATCTTTCACAATATTTCAAATTTGGTGGAATTGAAATGGTATGTTATAATGGATACTAAGGTCAAAATCACTATCTTCAAAACCCCACTTATTTCTGTATTATTGCTGGTGGAGATGCAGCTGGTGGTGGGGGGACTGCAGTGCACGAAAATCATATAATAAGCTTGAAAAATAAAATAAATTATTATTTGATACTGGTTAAATCTATTTGTTAATGTACCTCAATTTTCAAGCTCAATTATATCATTATTAGAAAAAAAATCTCATTCAGAAAGCAAACTTACCATAAACAAACTCGAACACAAAATCTCGGTCTATGAGATGCTACACCATGGTGTGAGTTTGCACCATAGATCTATACGCCAACATTTCATACCGTTTATCGAACTGAATATACGGTTTGGTTCAGTAAATAACCAAATTACATAACTTTTGTGTCAAAATATTTAAAAGGAGGGATGCCTGTAATTACCCAAACAAGATGGGTGTTTTCGTAATTTGACCATACCTTAGGGGTGGCCGTAATTTGCCCATACAAATAATAACCCACTAAGCACGCATCCACATGGATGTGTGGTATTATGTATAGATTAATGGTGGAAAAACGCCCGATGTATTTCACCGGGTGTAGCATCTACAAAACCCAAAATCCCACACATAATACACACACTAACACACACCAGAACAGTCAGAAACAAACATACGAACATGAATGCACGCTCACAAGATCAAATCAAATATCTATACTTCAGAAATCCCTTGACCATCAAATCAAATTACTCTTTAAAATATAAAAACACAAAAAAGAATATATATAAAAAAATCCCATATTTAGATCATTATATAGAATATCCAATTCTAATCAATAAAGAAGAAACAAATAGAAGAATAGTATTAGAAAAATATAAAAATTCAACCAAAAACAAAGGCAGCCTTCCTTGCCTTGAGTTCGGTTTTTTTTTTTCACCTGGAACAGCAAGAATAAGACCCCCCACTCTTCTTCGATCCATCGCCGCTGCCGTTATTGACAATGGACACTCGATTTACAGACAACTCCGCTTTGTAAGAATCCGAATTCAAAACCTTCCTGCTCACGTTATTATAAATCTCGCGTATGACTATTTCAAAAGCCTTTCTAACATTCGTCGAGTCCAAAGCAGACGTCTCCATGAAAAACAAGCCTTCGGATTCCGCGAGGCTCTTGCCTTCTTCCACGCTCACGTCTCTGATATTTCCCAAGTCGCATTTGTTTCCTACCAGCATTTTTGCAACAGTCGTGTCGGAATGTGCTGCATGAAACAGTTTTTTTTTTCTTTTGATCAGAATTATCCATCATTCCTATAGATCGATGACGCGGCATATTTCACATTTTATCACAAACGTATGACCTATTTATAGTAAAAAAGAAAATTTAAGACTAAACTAGATGGATCCACGTAGTTGTGCGTGCATTGTATCTGAGCCAAACAAAGCCTAATCAACGATCCAACGAGAGGAGACCAAAGACTCCAATACAACTATGCTCCAGAGTTACTATGTAAATAAATCAACATTATCTCAATGAATTGAATTGTCACATGCGCAGAAGCATGTGACCCTTCGATATGTATACATTGAATAAAAATTCACGCTCTTGGTTAAAATTCATTTTAAAATCACAGATTCCGTACGAAATCTCACAACCAATAATAGAATTTTTCCAGACATTTCCATGTTAACATAGCCATTTAGCAAAAAAAATTAATACATTGCAACGATGCCTATATTTTAGAAAACGGTAATATCATTCGTTAATCACGACCGAATCTTAGTCATCATTCATAGCTTATTTTAGAATAAATTAATACGACTAAAATTTTAATTTCCATATTAAAACTTTCAATTTCACAGCTCGGCCGATCGAATCCATTGACATATTGAATTTGATTTTTTTTCGCTATAATTCCACATACGAAAATACTGAAGAAAAGAATTACCCTAGTCTAAGCAAGTCCTAATCATCAACATATATCACAGTTTTTCGAACAGCTTCAAGGATAATATAAGTCAGATCTGCCCCAATTTCTACTCTAGCTTTCGTCGAAATTCATCGAGAGGAATACTTGATATATAATTGGTTTGATTTAATTAAAGATCGTATCGAAATCCAAAATCTCACAGGAATTTCTAGCAACCAAAAGCAGTCTGCAATCAGAACTACATCAAACACCAATAACCCCTTTCGAATTTCTCGGTTTCAATTGCCATAACTATTCCGATGCCAAACGAGCAATTGAGTAAAATCGACGAACAATTAAGCAAAATTGACGAACAATTCAGCAAAATCGACAAACAATTCAGCAAAATCGACGAACAATAGAGCAAAATCGACGAACAATCGAGCAAAATCGACGAACAATAGAGCAAAATCGACTAACAATTGAGCAAAATCGATGAACAATTGAGCAAAATCGACGAACAATTGAGCACAAATGAAATTGAGAGAAGAAGAAACAGGCGTACTCTTGAGCTCATCGAGCCAGCGGGGAACACTGTCGAAAGTTGACCTCCGGGTGATGTCGTAGACGACGAGTGCGCCGAACGCGCCGCGGTAGTAGGCGGAAGTGACGGCGCGGAACCTCTCCTGTCCGGCGGTGTCCCAAATCTGAGCCTTGACTTCCTTGCCGTCGATTTCGAGGGTTTGCGTCTGGAATTCAACCCCGATGGTGGCCTTTGAGTGCATGCTGAACTCATTTCTGGCGTAGCGGGAGAGCAGGTTCGATTTGCCGACGGCGGAATCGCCGATTATCACCACCTTGAACAAGTACTCCTCCCCCTCCTCGTCTGAAGATGAACCCATCCGATTTGAGATTAAAAAAAATAAAAAAATAAAAGTTTAGAGAGAGAAAGATGAGAGAGAGAGAGAGTGGTGAAGATGATGAATGATGATTAATGAGAGCTGTCAAATGGGAGATGACAGGTTTTAAGACAGGAATGCGCGCATAATGGCGTTTTGGTGTGTGGGGCCCGCGCGGGGGTGGTATTATATTTATAACGGTTGTTTTTATTAATTATTTATTATTATTATTATAATCCTCTTTTAATTATCCTCCTTTGATTATGGGTTAGTAGTAATAAGACAAAATGGAGTAAAGTAATGCAAAAGAAAATTAGAATTAAAATAATGAAAAAGTGGAAATTGAAATAAAGGACTGCCATTTTCAAATGGCAGGTATTTTTTGTAACGTAATTAGATGATTTTAGGTATTTATTTATATATTTAAGTAATAAAATCAGGTGTGTAACATTTATTCATTCAATTTGCTTATTTCGGTATCTTTGGATTATATGATTTTCTTTTTTTAATTCTTGAGTCAAACATTAAGACATTGTTTTGGCTACATGGATTATATTAATTTATACTTTACATTGTATCAATTGCATATTACTAAATAATTATTTAATTAGTAAGGTGTTCGATTTTAAAATGGCCACTTTTAGGGGGGGCTAAGCAAATTCGATAAAAAAAAATGTAGCCATCGATTATCTATATTATTTATTTTTCTTCATTACTAACTAACATAATTTTTTTCAAAAAATAAATATTTATTTTTTTTATAAAGTTTATTGAAGTTTTTTAGTGATTTTAATTTTTAAAATAAAATAGTGGGTCTCTCGTAAGTGGGTTTGCCTACAAACCTCTCATCATAATGGGCTCAATAATTGGGCCGGACACATATTATTCGAATTTGTTTGGACCGAGCTAACCGGAATAGCCCAAGATGAAGCGCAGCTCGGAGTTTACATTTTATACACCGTTACTTTTAGGGGTGAAAGTTGGAACGGGATTTCCAATTTCCGTTGGATCCGATCCAAAATGTTCCGATTTCAAATTTTGTATTCCAATTTTTGAAATTCCGGTTTTCGATGGTTTCGGTGTTTTTATTTATTTATTGGAATTTGAATTATATGAAAAATATTTGAAATTTCCGAATCAATTTATTTAAAAAAAAATTATGCAAAAATACCGATTACATCTATATATACATCCACTCCCATTCCCGGCTGTTACCATCACCGAAACTTTTCCATACATAGTGACACACAAGCGCGCACACACACACACGCTCATATGATCACATTCACGCACACTAGTCGTTTGGAAGCTAATATCTACGTATTTTGTTGATTCACTTTGTTTAACTATAGGATCTGATTGATATATGATTGCAAATATGTAAGTATTTCATGGTAAATGACCATCGAACATAACTAAACTCTGTAGTTAAGATCTTTGAGTAATACTTAGTTTAGCTAAGCTCTAAAAGCAAGGATTTTTAGTAAATAGTAAAAACTGACGTATCCTTTAAGTTAAAAAAAATATTTTTCAGGGAGAAAAAACTAATTTTCCCTTATTTTAAATGATTCTCCTAAAATAAATTTTCTCCCCTCAATATTTAGATACATGATTTGACTCTTACGTTAAAAAGTTTATATCGTTGCAAAATATAAACAAAAATTACTTTCGTTAAAATAAGCATAATCACAAATCCCGAACAAATATTTTTGAAGATATTACAATAAAACTTGAAGTTACAAGAAAAAGTAAAAGTTGATCTTCACATAACTTCAAAATGAAAAAAAATGACAATTCAAGGAATTTACACACATACCCTTCAAAAATTTAGAAGCAACAACACATATTCCGCTTTTAACCTTAAAGATAATAAGTTGTTCCTCTATATACAAATCTGATATATTATTTCCAATGAAAAGTTGCTTCTAATTAATAATTAAGTGGATGCTTTCATGCATGACTAGCTAAATCAATGTATAATAATATTATTTTAATAATAATAATAATAAAGAAAAACAAAAATATAATAATGAAATATTGGTTCTGTTAGGAATCTCTGGTCTTCTTGCATCCACAAGTACAACTATCAAGTTCAGTGTGCAGTTTCTGGAATATATATAACACACATAAATTTACTATTTCGAATAAAAAAATTCATTGCACTGTGTTTAATATCAAATTATTGCAAATAAAAAAATTAAAAAAATAAAATGTTTACTTAATTACCTGAACCTGATTTTGAAGGGTTTTTATGTGTTGAACTGCTAAATCCAGCATGTCTGCATAGCTAGTTTGCTGCAGGAATAAATGTGTTATATATATAGAAGTGCCGAAATGAACTGAAACCGAAACCGAAACCGAAACCAATCAGTATGAACATATATATAGGTGCCGAATACAATAAACACTTAAAAGTATTGTCTGTGTAAAACTACGCGTCGAGGCCGATCGAAAAACCTACCTTATCCATGTTCGGGACAAGATCTTGCAGTTTCTTCAGCTTTCCGCTAATCCGTGTTCTTCTTTCCTGTAAAAATTGTTGCCAACAATCAGTGGCGAGGCCAGAAATATTTATGAGGGGGGCTTAAACATATCAGGGGTTCGGGGGCACAACCTCCGAAACTTTTTTTACTATCAAAGAAATTTAACATGAAAATTTGATATGAATTTTTGTTTCCCTTTATTTTCAGAAGATAATACCAAAGCGAATCGCGAAAGTTATATTGCTACAAAAATCTAAGAATTAATTGTTCGCCGGTGTGCGTTCGATCGGCTGTGGGTAGCAATTTGACCGGCATTAGTGCGACTATGCAATAGAACAAAGTTTTTTATTTTTTTTCAAAGAATGAGAACGAAGTTGGGAAATAGAAGATGCAAACAAGTCAGACATGAAGGGGGCTTTAAAAAGTTAGGCGGCTTTGAATATGTGGGCTTAAGTAGAGTAAACGTAAACGTATAAAATAATGTAATTGAATAGGTTAAAAAATAAAATAATATATATATATATATATATATATATATATATATATATATATATATATATATATATATATATATATATATATATATATATATATATATATATATATATATGAGAAAATTTTGGAGTGAGGGGGGCTTGAGTCCACCCTAGCCCATGGGAAATACCCTAGTTCATCTCTCAAAACATAAAAAAAACCTTAGTAATTCCATGATTAGCATTGGGGAATTGTGCCCTAATTTTGAAATTAGTCTCTTTGCATTTACTGATTATATTCTGGGAATGTGTCCTTTA